TTTCTGAAGTCTGAAAACTTTCAGTCACATGCGGAGTCAAAATGAACATGTTCATCTGGATACATCCAAAAATACCTTCTTCAGTGTATTTATGTTGGTAAAACACTTTTCTGAAATAAATTAGATTAAAGTTGAGTTTTTAAATTTTTTATTGTTATCCTCTCGAAAAGAAAGCTACTTAAAATAGATTAGTGTCTGATTATAGACCTAATTTGCTTTAATATTCAATTTCAGCCACTAAAACCATTGCTATTTCTAGATTATTTAATTTTTGAAGATTTTTAATTCAGTGCAATCATGTCAGTGTTTTACATTCGTAATTAGACTTTTACAAATGTTTCTGATTTTTGACATCTTCAGGCCGTACATCATCGGGTTAAAAAGAGGCTGAGCAGTCAGGAAGTAAAGCGACAGAAAAATCCGCAGAACGTTTGGCAGGAAACTCATATCAAATCTGCTCTGGGAAACCTCGAAACTCCCACCGCAGGAAAAGTTTAGGATGGAGGCCAGGTGAGGTGTGCAGGTGTTCACAGCCTTCTGACGGGTCTGTTTGGACCCAGAGAAACACACAACCAAGATCTTGGTGTAGCTGTAGAGGATCAGGAGCAAAGAGATGAAGATGGTGCTGAACGTAGCAATGAGTCCATAAATGTTTGACATAACGGTGTCCGAACAGGCCAATTTGACCAGAGAGTGCATGTCACAGTAGACTTTGTTAATCTGGTTCCTACACAGCACCACTGGTATCAGAGACATGGAGAAGGAAACCACCATAAACGGATACAGCCAGCTCACAGCGATGAGCACAGTTATCCTTTTAGGTGTCATCCTGGCGTTGTACTGCAGAGGGTAGCAGATAGCGAGGTAGCGGTCATACGACATGACAGCTAGGTTTAGAAATTCAATTGCTCTGTACGTATGGACAATAAAAATTTGAAGGAAACAGAACGGAGCAGCAACTGAGTGAAGATGAGAGAGGATCTGAACCAGCAGGAAGGGAAACAAGCCTGAGCTGCCGTACAGTTCATTCACAAACAGGCTGCAGAGGAACAGGTACATGGGTTCATGTAAGCTCCGGTTCACACAGATCACTGTGATCAGCAGGACGTTGGAAACAATGATTAAAATATACAAAAACAAGACAACAGTGAAATATAAATACACCAGAACCCCAGAGTCAATATAAGCAGTCAGGAAAAAGAATAAAACCTCAGAAGAGTTTGCCATTATAATGTTTCACTTTTGTAATATTTTGATTATGTTAAAAGTTTCCTTTAGTTAAAGAAACTGAATTTAGCTGAAGCCTCCATCCTACATGCTGGTCATGTAATAATAATAATACTGACAACAGTCTGTGAGGATTTTCAATCATTTAGTCATGGTCAGGCTGAAGGTTTGAGTTGATGGTATCTGAAAAAAGAAGCCAACATCTACAGCATCTTCTCCAGTTGAAGTTCTTTGGACAATGGAGATTCATTAACGCAGAGACCAACACCTTCCTTCCCACAATCCTCTTGGTAACACCGGTGACTTCTCCCCTTCCTCTGTAGTGTTTTATTTTGTTTTTAAGACACCCACAGCTGCAGTGGGACGTCATTAACAGAAGTTTGTTGAAGTTTACTTTCTCTTAGAGAGAAAGAAATATACAATTTGTTTTGATATGTAGCCAGGCGACCCATCAAGTAGGTTGACTCCCGCTGTGGCTGCCATGTGTTAATACTACTACTAATAATAATGAAAGTAATAAGAATATTAATACAGCAATCTGTCCATAACATCCATACTATTTACTGTACCTTATTGGTTTGAGGGGTGTGATTGGTGGAGTGTTGGGTCATCTTCAAATCCCAAAGGGAAGTGCAGTCTGTTTGGCTCTGAACCCTCAGGGACCAAATACTAGACACATATTTAGTTCATCTTCTGAATTGATCCTGGACAAACCAGGACAGACTGAATAATGGCTTTGGAGAAGATGACCAGTAGCACCTGTGGACAATTAAGTTTCTGCACAAAGTCCAGCACAGAGAGTTACAGGAAAGGGTTATTCTGAAACACCTTAGGAAGCAAAGAGAGTTTCAATTGTGTCTGGAGGAAGATCCCGACAGTGGACAATCATCAAGCTCCTTTGGGAAGTAATAGGTGACGTAAAGGTTTTCTGTTGCTGAATTCCGTTGGTTCAGGTGTGTCTGTCTTCAGACCATTCGGCCAGACAGTCCGATAAAGGCGCAGTCAGCCCTCAAGCCAATCAGAAGGAAAGCGATATATGGTAGGTATCATAAATAAATCCTTGAGAAAGGTTAGGAACAGTATCTAAGAAGATCTAAAGTCAAATCTTGGAGAGATGAAGAGAAAACAAGGAGATGTAGAAGTTGTCCTTTTTAAACCCTTTGTGGGATCATGTGGAGCGCAGAGTTGGGTTGTATAAAACTCTGCATGAGACTGAAGTAGGAAGTCTGGACCCATTCCGTGGATGAGCCAAGGCGTTCAGTGATGGGCAAACACAAGACAGACTGAACAATGGCTTGCAGCACCTGTGGATAGTTAAGTTGCTGCAGGAAGTCCAGTTTCTACTTAAGTCCAGGGAAAGAGTTGTTCTTAAAAAAGTGCAGTGATTCACTGAAGGCAATAAGGGATGTCAGGGATGATGGCGTTGAAGTTTGAGCTGAAGTTCACAAACAGGATTCTGGCGACATCCAGCTCATGGGTGGTTGAGGTGGTAGATGAAGTGTCTTTGTTTGATTGCATCACATGCCTACCTGCTTGCTTCTTAAGCAAACAACACAGGATGCACCCTCCAATGACCTTCAGATCCTTTAAGATTGGTTGTTCAAAGGATTAGGTGGCCAAAGTGATAGTTCTGTCCTTTCATAGTGGACTTCTTGGGGACAGGAGAGTTGGTAAATGGTAAACAGCCTGTACTTGTCGAATGCTTTATGAAGTCCAGAGGACTTTTACTTTACACTAAGTCATTCACTCATTTCTGCACACATTCACATGCTGATGGTGACAAGATACAATATTGGCCTGGGACAGCCTGACAGAAGAGAGGTTGATATGCACCGACGCTACCAGGCCCCCAGACAACCACCAGCAGGACAATTTGGTGAAGTGGATTGCCCTAGAACACAATGTATGAGACAGACCAACCAGGGATTCAAACCAGTAACCCACCAATTATGAGACAAACTCCTATTAATGTGGTGTGTTCTGCTATTGCCTGATCTGAGTCATTGAAGATTTGAGTAAAAATGGGGGCCATTTGGTAAATCCAGGTTTCCAGTCATGAGGAGGAGACATTGTCAGGTCTTCAGAGGAGTCCTGGTCTTCTGATTCAGAAGGAACCTTTTCCTTTTATGAAGACATGGGGTCTGAGGAGACGAGTGTGGTCAGTGCACAAGATACATCTTTTGCCCTGTGAGATGTGGAAATCTGGTTTACACTTCTGAAAAGAAGTGTAACTTGAAAAGGGTCTTTAGCTAGGGAGAAAATGCTACCATGTGAGTTGTTCAAAGGGAGTTCTTCTGAGACTACTTATGCATATTGCTCTTCCGGCATGATGGTGCCAGTGGCATTGGCACCTGCATAATTATGCTTGAACTTGTTGCTCGAATGGCAAAGCCGAGAGAAGTTAGACTGACTGGAAGTGCTAGAGTTATGATTGAGATTCAGAGCACAGAGGGGGATGTCTTTGTTGAGTCGAATCAGGTGGCTATGTGCAGGACCTTGTCAACACCACCCATTGCATGCTCTTTTGATCTTCTACCAGCTTCAGAAGCCCCATGAAGTCATTTTATCAAAAGGTCTTATGTAACCATTAAATCCCTCTAAGGGAACCTGGCATCAGTTAGTGTTAACTTTCAAGTTTTGATGAATCCTCATGGTTCTTCATAACCCTCCAGGTTCAAATACCCTGGTGCAGATGACCATGTTTGCCAGTCATGTTGAAACATCCATCCATGCATCGTTCATGCCCACTTATCCTTCCAGGGTCCTGGGAGACCTGAGGCCTATGAACACCAGTTATAAGTGAAAGGCTGGACACCCTGAACAACAACCTGAATAGGTCACCATATCTAAGGCCAATTTAGAGGCCTTAGGACAGATTTAGGGCTCAATCTACTGCCACAGATCTATTCAAATATGTTCATGATTTTCTTTAACAAAGAATAAAGGTGAATATCCTGCACTGTTAACAGGCTAATGAACCTCCAACTGCTTTGACTTGAACATGCAGCGAGGAATGTAGAGTAATATTAAATTACATTTATTTATTTCCTGTAAGAACCTGTAGGGGAAAACCCATATTTAGAATGAATGTCAATAACACCACTATAATTTCATCAACTTTTATTCACTGAGGAAGCTTGAACACCATAAATCATCTGTCAGAACTAAAATGTAATGCCCCATCTCTTGACTAAAAGTTGCATTGTAATTTTGTAAATTCAGCAGTAAATATTGTATCCATCCATTTTGTGCACAAAGTGCCAAAAATTATAGGTTTGATGATCCACTTCTATGCGTAAAGACTCTTAACAGCTTTTAATTTGGCCATAGCAAGGAAGAAGTCATCTTTATCTTCTGCCTCTCTTCATTTACCAGATATTTTGATATCAAGTCCATTGATTGATTAGGTAAACAGTGAAAATTATAGTTTCAGCATTAATCTCTCTTCATAATCACAATGGTTGAAATACAGAATTTAAAGAACAGTCAGATGATAGTTGCATTTCTCCAAGAAGATTTTTATTGTCATTTAATTCTCCACTGTTGCACTTTTTGATAGACATTAAAACCGACTTTAAAACTGAACATTCTAGAGTCTTTGTATATAAATACATATTGATGAATATATTATAATTATCTTGCGCTTAAAAATAAATCATTATTTCATTATTGATTTGATTTGTTTTAAAGTTCATAATCTGCCACTAAAAACCTCAGTATTGTTTCTACAATATGTCAGTTTGTATTGGTTGTTGAATACAATAAAAACCATGTCAGTAGTCTGTATTCATAATTAGACTTTTACAAATGTTTCTGATTTTTGACATCTTCAGGCCGTACATCATTGGGTTAAAAAGAGGCTGAGCAGTCAGGAAGTAAAGCGACAGAAAAATCCGCAGAACGTTTGGCAGAAAACTCATATCAAATCTGCTCTGGGAAACCTCAAAACTTCCAGCACAGGTGAAGTTTAGGATGGAGGCCAGGTGAGGTGTGCAGGTGTTCACAGCCTTCTGACGGGTCTGTTTGGACCCAGAGAAACACACAACCAGGATCTTGGTGTAGCTGTAGAGGATCAGGAGCAAAGAGATGAAGATGGTGCTGAACGTAGCAATGAGTCCATAAATGTTGGTTAATGCAGCGTCTGAACAGGCCAGTTTGACCAGAGAGTGCATGTCACAGTAGACTTTGTTAATCTGGTTCCTGCACAGCTTCACCGGTATCAGAGTCATAGAAAAGGACATCACCACAAATGGATACAGCCAGCTCACAGCGATGAGCGCTGCAATCTTTGTTGGTGTCATCCTGGCGTTGTACTGCAGAGGGTAGCAGATAGCGAGGTAGCGGTCATACGACATGACAGCTAGGCTTAGAAATTCAACAGCCCCGTATGAATGGACGATAAAAACCTGAAGCAAGCAGAACGGAGCAGCAACTGAGTGAAGATGAGAGAGGATCTGAACCAGCAGGAAGGGAAACAAGCCTGAGCTGCCGTACAGTTCATTCACAAACAGGCTGCAGAGGAACATGTACATGGGTTCATGTAAGCTCCGCTTCACACAGATCACTGTGATCAGCAGGACGTTGGAAACAATGATTAAAATATACAAAAACAAGACAACAGTGAAATATAAATACACCAGAACCCCAGAGTCAATATAAGCAGTCAGGAAAAAGAATAAAACCTCAGAAGAGTTTGTCATCATGACATTTCAGTTAAAGCATAAAAAACTTCCTTTAGTTAAACAATTTCACCAACCAAACTGAATTTAACCACAAGCTCCATCCTACATGTTGGACACAATGTAATAATACTGACAACAATCTGCAAGTATTTTCAATCACTGAGTCATAATCAGGCTGAAAGTTTGAATCAACAGTAACTGGAAAAAGGAACCAACATCTGCAGCATGAAGCTCTCTGAAAACTGGAGGTTCATTAAAACCGTTTCCTTCTCCCAGTCGGTGTGGAAACGTTGGCGGCTTCCCCCTCCCTACGACTGAGCAGACCATCGTGTCCGCCGTCTTTTATGATGTCTGAAAGACACACACAGCTGCAGTGGGGCATCACTGGCCGACGTTTGTTGAAGTTAAGAAGGCCATAAAATATAATGAAGCTTAACAACATCAGTAATAATGATAATGGTAATAATATAACACAACAATACAAGTTAAGTTCTTGGGTAGAGGGGTTTGGTGCATATCTCCAAAGATAAGAGTGGAAGTAATAATAATAGTGAAGCAGATTGAAGCAGCTGAGAGAATAAGAGTCAAACAAACCTTTTTATTATGAAAATGTTCAAACATCCCATCTTTCATTAAAAAACTTGCATTTTCATTTTAATTAAGGAGATTTGATTCGTGATCCAGGCAGAGAGGAGCAAAGTCTTAGTGAAGAAGTTTTATGACATCAAAGCAGAAACTGTTTGCTTTGGATCCACAAAGCTCCACTAAAAAACCTGATAATCACCTGATTATAGCCAGTTTTCAGTCTGAGCTATTGCTTATCAATATCTGCCTTCTATGGTATTAAATGACAATTGAGGAAGGATTTAGTAATTTTCTCTCTGACATGTTAATACCAAAATAATTCAGCCATCATTATAATACATAAACAATAAAAATTAATAGTAAAATGAAGATCTAAGCAACCAGAAGCAGATCAGACACCAATGGATGGTGATGGTTATGACACTTTGTGGATCCCCACACCAAAAAATTACTTTTATCCATTGAAAAAATACAGCTGTATAAAAACAATCATTTTTATGAACCATTTAAAGGTTGAAGATAACATGAAGTTCGTGACGAGTGCTTTTTGACTCCAGCCACCAGGGGGCGCAAGGTGGACATCAAAATGTTGGAGGGAACATGAGAAAAAAATTTATTTCTAAAAAAAATAAATTGAACAGTGTGTGAGGTTAAACAGATGTAATAATTACTGAGTCCTGAATAAAACCATATTTTGTGATCTGAGCGTTCCCTGGTCAGGCCGTGGCAGCCAAACGTTTGGGAACTGATGGGTGTTTTTCAGTTGCGTTGGAAATGCGTGGCGCTGTGGGAGTGAAAAGCATTTAAAAGGGGCAGAGCACCTTCAGGCTCAGGCTCCAGCCACAGTCAGTCGGAAATATTTCAACCACAACCTGTCTCTGTTAATGACTGCAGGGAAAAAGCCTTGCCTCAACGTTTTGTTTTCATCTGTTTTAATGTTGTGCAGGAAATGAACCAGTCTGTCTGTGTTTGGTATGTTTCTCTTGTGCCTGTGACTTTTCTCTGGATTTTGTTTGTTCCTGCTGCTCTGAACATCAGTTTGTGTCTCTGCAGCACAAAAATGAGATTTTAAACTTGGGAAATGATGCATACATCTCCGCTGTGAAGATTCGTAATAATTTCTCTCAGAAACACTTTAACCTCGATCATTCCTTCCTTTGTCTTCATAAAACTGCAGAGGAAATGAACGTTTCCCAGGTTTCATATTTCACTCTGAGCGCCTACTTTGACATCGGCCTGTTTAAGTACGTCGTTTTCCTGGTCATCATGTGTGTTTATATGTTCATTGTTGGCTCCAACGTCCTGCTGATCGTGGTGATCAGTGTGAACCGGAGCTTGCATGAACCCATGTTCCTGTTCCTCTGCAGCCTGTTTGTGAACGAACTGTTGGGCAGTTTGGGTTTGTTCCCCTTCCTGCTGGTCCAGATCCTCTCTGATGTTCACTCTGTTTCTGTTCCTCTCTGCTTCCTGCAGATCTTCTGTGTTTACATGTATGTGAATGTTGAGTTTTATAACCTAGCCGTCATGTCTTATGACCGATACCTGGCCATCTGCCGCCCTCTGCACTACAGCACACAGATGCAGATGAGCAAAGTCAGCAGGCTGGTTATGTTTTCTTGGTTAACTCCTCTGCTGAACATCATTGTGATGATTTCACTGAACGCGTCCTCTGGGTTGTGTGGGAACGTCATCGACAGAGTTCTCTGTGTTAATTATTATGTGACCAAGTTGCTGTGCAGCGGAGCGACGGCCAGTAACGTCTACGGACTGGTCTACACCTTCTCTGTGCTGTTCAGCCTCGCCGCGCTCATCCTCTACACCTACGTGAAGATCCTGAAAGTCTGTTTTTCTGGATCCAAACAGACGCGGCAGAAAGCCGTCAGCACCTGCACGCCTCACCTGGCGTCGGTGCTGAACTTCTCTTTCGGTTGTTTCTTTGAGATTCTGCAGAGCAGGTTTGACTTGAGCAGACTCCCTGCTGTCCTGCGTATTGTTTTATCTCTGTACTTCGTCACCTGTCAGCCATTTTTTAACCCGCTCATGTACGGGCTAAAACTGGGAAAAATACGTCTGGCTTGTAAAACTCTCTTCTTTCATCGTAGAAAACCGGCTTCGACTTTTTAAGTGGATTTTAAAGCTTTGTGAACCAGAATAGTAAATAAATATTCATCTGTACTCATGTTGTTCTTGCATTTTGGTTGTTTTTAAACAATGTTGTCATATAAAGTGTAATAAAAGAACATATACACTATGCAGGGCAGTGAAAGGAAACTAGGAATGAATCTAGATGAATACAGAAAACACACAACCTCTCTGGCAGCATAAAAACAATTTCAAAAGATTATTTCTTAAGAATTACCTTAAAATTAACATGAACAATAATAAAACAACATTTTCAGAGGAAAACATTGAATCTCTTTAGTAATTTGAGAATGATTTTTCTCATGACACAACAGTAAAACCCGGCCCTGACAGGAAATGAGGTCAATCTCTGCTATGTGTAACGATAAGAAGCTGCCAATTAAGATTCTTCAGCAGCTTTTCTGTCACATCTGACAATGTTGATGGAAACAGATGATTGGTGGAGGGCGCTGGGTGAAGTGAACTGCAACAATGTGTGAAAGTTTTAGGAACATTTTTCTAAATGAGCGGCTCACGAAGCATTTCACAAAAATCACCAAACATCTGATGTTTCCCTGCTTTAACACCTGATTCAGCTGATTCAGTTCACCAAACACCTGTCAATGAAAACAAGCTGAAAATAACCTGCAGGGCGGTGAGTCTGGAGAACCACTGGTCTAGATCAATTTAAATACTTCAGAAAAGTCATGCATAAAGTTACAGAAAAGAGAGGATTGAAATATTAAGAGGTGGCAGACATCACATGTTGGACAGTTTGAGCCGCCTTGGAGAAATCTAGTTTATTTCTCCAAATCTAGTTTATCAGACGGTAAATCACCAAGCAGCTCATCAAGAGGAAGAAAAGTTTTACTCTAAATGTGTTTGAAGGGTTAATGAAATCCTTTTCAAACGCAACGTGACTCAAAACCCAGTGGTTTCTATGTCCTCTGTTAGCCAGGCTAATGCTAGCTGGGTCCAGGCTAATGCTAGCTGGGTCCAGGCTAATGCTAGCTGGGTCCAGGCTAATGCTAGCTGGGTCCAGGCTAATGCTAGCTGGGTCCAGGCTAATGCTAGCCGGGTCCAGATATCGGACCGGACTCGGCTCGTCATTCTTCATGTCGGGATCTGAGCCCATATGAGTTCCTCTCCTGTTTAGAGTTTCCTTTGTAGTAAACACAATATTAATATAATGATCAATATTCTTGATAATTATTTTACAACGTTTATTTCATAATTATTGTGATTCTACTATTAAAACATGTTGAACTGAAACGTGATGACAGCAAATTTAACTTGTGCTCTGAAATCTCAGACCTGAAGGAAACGATTCAGCTGTTCCCTTATTGAAATGGACATAGAAATGTTAAAATAAACCGAATATTGGTTGAATATGATTCATCTGACTCAGATAGTTTGGAAATGACCTTTTAACTCTCAGTTAATCAATGCATCTGATCAGCAACAACCTGATATTTTCACCTTATTCTTCATACCAGCAGATGGATTTTCTTTTTAAAATCAAGATTTAGTTTTATTCCAGAAACATTTACAAGGAAAATCACTTCATGTATAATATTGACATTAATATGATTACAGTTTTACTTGGGTATTAAGCTCAACATTATGAACAAACACTAAAATGAGCAGATTACTTTTGGCCAAAGAAAAGAGTTCTGCAGGTGATCTGGATCTTAGTCAGCTTGAGTCCGTACAGCAGTGGGTTCAGCAGAGGCTGGCAGGTCATGAAATATAAGGATAAAATAATACGAATCACGTTGGGAACTCTGCTCATGTCAAACCTGCTCTGCAGCACCGCGAAGAACGAGCCGAAAGAGAAGTTCAGCACCGACGCCAGGTGAGGCGTGCAGGTGCTGACGGCTTTCTGCCGCGTCTGTTTGGATCCAGAAAAACAGACTTTCAGGATCTTCACGTAGGTGTAGAGGATGAGCGCGGCGAGGCTGAACAGCACAGAGAAGGTGTAGACCAGTCCGTAGACGTTACTGGCCGTCGCTCTGCTGCAGGACAACAACGCAATGAAATAATTGTTGCAGAAAACTCTATCGATGACGTTCCCACACAGCGCAGAGGAGACATTCAGCGAAATCATGCCCACAATGACAACAAATGGGAGACACCACAACAGCGCCACCAGCTTAACGACCATGCTGAGGGACATCTGTGTGCTGTAGTGCAGAGGGCGGCAGATGGCCAGGTATCGGTCATAAGACATGACGGCTAGGTTATAAAACTCAACATTCACATACATGTAAACACAGAAGATCTGCAGGAAGCAGAGAGGAACAGAAACAGAGTGAACATCAGAGAGGATCTGGACCAGCAGGAAGGAACAAACCCAAACTGCCCAACAGTTCGTTCACAAACAGGCTGCAGAGGAACAGGAACATGGGTTCATGCAAGCTCCGGTTCACACTGATCACCACGATCAGCAGGACGTTGGAGCCAACAATGAACATATAAACACACATGATGACCAGGAAAACGACGTACTTAAACAGGCCGATGTCAAAGTAGGCGCTCAGAGTGAAATATGAAACCTGGGAAACGTTCATCCTTAATAACATAATCAGTTTTTATGAGATAAAGACTTGAGGAAAAGAAAAATTATTCAGAACCGTGAAAACAGATCATTTGTTTTTGTAAATGCAGAGATTTTTTCCATTCCTCCCCGTTACAGTTACATCCTGCTGCTGGTTTCCTGCAGCGGCTGCAGGTTCTGCTGCTTTTAAGAGCTTCAGTTTGCAGTAAAACACACACACTCTGCTACACACCTGCTCTGATTGACCTCAAGGAGGAGACAACAACGTTTCAAAGATTATTCACAGCAGGGCAAAAAGCATCCAGAAAGTTTGGATGAACTTCTAGCCCAGTTCATCCAACATGTTGCTTTAACTTCCAAACTGTGTGGAAGTTTGTGGAAAAGTCTTTCTTGGTCACGGCATCATCAACGTTTCTCCTCCATGGAGCAATGTTTCTCTGCTCCGATGGGGTTCGAGCAAATTTTTCTGCACTAACTTTACATTTCGGAGGAGATGGAGATTCACTGAATCCCACTGATCCTCAGGATTTTTCTTGTTTCATTTCAATCCACATCCACAAACTACGCCGTAGATAAAACTTCAGTTTTATCATTTAAATGAAGTTGGTATCATTTAACTTCTTTCTCAAAAATTTGTGAAGAGTTTCCTCTGGTTAAGTTTCTAGTGAATCAATGTGATTAGAGATAAATAAAGGAGAAGAAAGGAGATATTAGTCCTCTGATCCTGGAAATGTTCTTCAGGTGACAGAAGGCCGACTTTGTAATTATCTTTATGTGGCTCTGAAGGTTCAGGTCTGAGTCCGTTTTTTATGTTTTTCGATCAAAAACTACAAATTGTTTGTATTTCCTCCACATATATTTAATGTTTTCTATGGTTGTCATTTATTAATATTTTTTTATCTCTCTTTATGAAGTGAAATAAATGATTTTAGGCACTTTGAGATGTTTTTAAGTAAAAATAGCTGGTTCTTTATTACATAGTGCAGATTTACAGAGAGGTGAACATTATGAAAGACCAAAGTTTGACTTTTTTCTGGACTTTGAACTGGGAGGAAATGTTAGTAACTGGGAACTGGATGAGCTTAACTGAAACTCCAGGTTTAGATGGAGACTTTCTGGTGAAAATGAAATGAATGAAATATTCCTGTAAGACGGTTTCATTTAATTTTCTGATAAATTTATTTTATTTTTAAACAAAAGTGTTTCCTCAGACTGTGCGTCCGATCCGGACCCAGGAGGATAAACTGGTCCAGGATGTCCTGAAGTCGCCCTGCGGGGCCCATTAGGGGGCGACAGAGTGTCCTCTCTTGCTGCTAATTGTCCTGTTGGTGTCCAAAGCGCCACGCGGGCCGCGTCCTCTGGGTCTCTGCTGCCAGCAGCCCTGCTGAGGCTCATTAGAATGAGATGACACGGTAAACATGATGCAATCACACCAGTGACTGCATCAGAGCGGAAAGACCTGATGTTCAATGTTCCAGGAAAGTTACAACTTCAGCAGAAACTCTGTGTCCAAGTGGAAAAAATCAGTTTCTCACAATAAATGAACTTTGGTTTTCAAACAACTTCAATCACTGGGTGATCACAAATCTCAAATTAATCCGAAGATTCATGAAAATATGAAATCATTCGCTGCTTGCTTCTCTGTTTCCACCTGATGGTCCAGTCGACGTGGTTCTGTTGGGACCAGAACATCTGCTCCACCTGCAGCTGCTGTGGCCGGTGGGGGCGCTGCACCAACAACCACTGCAGGAAACGACACTAAAACCTCTGAAGACGCTGAGAGCAGCTTCCTGTTTTACCAGATGAAACAAGATGGAGGCGTCAGAGTTTATGTTGGAGGATTTCTCTTTGGCTGAAGACCAGGAGCCATTTCTGCTGCTAGCACTAGGCGTTGCAGTCCACTTCCTGGTTTTGGAGCTGCCTCTGTTCCGCTTAGCCAGAGGTCAGAGGTCAACTGGCGTCACCAAACAGACTGGACTGGAGTTGGATTACACCAGATTATGAATGATGCATCCTAATTTAGCTACATTAGGCCTTTTTCCCGTTGGGTCGGTGCAGATGGAGCTGAACGATGAACAGTTTTGTTCCGCAAAGAAAGAAAAGGAAACTGTTCTGGGTTCGGTTGGTGAGTCAGTACGTTTTCCCTGTATCTGTAGGCGTTTGACCCAATTTGCTCCCTCACAAACATGAAGATTAGATGAACTGCCTGACACACAGATACCCTGAAGCCAGAAATAATTTTTACATTTTACTCCGCAGTAAACACAAATCTTCCATTTCCTGCAGTTATCTTCACGTCACAATGAAAATGTGTTCTGTCATTAAGCACAACGAAGTTTATTAGCTGCTGTAATATAATATTTAGGATATTTCCCCAGGGTTCAGTGTGTTTGGACAGATTATTTTTGAATATTGATTTAAAGTAAAACTGGAAATGTCAAAATTTCATTTATTTTTCAGAAGATACAAAAATTTGAGCACAATTATGTAAAGATAATACCTAACTGTATTAAAGTGTAAATCAACAGTGAGACTATAAAGTTTTATGTTTGGTCAGGCCTTTCTGACTCGCACAGACCGAAGCCTAAACCAACGTGAGAACATCTGTTTTCACTGCATCACTCGGTCTGATCGGTCCGGTCCGCTAAGTTTGATCGGTTCGATCAGTCCGATCGGTCTGCTCGGTTCGATCGGTCCAGTCTGCTCGGTTTGATCGGTCTGCTCGGTTCGCTCGGTCCGCTCGGTTCGATTGGTTCGATCGGTTCGCTCGGTCTGCTCGGTTCGATCGGTCCGCTTGGTCCGGTCCACTCGGTTCGATCAGTCCGCTCGGTTTGCTCGGTTCGCTCTGTCCGATCGGTCTCATGAAGTCGATCGTTTCGGTTGATGGACAGAACATTCTGCCTCTGTCAGGTCTGCAGGGACTCCTGGTTTTAAAACATCAGAAGAAGAAACCTGCCAACGCGTTCCTTCAGAGGAGATGAAGAAATGTCTGCCATGGATCCAGGTGTGAACATTTTTCTCTCTTTACTCATCAAACTCATGGAAAAATAAATAATCAGTAAAAAATGGATTTTAATCTGCAGTTTTAGTCTCTGTCCAGTATTGTTTGGTTGTATTGGACTCGCATCTAAAGTCCAGTCATTCGTCGTCAGAGAAAGGAATCAGAAACAGTCCCAGTAATAATTAACATTTTATTTCTAAAGGCTAAAAAGGCTGAATATTTACAGGCACTTACATTTATGCAAGTAGTTTATCATCAACTTAACTGTTACATAGCAGCTGTTTACATGCATTTCTGATTTTTGTCAGGTTCATTCCATACATGATGGGATTGAGAAGAGACTGAAGAATCGCAAAGTACAGAGACATGACAATCTGCAGCCCGTTGGGGATGGAGACCAGGTTGAATCTGCTCTGAAGGCTTTCAAACAAACAGCCGAAGGAGAAGTTGAGCAGTGAAGCCAGGTGAGGCATGCAGGTGTTGACGGCTTTCCGCCTGGTCCGTTTGGATCCGGACAGAACGACTCTGAGGATGTTAGTGTAGGAATAAAGGATGGGCAGCAGCGGGACCAGAACTGTGATTGCAGTACCAAACAGTCCGTAAATGTTGTTCACGCTGGTGTCAGAACACGCCAAGTTCACAACCAGGTAGTTACGGCAAAACGTGCTGTTCAACACGTTTCCACACAGAGTCAGACGGATGGTCAGCAACAAAGTGATGAGAAACTTCACAAAGCAGTACAGCCAGGTCAGAATGATCACTACTGCTACTTTCTGAGGCGTCATCACGGCGTAGTACTGGAGAGGACAGCAGATAGCCAGGTATCGGTCATAAGACATGACGGCTAAATTACAAAACTCAACATGTACATAAGAATAAAGACAGAAGATCTGCAGGAAGCAGAGCGGCGCTGAAACGATGTGAACGTCAGAGAGGATCTGGACCAGCAGGAAGGGAAACAAGCCTGAGCTGCCGTACAGTTCATTCACCAGCAGGCTGCAGAGGAACAGGTACATGGGTTCACGCAAGCTCCGGTTCACACAGATCACCGCGATCAGCAGGACGTTGACTCCAACAATGATCAAGTATAACACTGCAGTTATCAGGAAGCACAAGTACCGCCATCTTCCAACGTCCACATACGCTCCGAGAATGAAATAAACCAGAGCTGAAGAAGTGGAGTTCAGCATGGCTCATTCAATGGGAAAGCAATAACAAAGATCAATCATTCATCAACAATCATTTACTTTAATACAGAGCATGTAAGTTCAGACAGCATCCAGGTCTCAGCCTGAGATCAGAGATTGATGCGCTGCAGCTTTTATTCTCTGGATGACATCACGCTGAGTCCCGTCTGGTTGGCTGGAAGATCACCGCTGCCTTCGCTGCATCATCAAATAAAACTGATCAGGTTTTCAACCTGCAGGAAATCTGTTTGTATAGCAAGCAGCAAACTTTACCGAAGAACCAGACATGAAATGAAACCACAGGAAGTCATAATCACAGAGAAACGTCAAAACGACCAAACTGAAGCACACATACACCGGCTACTGGACTCAGATGTTCATCTCTTACAGTCTGACCATCATGGCCTACGACCGCTACCTGGCCATCTGCCAGCCGCTGCGTTACTGGGCTCTGATGACTGGCCAGAAGGTGGCGCTGCTGTTGCTGCTCTGTACTCTCGTTATGGTGGCGGCTCCTTCAGACAGAATAGAGTCGTTCTTTACCTCTTACCCTCAGACCCAGAAAATACAATCGAAAAACGGCATGCGGGCGTTCCGGTGCACGTTAAGGGGTTTTGATCAAATGATTTTTCACTGAAATCTTTTGATCGCTGTTACACAGACCAACAATGAGATGCTCTCCCAGCAAACACTGTGGAAGGACAGAGCCAGCAGAGACTCACTGTTCCCTACAAACTGATGCAAACTTCAAGGTTTCAAATGGAAACGAAGCTGGTGTGGACTCCACTCCCCCGATCCTCCAGCATCGACTAACCGATGCTGTCGGCTGCCTGATGAGACCAGGCTGCCGACGGAGAGCTGGAGATGAGAATTACAGCAGACTGCAATGATTAGTAAAAGGTTTATGAAAGGAACCTCTGTGGTGGCCCACATCATCAGCCAGCATATAGAACCAAGTCGTTCTTAATCTGGCCGCAAACACAGAACGACCTCATCAGGAAGCAGAGCTGACCCTCCTGATTCATCAATGTCAGCAAACTTTTCTGAAACTTTCTCCTGTCCAGAGAAACCATTCCACCTGGATGAGTAAGATTTCTTTCTCTGCCCTTTAAACTCCACTTTTCAGTTTGTTCAGAAAAATGTTGTTTAAACTTTGAAACTGTTGATAGGAGTAAATAGTGATGTCAGTGAAGTGGGAGGGGCTTCAGTCAGTCGTCTACCTGTCCTGTTCAGGTGAATAAAAGCTGAAGCTCTGCTGCAGGATCCGCAGTGCTGCTGTGTTGTTAATCTGCTTCAGTGCATTTAGTTCAGAGAAGTTAATGAGTGATTTAATGTAACTGAGCTGGTTTTCTCTGATATTTGATTCTTACATGTCTGTTGAACTTCACTTGTCATATGAAATGTTTGAAGTTGATCTTAAAGAGGACTTTTAGGAACAGTTTAGAATTTCCTCAGCTTCGGTTTCAGCAGAACGGCGGTGTTTCTCTTCGCAGAGTGACTCTGACTGCAGGTTAGTTCAGACACTGGGACACATGTTGGGTTTGCTTCATCATTCTGTGGCTCTGAAACCATTAGCGTCTCTTGGACATGAATGAGAACGTTCACATTGTGTTTGTCCTCGACGGTCTGAACGACTCGCTGACCACCCGTCAGATCTACTTTGGTCTCACGCTGACGTCGTACCTCTTCACCATCTTTGTGAACCTCATCCTCATCCTCACTGTGTGTCTGTATAAAACGCTCCACCAGCCGATGTACATCTTCATGGGCAACCTGTGCTTCACTGGGATCTGCGGAGCGTCCAGTTTCTACCTGAAGCTGCTCAGCGACTTTCTGGCTGACGCTCATGTCATCACATACACTGGCTGCTTTACTCAGATGTTCGTCTCTTACACTTATATCTTCTGCCAGTTCAGCACTCTGACCATCATGGCCTATGACCGCTACCTGGCCATCTGCCAGCCGCTGCGTTACTGGGCTCTGATGACTGGCCAGAAGGTGGCGCTGCTGTTGCTGCTCACCTGGTGTCTCACATTAGTGGAAACGGCTGTGGGCCTGGGCCTGATATCCAGACTGCCTCTCTGCAGCCGCCACATTCCCAGGATTTTCTGCACCAGCTGGGAGGTGGTGAAGCTGTCCTGCTCTGACACCTCCGCCAACAGTCTGTACGGCATCATGGTAATGGTCCTGCACTCGCTGCAGGTCACAGTGATCCTGGTGTCATATGTCCAACTGGTGCGATCCGCCGCTCGCTCTCAGGAACAGCGGAAAAGGTTTGCTCAGACCTGCCTGCCCCACCTCGTCTCTCTGCTCGTCTTCGCCGCCTCGCTGCTGTTTGATGCTCTGTACTCTCGTTATGGTGGCGGCTCCTTGCCAGCGCTGCAGAACGCACTGGCTGCAGAGTTTCTCGTAGTGCCGCCCATCATCAACCCCATTATCTATGGCATGAACCTGAAGCAGATCAGGACCCGAATCAGCCTCTGGATCAACTTCAGACCACAGAGCCTTCATACAGATTTCTTGAAATAAAATCAAACTCCGCAAAGATGTTCCCATCACGATGCGCTTTGGATGTACGAAGTATTTAATATATTTTCAACAGTTTATTAAAAGTTCATACTTTGACTTAAATCTCCTAAAAATATTTCCAGACAACCATGAGTGTATCTGGAACTATGTAAACTTGTTTCATGTAAAAAAGTGAACTGTAATTTCAGCGCATTGATCCAGATTTTATTTGGAATTCTGTAGAAGGAACTTTGAAATAATAGTAATAAACATGCCTCTCAAATAATGCAAGTTTTCTCTTTTGCTTATGAAATGTTTATGAACACATGTCATGTTTGTGCTGTATTAATATTCACAAACATTCATTAATTTGGACTGATTGTGCCTCACCAACAATGCTCTTTACTACAATTCTTGGTGTTTCGGTGTGGATTTCTGTACTGGATTCCAATATTGCACTGATCATTCTGGGTTATTTTATACCATAATCTTTACATATTTCAGGTGTCTGCATTAGTCAAAAAGTAATTTAGTCCAATTGTCAAACTCCTCTTGAATAAGTCTGGCTTATTTAATATTTACAGTTTATACTGAACTCCAACTTGTTCTGGGTTGATTTGTCTGTTGAACTCATTAATTTTCAGGTAACCATCTTGAAAGAAAGATGGTTACCTAATAAACACAAAGGAACAAACAAGTTTTTTATTTTATTGTAGTTCAGAGGAACACATTCAGCTTCCTGTTGAAATTGCAACAGGAAGCTGAACCTTTACCAAAATAAAAGTCAACAGCATCTCAAAGCAACAGAAATTCAGTCCTCATAAATATATTTGCACCTCTGCCAGTAGAAAAATACACAACCTATCCACATCTAGATAAAGCTTTAGTCACTGATAAAGGAACATTCTGCTGTTTTTACTGGAACTTAAAGTTCAAAAATCAAACTGGTTTCTCACGATTCATGTGGAAAAAATTAAAATATGATCAGGGATGGGGAAAAAAATCTGGTTTTAGTTTTACTATCAGAAAAGAACAAAATTTTATTTCAGCAGCAAAAGACAGGAAATATTTATTCTCGCACTAAAATCCCAGAATGCACCAGAGTAAGTCATCAAATGCAATCAGATCAAGTGGTTCAATTTCTTTGGATTTTTTGTTTTCCTTTTCTCTATTTTAATGTTGATCAACAGTAAATCAAAGCAGGAAAACTTTTCAGCCATTTTCTGAAAACTGAAACGATTTCTGACGAGTCTGCAGAAAGTTTTGAACAGAAATTCAATTCTAGAGCAAAAACTGTTTCAGCTGGTTTGTGTTTTTGGTTTGATATTAACTGCAAAAGAAACTTTCATTTTCCTCTTCACAAAACATCAGAAATCTTAAAGTAACGAACATTTATAGAAAATTTAATTGTTTTATAACCTGGAAAATCTTGGCCTAATAATCTCCAGCTGAATTTTTTTTGTGCTTTTTTTTCAAAAGCTAAAAAAATAAAATAATCTTTTAAATGAAACATTTGAGTTTCTCTTTAAGCATAAATAAACCTCTATAACTTTTTCTGCAGTGACAGCTGATCAGCTGTCGGCCAATCAGAGGACAGGAAGCAGCTGCAAGAAGTGACCTCTCCACAGGAAGTAGGAGGCGGGGCTAGACGGAGCGGCGGACCAGGTGGTTCTTGTCGGGTTCTAGGAACTCGTCCAGTAGAGCGTCCGTCACCTTCCGGAGTTCGTCCTCCAGCTGGGACACGTCGCTGCAGGACGGAGAGACATCAGTGATGTCACAGAGGCCCCGCCCACATCTGTGATGACATAAATCCTCAGCTGACCTTTGTCCCGGTGCAGCGCAGAACTCGGTGTAATACTTGATCTTTGGCTCGGTGCCGCTGGTCCGCAGCGTTGCCACGACGCCGTTCTGCAGCGTGAAGGTGATCATCTGACTGCTCCTGGAAACAGGAAGCACCTGTCGGAGGAATCGAGAGTTACAGGAAACAGCTTCCTGCTTCAGATTCAACTTCCTGGAAGTTTACTCAGAACCACCTCAGATCAGAACTGAAGAATCTGAGACGGAGCTTCACTGAGTCCAGACAAGGCTTTAGGACGTCATACCAAAGAAGAGTCCAACCTCTTTCAGAACCGGGTTCTCAAAGTACTTCAAAAACAACCAACAGATTCTGCCTGGTTGTTGTTTTCTGGTGAAACTGAGTTAAAATCCGAGAACACCCCATGACCCAACAGAACTTCCTTCAGCACCAGAAACTCAGTCAAGTCCAGGAATGTCAAACTCCAGTCCTGGAGGGCCGCTGTCCTGCAGCTTTTCTATGTGCCACAGGTACAAAACACAGGAATGAAATGGCTTAATTACCTCCTCCTGGTACTCCAGAGCCTTAATGACCTAATTATTCTATTCAGCTGCAGCAGAGCCACATCTAAAAGTTGCAGGACAGCGGGCCTCCAGCGGACCTCCAGGGGGGCCTCCAGCGGACCTCCAGGGGGCCTCCAGCGGACCTCCAGGGGGCCTCCAGCGGGCCTCCAGGGGGGCCTCCAGGGGGGCCTCCAGGGGGCCTCCAGGGGGCCTCCAGCGGGCCTCCAGGGGGCCTCCAGGGGGCCTCCAGGGGGCCTCCAGCGGGCCTCCAGCGGGCCTCCAGGGGGCCTCCAGCGGACCTCCAGCGGGCCTCCAGGGGGCCTCCAGGGGGCCTCCAGCGGACCTCCAGGGGGCCTCCAGGGGGCCTCCAGGGGGGCCTCCAGGGGGCCTCCAGGGGGCCTCCAGGGGGGCCTCCAGGGGGCCTCCAGGGGGGCCTCCAGGGGGCCTCCAGGGGGCCTCCAGGGGGCCTCCAGGGGACCTCCAGCAGGCCTCCAGGGGGCCTCCAGCGGGCCTCCAGGGGGCCTCCAGGGGGGCCTCCAGGGGGCCTCCAGGGGGGCCTCCAGGGGGCCTCCAGGGGGGCCTCCAGGGGGCCTCCAGGACTGGATGTTGACACCCCGGCTCTAGTCTAATGTTGCTTCATGGGGGAATTTTTCTGCACACATTTTCAGTCTGAAAGCAGGAAAAACTTATGGCAGAAAACTATTACTTTAGTTTAGGAGTGTCTCACTTCAGACACTTCAGAGCCCGTTGCTGCTCTTTACCATGCACTCCTGCTGATCCATCTTTGGGATTCAGCAGTACTGAAGCAGAGACCTTAGTGACCCGTATTTAATGGTTCTGCAGCAATCTGTGAAGGTCCAACCACAGCATTTTTATCATACTGAGGTTTGAACTGAGCTGATTTTAGGAAAAAATTGACTTGTAAATTGTAAAACTCGCAATGAACACCGACTCCAGGAACCAGGATAATATCAGAACCTCCATCCACAATGGAAGAAGAAGAGCTGCTCTCACTGATCTGAGGTCGGGCCGGCTGCTGTCGTATCCTGTGGTTACGTCCCTGACATGGACAATCTGAATGCCACCGCACGCCTTTGGGTACAAGTCATCTCCGGCAAAGTTCCTGATCCGGCTGAAGATCCTCTGGATGGTGGGGGGATCGTTACAGGTGACATACGAGGTCTTGGACATGTGATAACCGTACCTGTACACAGGAAGTGACAAAAACTACACTGTCAAAATAAAAGAATAAAGCGGACCTCGAACACCAACGTCTCAAACCAGCCATCAAACAGAACAACCAACTTCAGAGTCAAAATAAAGTTACATTTAACAAAGATAAGCACTTTCTTAAACCTTTATACTTGAGTTTCTCAAGTATAAAGGGTTCAGGTTAATGTCAAATATGAATTTCACTCATACTTGCTATTATAATTCTGTTCCTTAAAAAGAAATATTCCATGTGTAATTTAGTAAATTTTTTAAATGTTTGTCAATTTTCAGGTAATTTTCTCACTGCTTTGAAACCCTGTTCATGTTTATGTTGCAGAGGCGGATCTCAGTGCCTGAAGACTGAACTGCGATCAGAGCTGTTGCTCTTTGCCACCATCTGGTGGCGAAACGGCAGTACGTTCTGGTAAACCAAACCTTGTGTTTTTACACCTCAGCCCCCCAACCTGCTGCATCCTACAGTCTCTTACGTCCGGAAGATGTTTTGAAGCTGCTGGTTCAGACTCAGTTTCCTGGTCTGCAGGTATGCCGCCATTTCGGCCACGACGACGGCCGCACTGACGCCATCTTTCTCAGGAACAATGCTGCCACAGAGGAAACCTGCAGACAGCAACTTTGACTGAGTCATTGTTTTACAGTTTGAACACATCTTTTTGTGCACAGAATGAAACATAAAGAGAAGCCAGAAGAGACTTTATGTAGAAGCCTGTTCTGAGTTGTAGTTCTGCTAATCTGCCAGTAGGTGTCACCACTTCAGCTTGTTAGGCTTCTTACTTAATTTTTTTAATTTAATGAAAATCAGAACATGGCTGGTAACATTTAAATAATTAAATTTTGAGTCACAAAAATTTTCTTTGTAAGTGTGGCTTAAAAAAAAGGAAATGTCTTTAAATTAGATCCTAGAAAAGAAGCACAGTGTTTATAGTGCCACTTACAGACGGATTAATGCAACTACAAGTTGAGTCAGTTGGACTCAAAGATGGAACTGAAATGAAATATTGTGTTATCCTGGGTTCAAATGGCAAGAATTAAAATTGTCATGTGATTTTCAAAACCTGAGAGGCCACATGGTGATAAAAGACCATCGCTATAAAAGGTCTGGTTATACAGTGTGTGGTCTTCAGACACACAAACTGATAAACAAACATGGTCGACAAGGAAGAAGCAATGGCGAAAGTTAGTGGACGATATTTAACAGCGACTGTCTTGGATGATCTCCAACTTCCACTGGACTTTCTGTTGCACCATGGAAGCTGATTTGCTTATCGAGCCCAGACAATTCAACATGTTGAATATCCACGCTTTTAGATCGGAGAAGTCCTGATGTCCTTCTGAGCGGACAAGATCCCTCTGAACACATGGCAAGGATGTCTCTTCAGATTGTTGGCAGTGGAAAATCTTGCTATGTGAATCAGGCTTTACATCACAGCTTGGTCGTAATGCATTTAGCAACAGAACGCAATAACAGTCACTCATCAACTAGTGGTAGCAGTGAGCTGCCACTTGCATTTAGTGCAAGTGTATTGATCTGTGGCCACCACTGATTATCAGGGTCTTGGTTCTGATTGGACCAACGACGATTCTGGGAGCCACACAGAGACAGAGAGGCTGAAATGGACAGCAGACCATCAAAGGTCTCACCTATAGACTCTTCGAAGGCAAATATGACTTTGTTTCCGGTTTTGGAGAGTTCATGGATTCTGTTCCCGATCCACTTGAAGCCAGGAAGAGTTTCCTGTTGGAGAACAGATGTCACAAGTTTGTTTCTGCAGAGATCCGTCAGATGAACAAGTCGCCTTCAGCTTTTACTGACCTCAAAGTGGAAGCCCTCGATGCGAGCGAAGGCCTGCAGGATCTTGGACGACACAGTGGTGGCCAACATGTAGACGCTGTTGGTGTCCGCTGGGTCTGGATGGCTCTCCTTCCAGTTGAAGAACATCCACCATCCCAACAGGGCAGCCAACTCGTTTCCTGAGAACACCTTCCATCCACACCTGCAACTCAAAGCAGACCCAAATAACCTGCTGGGTGAATCCAGCTAGACTTCCCCTGCAGGATGGGGGTCTAACTGCAGTGAGCGTCACATACCCATCAGATCGCTCGGCCACGGCCAACCGGTCAGCGTCGGGGTCAGTTGCTAGGACGATCCGAGCGTTTTCCCGCTCAGCCAGGAGGAGTGAGAGTTCCTGGAAAACAGAGGAGGATAATAAACATGGAACAAACCCAAGAAGTTCTGACTCCACAGAGATCCAGATTACCAGGACAGACTCTCCCTCCTCTGGGTTTGGGCAGCGAACAGAGGAGAAGTTTGGGTCGGGGTCTTTCTGCTCAGGGACGGGAACGGGCGAGGCGAAGCCAAACACCTGGAAGGCCTGCTGGACAAAGTCGTGACCGACTCCATGGAAGGACGAGTGGACGAACTTTAACGTGCAGCTTCTGTTCAGATCTCTGGAAAACACAGAACGGCTTCAAGGGTTCTGCTAAGGAAGTTAGCAGAGGAAATAGGGAGAGAACAGGAAGTTATTGGGGAAAAACAGAGGGAGGAAACAGGACGTTACCTGTGGAAGCAGAGGGAAGTTAGATCGTCCATATAGCAGCTATTGATCTGGGTCAGGGGGTCGGTCCTCAGTGAACTGCGGTCCACCAGCTCCTCGTCCCAGCAGGAGGCGCTCCAGGGCTCCAGCTGCTCCTCTATACAGCGCAACACCTCCTTATCATGAGGGGAGGCAATCTGAGCGCCGCTACACCAGTACACCTGCAGGGGGAGACAGAAACACGCTGGAACTCCAGATGGTTCAGATCCACAGAGCATGAGGTTCTGGATCCGGATCAGACGGATTCATTAAGCCACATCTAAAGGTTTCTGTTCAGGACAGACTCTTGGGACCGGATGAGCGCAGCAGGAGGTTGTGTTTGGTTTGAGCGATCCGTCAGTCTGACCTTGTAACCATTGTCCTCTTTGGGATTGTGTGACGCAGTGATCATCACTCCAGATGCGGCTCCCAGTCTCTTCACAGCGTAAGGCTGGGAAACAAAACGTGGAAAGTTTGGTAAAGAGAACGTTCCCACAGCTTACAGAAGACTTCCTGTTTTTGCAGGAGAGAATCTAATTCCTCAGCATCTGATCTGAGATGCTAATTTCACATCAGATGTTTTACACCAGTAGAAGAAACAAAAAAAACTCCAAACAAAGCTAATTTATACCAACCCACACATTTAGTAACAGCAGGAACATTTATTACGGATATTTCAACATAAAGTACCTAAAGATTTATTCACCTTCCTGGACGTTTTACCTTTTTATTGCCTTTATAAATCAGTCAAGATCAACAACATTTTGTTTTTTTCAATAAAAAACAACATTTAATGTCAAAGCAAAATCTGATTTATACAAAATAATGTTAAATAAATAAAAATATGTAACATGAAATAAGTATTTAACTGATTGATCTGATTCAACAGAAGTCCAGACTAAATACTCACTAAAAAGGTCATCATTTATTTTATATTGCACATTTTTAATTCACTTCAAAAAATTATGTTGATTGTGATTGATTTGTAAATGTGTTATAAAGATAAAACCTCTAAGGAGGTGAAAACTTTTTATCAGCACAGTATTAGAGAATGGATCAAACTGAGCGCGCTCAGACTGCTACTGTTTATGCACCATGGACCTGTTTAAACAGCAGAATATTCCTTTAACAGTGACTACAGGAAGTGATGTCATCGCGCTTTCTCACCACATAAGGAGTCGGGACAAACGAGGAGAAGAGATGGACAGGAACGTCTCTGCTGAGCATCACTGCAGCCGTCAGCTTGGCCAGCCTGCGGCGCACAAACAGAGACCTGGCTCAGGAAGCGTCCAGGGGACGGACTTCCTGTCACACTTCCTGTCTGGGTGCCATTCCATCTCTGTATCAAATCCCTGGAAACAAAACCAAGTCGAGAGTTCCTGCTGTTCACCTCTGACTGCTGCAGCCGCTCTCCTCCTGACCTCTGGTGTCGTATCCAACGACGACGCCCCGGCTGCCGAGGTCAGCAAAACACCTGCACAGGTATGCATAAAGGCCCTGAAAGGGGCGAGCAACTGGTCAGATGGACAGGAATGGGAGCAGATATACTGGTCTGCAACCAGTATGACACAGTCCTTAATGGTGTAGTAACTGGTCTGGTCCCTGACTGGGTTGGTTTTACTGGTCTGCAGCCTGACTGGACTGGTGTATGAACTGGTGAGAAACCTGTGAGGACTGGATGACTGTGAGGTCGTTGATCCGGTTGAATCCGGCTCCCATCGGTGCTCTGAGTCCGGCGGTACCGAAGCTCATCCGGCTGCAGAGTCTGGACCGCAGGTCCTCCAGGCGACCCGCCGCCACCAGAGACTCCACCTGAGCCCGAGTCCATTTGTTCTACGGAAAACGAACACAAACTGCTGATTCCAACAGACCGATGACGCCGAGTTCAGAATAATGTTCTGACCAGTTTAGTTTAAGTGGCCTGAGCTGGATCCAAACCAGTAGTGATCTGGTTCTGGTTTCAGACCGCTTCCTTTCTGATTGGCTTTTATTGGCGTGTTTCAGCTCCGAGGATAAAGATAGAAATCTGAACATGAGGGAAGCTTTTCCCAGCTGCTGACATTTACAGAGCAGGTCATGGTGACCTTTAACCCACAGAGCTCTGACTGGCCGGCTGGACATCAGGGAATAAATCAGCAGTTTAATTTGGTCTCATTTCATAATCTGGATTAAAGTATGTCAATTTTAAAAAAAAACATATTTTGTTAGATATTTGTTGAAACAGTCACTATGTGGTGACTGTAAAGTATGAAACATAATTTGTGGAAAAAATAAATAAATTGTTCTGCTCTGCCTTTACCTAGCGCTAACTGCAAACAGCCAATCAGAGCCTGGAGGAGCTCTGATTGTCAATCATCCTTGTGTTGTTAGCTTGGCCACTGGTTACGTAGACAAATGATTTTTTGTACCATTAACTCATTGAGCAGCGAGTTTGACTTACAGCGCTAAGCCCCTCCTCCGCCCTGTCGGTGGATGTTATCACAGATTATCTGTCTCATATTACACCGTCAGGACATGATGAGAGTCTAATATGTAAATGTTTTTGTTTTGTAAATTACATTCTGCAGCTTTAATAGCAACAACTGCTTTTATTTCATTTAAACGATTTAGGCCTGCTGTAATGTTTGAGATTAAAGAACATGAAAGTGATGCTGATTTATTTTGACTGGACCCTCTGCAGACCTGACGTCCTCCGACAGACAGACAACCTGGACATGCAGCAGGAAGTCATCACAATAACCCAGCTCTCAGTCTGATGGTTCCAGGCTTTTCCTGCAGGATGGTAATAATCCAAACTCTGGGCCGTAGTCATGCTGCTACCTGATAATCCACACAATGTTTAGTCTGCTGCTCCCACTGACCCTGATGAGGTTTAGCTTTATTCCCCCACAGACTGAAACAAGCAGAACCAGCAGTTCTGTCTGAACCTGATCCGAGGAGAAATTCGGGATACATTGTTTCAGATCAGGAATGGCCGTTCAACAGTGATCTCATCTTTCTTAACATCTTATCAAAACGCACTAAACAAACACCAAATGGAGTTTTTACTCACAGTGTTTCTATTTTAGAAAATAAACGCGCCGATGTTTGCAGGAGGCATCAGATGTTGCTGCTCCAGTCCCTTTTAATCCTCTTTGTGTTTTCAGCTCGTTTATGTGAGAAAAACCGGTAAATGTGTGTGTGTGTCCAGGGAAACTCCCGGTAACGGTCACCGCTGCCAGGCTAACCCAAGCCAACCACTCACCCGGTCCCAGTCCAGCCACTGCTGCACCGCCTCGTCCAGCTGCGGCTCCCCGGTTCTCCGCTGCCCCAGGTTCGCGTTCTGGTTCCCGTTCCCTCCGGTTCCCGCGGTGTCCTCCATGCTGACGGACCGGGCGGGCTGATTACTGCTCGGCCATCTGGAGGCAACAGCCGCAGTGTTTGCCGGGTGTCTGGTCTCTGCTGCCTTTTCCCCTGCAGCTCGCTGTCTCTGCTGCTGCTGCACTGAGTCCCACCTAACGAGCCCTTAGCCGCAGCTAGCCGCTGTTAGCACCTCGGATGAAGTTGGCTTCCGGTTTGTAGTAAAATTAAAGGACCGTTCTAATGTTTTAAAATAATCTGGATTATAATGCAAAATAATCAGAACTACCTGGATTATTCATATTTTATAATCATTTGGTGAAAATACTAAAAACATTTCATGAGTAGAATAAAGGTCTCACTGATCTGAAACTATTCAATTATATGCAATATTTGTAGAAATAAGTATAATAACCAATATTATTGGATTCTGATCTAGAACTGGCCAAAGGTTTGTTATGTTCTTTGAATCAGATACCATAAGCCCAACTCCCGCCAGACAAACGGTCAGACAAAACTGAAACTGAACTGGATCCTTTCACAATAAAATAGAATCATTATTATTCACAAACTTTGTACAGACAGGCAAGGAATTAGACTCTCATCTTGTCTTTGAATACATTTAAAATGTATAAAAAGGATAAAATATTTAAAAAAAATTTTTTTTGTATATTTTCCAGTATTTTTCCTCGGTTTAATTAGAGGAAATATTCCCTTTATCAGTCTGTTAAGTGTCCATCAGAGACATTCTGGAGGGAGAAACCGCGTCTGTAGCACAGAGCTGAATGTGAAAGTCTAATCAGTTTGTGTCCAGGATGTGTGGGGTCTGCAGAAATATTAGCTGCCCTTTTCCTGATCCCAGTGAAACTCTGATGGCTCCTTTCAACACAAAACACTCAGATATAAACTCTGAAGACTGAATCAAAAGATATTATGTTTCCACATACTAAATTATTTATTTGGAGAAAACAAGCAGGTTTTGTCTCTGGTTCTGAATCAAACAGGCTCAACATCTGATCACTTTGATCTTTATTTTATATTTACAAAAGAGAAATTATTCACAGCTTTAGTGTTCCTGATTCTTAAAAATGTTTTCTTGTCAGTGGAGAAAAAAAGGCATCATGAGTGAAACAGTTTCTACGCAGACGACGCGCCGCCGTTCCGGTCGGGTTCTGGCGTTTCCGTCAGCCGGCAGCTGAACTGCTCCCTGAAGGCGTCCAGCAGGTGAGGCACGGCTTCCTCCACGCTGACCTCTCTCTGCAGCTCTCTGCTCAGAGACGTCACGCCTTTGCCTTCGATCCCACACGGCACAATGTGGTGGAACCACGACAGGTCCGTGTTGCAGTTCAGAGCCAAGCCGTGAGACGTGACGTAGCGGCCGCAGTGGATTCCTGGGGACACAAACACCCGTCAGACTGAGGCGCTTCCATCGGCTCTGCAAGGACCGAGGACAGGAGAACCAAGATGGAGAATAAACCACGAACCAGCTGGTTACGGGGCAAATGGACCATCAGATCAGGCAGCGGGGCAACAGAATCTGAGTGAAGTTGCCTCCCCACCCCCTTCTTTAATTAAAACCAAGTTGGTGTCAAGTGTTTGTGCCGCTATCATTTCACTTTCACAAAGTCAGATTACGTTGGTGTTCAAATGTTTGTGTAGCCAAAATGTTCATATCCTGCTATCATTCAACCAGTCCCTCCCACATTTACGAAATCATATAAAATGACTTCCAAACAAAAGCAGCACAAACCATTTCTTGCAGCACCAACCAGCACAAATGTAGCAGAATTGATTTGACTTGAAGGTCAGATGACGTTACTAAATGTCACTGAGGTAACAGCTCAACCCTGCAGCTCACAGCATTCATCACGGCCTTCAGTTCTCTGAACTCAGTTCTGTTCCGATCTGACAAACTCTGGAGGCTGACAGCATGTTATCGTGTCTCCAATGGCTAAATTCTCTATAACACCCAACAACAGAAAAATGTAAAAGAAAAAAAAATGCAACTGCAGAAACAGCAGCACATATAAAATCCTGCAAGCGGGATCCCTAAAACAGAAGTCCTCCAGACCACTAGGGGAGCCGACCACCAACTACACAGAACCAGAGACTCAGACAGAAAAAAGAGAAAAGTTGCCTTTTATGTCATGTTTATTTCAAACATGCAGTCAATGTAATGCGATGGACTCCAGACTCCCCCTAGTGGCCTGGAGGATTTCCGGGAATTCAACGGTATTGTTTTAACACTTAATCATCATGCAGACAGTGGCAACCCCACCAGGAGGACCTGGGGGGCCCAGGCCCCTTCTGGAAAATGCTAGCAACCCCTAATAAAATAACATTTACAGAAATAATTATATATGGTTGCATCGCACCGATGGCGCAGATCTTGTTGTCTCCAACCCAGACTCCAGTGTGAGGAGACGTCGCTGCTTCCACACCGAACCTGCCGCAGAGCGCGATGACCGTCTTCTCCAGCTGGCCCACGTACCAACGGACACTCTGAAGAAACAGAACCCGCTTTACACCCAGAACCACAGAGCCATCGGATCTCAGGCCGCTCAGGTCCGACCTTCTTGAAGCTCCCCAGGTTCAGCACCGGGTAGCAGACCAGCTGGCCCGGTCCATGGAAGGTGATGAGTCCGCCTCTGTTGGCGTGGTGGACGTCGGCCCCAAGCAGCCGGAGCCGGTCCAGTACTGGACCCGGATACGGTTTGTGCCGGATCCCAGTGGTGTAGACAGGTGAGTGCTGGCAGAGCAGCAGCGTATGGGCCGGACCGGACCGGTGCCGGTCAATGTAGACCTGCTGCAGCCTCAGACCCTCCTGATAGGACACCAGGCCCAGACGGACCACCTCCACCAGGGGCCTGGCGGTCTGCATCCAGAACTGCAACGGGATCAAATCAGGCAGAACCATCAAGTTCAGAGGTTTGACTCATGTGAACAGAAACGGGTCATCTCAGCATTCTTCTAAATATTCTGACATGTTTTATCAGGAAGAGCAGGGAACATTTCCGGGTCAAGTTCCTGCAGCTTTAATTCATTCAGCGTGAAGGGCGCATACAGAATCCTCCTGAGATTCTACTCTTTTTCAGACTTTCTCGGTACCGTACCGGTCCAGAACCTGCAGTGAGAACAAAAAGGTCCAATCTAACCTGCAGAACCTCACACTGAGTTCGGCTGGTTGGTTTCACCGGCTGCAGTCAGGAAAGAGCTGCTTCCGGAGGAAACTCTGATTCTCCGAGCTGCAGAACTAGAAGCTCGGTTCTGGTCCGGTCAAAGCAGCAGGTGAACCTCAAACCTCACCTGTCAACGTCACCGAGGGCTCACCCAAATCCTCTATCTGTCGGCTGTGGAATCCGCGTGGGTTTCCGCTTTAGAGCCGCACTTTCAACCGGAAACACACATAGGCCTTCACAATAAAGCTGTTCAATTGTGAATTATAGATGGAGCTCCGTCACGTTTACATGGCTTTAAATGAATCAAAAACATAAAAGAGCAATTCAAAGATATATCCTCCAGCACTCTGGTTTCATTCAGGAACGCACCGATATCACAAACCAATAATCAATATTTACTGATTTTAGAGACATTTACGCCGCTTGGAAAAATGACTACACCATATTGTTTCTCTGCTTCAGAGAAACACCTGATATCTGATTGAATTAGTAATTGATTATTGTGACTATTCAAATAAAATGAATATTATGTTGTGAATTTGTGCTTTTATTTTGAAAATTCTGACTCCCGCCACAGTGGTCTCGCGCCGCTGTGTCGCGGCTCCTCGGTTGGCGGGCTGCGCGCGCGTCCAGTGCACGCTCGCGCTGTTTTCGGCAGGGGGCGGGGTTTGTTTTCGGAGCGGACCTGAGAGACAAGATGGCGACCGCAGGGTTCGCCGAACAGCGATCCAGTCAGGCCGGTACCGCCGCAGACTCCTCCCGGTCACGGCCCGGCCCGCCAGCAGCCGCCCGGTGCCGCTCCGGGTCCGGCCTGCCGGAGAAGTGCTCGGCTTGCTCAGAGAGCCGGTCCGGGTCCGGGACGGCCTGTTCCCGGTGCCATGCCCGGAGAGTCCCGAGCAGAGAGGAGCGAATCCGGAGAAGAAGTGACCCCGAGAGAGGCGGCAGCAGAGCGGGAAAGAGGGACGGCGAGAGCCGCAGAGGTGAGGCTGTTAAGGGGGAGAGAGCAGCGCACAGGGCGCGGAACCCGGTCCGGCTCCGGGGTTCGGTTCTCTGAAGAGCTGCTGGAAAAGAACTGGGAATGAACCCATTTATTCGGAACTTTAATGGAGTTGGTTTAATAAACGGCAGGAATTTACAGTGAAAAGAGCAGCAGTGGACCGGGTTCTGACCGGTTCTGGCCCGGTCCGTTTAGTCTGCATCATAGGAGAACTTGTCCAGACATGTAGCCACAGGAGGAGCTCAGTTACTGTACTACTGCACTCTGTACTCCAGTCATTTTGAATTGCTCTGCTGGGACTTTGTGGTGGGAGTTCTAGTCCCAGTTACTGGAGGAGGTAAGACCTGGAAACAGGAGCTGAATCTTTAAATGTCTCAGAATAAGGAAAATGTTTCCTAATTTAAATAAATAATAATTAGCCTTTAGTTTAACAGCTGCGATGACAAGATTTGGTTTTTCTTGTGCTGTATTTTAGTTATGCTTCACGGACGATACATTAATAATATATTATTCATACATTATAAAGTCATTATGTCTGATAAAACATTTAATTTAAGGTAAAAACTCAGTTTTCTGCCCGATTGTGGCTTTTAAAGGGGCAAAACTTTTTGGGCGTTACATTGTGTTAGGATGTTATTCCCACATCATGAACAAAGCTGGAGTTTTGCTGAGATGCTTTCATGCATGTAATCCTTTCATCTCGATGGCAACCATTCTGCTGGGTGGACTTAGCCCCGCCTTCGAGGCGCAGCTCCTCCTCAGAGCTGCAGTTTCCAAACCTCCTCATGTTATCTTCAATGGCAACATTGTTACAATCAAATATGACATAAGAGAACTTTAACTTTGCAAAGTAATGCCTTGAAACTGGGCCCTGTCACTTTAAGAAGCTCCTGCTCTTTCTGAAGCTCCGCCTTCAGAACGTTATCACAACATGGCTCGTCTTTTAACCCTTTAACAATGTTTTATACAGGAAGGAATCAAGGCAACAGTCATGTTTATGATGAGGGAATAAATTTAGCTCAAGGAGGTGATTTTCCATGTCACCGCCCCTTTAAATGTCGTGATCCTGTTGGATCTCTGGTTCTGACAGCGTCTCTGTTTCTATTTTTCTCGCAGGCGTCTTCGTCTGTCCGACCCTGACGAAGTCTGCAGACGCTCCTGCGGCTCCGGCTGCGAAGCTCAAGGTGAGTCTGGGAGCCTTCAGGAAGTCTCTGCATCCCGAATATGGTCAGGAATCTGTCCCGCCTCTTCCTGTCCAGCTGCTGGCGTCCGACGACCGGGAGGAGATCCGGAGGTGGACCTGCCTGATGGGGAAGGATGAATTCGGGTCGGCGAGACGCGCCGTGGAGCCGGTGAGTCCAACGGATCCAGAACCCGCCCATCCTTCCTGTTCTGTTGCTCAACCCGCCGCTCTTCCCAGGGGGTTCTGTCCGACTCTGAGAACGAGGAGCCCATCAGCAGGAGGATCCGGAACATCTCCGCCTTCATCAGGAAAACCAAGAACTCCTCAGCCGTCAGCAGGTGAGCGGAGCGGCCTGACACGGCGGCGTGCCTGGAGTCCGACCTTTGACCTTCTGTTTGCTCCTCAGCGGTTCCCGGAGGAGTCGGAGCTGCACCGACCCCATGGAGGACCGGGGAGGGAAGATGAAGGCGATCGTCCCGCCAGCGGCCGTCATGGAGCAGGTGGGTCGGATCAGAACCGCCGGACAGTAAATCGGTCCATGTTTGTATTCAGGACGGGTTCTGACCCGTCTGTCAGCAAATCCTTAAAGTCTCATAAAAAAATCTTAAATTCATTAACAAAATGTAATTTGGCTCTAAATACGACAGTTTTGTTCCATTTCTCTTATGAATCTTTATCGAGATAAAGGTCTTAAATTTTACTCATAATTGTTTTAAAATCATCATAAAATTCAACTTGGCCCTAAATAAGCCGTGTTGTGGTGGGATTATTATTTAATCTCTTGTTTTCTATACGAGTTTCTTTTCACAGAACTTTCTATAAGTCAAAACTTTGAGTCTCACAAACGTCTTCACTGTCTGAGCTCCGACTCAGAGCTAATGCTACCAAGCTGCTAATGCTACCAAGCTGCTAATGCTACCAAGCTGCTGATGCTACCAAGCTGCTAATGCTACCAAGCTGCTAATGCTACCAAACTGCTAATGCTACCAAGCTGCTAATGCTACCAAGCTGCTGATGCTACCAAACTGTTAATGCTACCAAACTGCTAATGCTACCAAGCTGCTAATGCTACCAAACTGCTAATGCTACCAAGCTGCTAATGCTACCAAGCTGCTGATGCTACCAAGCTGCTGATGCTACCAAACTGCTAATGCTACCAAGCTGCTGATGCTACCAAGCTGCTGATGCTACCAAACTGCTAATGCTACCAAGCTGCTAATGCTACCAAGCTGCTGATGCTACCAAGCTGCTAATGCTACCAAGCTGCTAATGCTACCAAACTGCTAATGCTACCAAGCTGCTAATGCTACCAAGCTGCTAATGCTACCAAGCTGCTAATGCTACCAAGCTGCTAATGCTACCAAGCTGCTAATGCTACCAAGCTGCTAATGCTACCAAGCTGCTAATGCTACCAAGCTGCTAATGCTACCAAGCTGCTGATGCTACCAAACTGCTAATGCTACCAAGCTGCTGATGCTACCAAGCTGCTAATGCTACCAAGCTGCTAATGCTACCAAGCTGCTAATGCTACCAAGCTGCTAATGCTACCAAGCTGCTAATGCTAACTTCTTGATAGCCAGCAAGCAACACAAGCAAGCCATTAGCAGGAAGCATACAGCTCTTTAGCTAGCTAGCTAGGTACTAGGTAGCTGGAGAGCCATGTCCCATTTTCATTAAGTGAGCAGCACAAAGTTGCTGCCAAGAGCAACAAAAAGTTTCCTTCATGTCTTTTTCCCGTCATGATGTCAGATTAATTTAAAAACTTTGCGTTGAAGCCGCAGTAACGTTGTCCGTCACGTCCTGCAGGTGGGCATCAGCCACAGCTCGGCGGCCGGCATCCTGCTGTCGTCAGAGAACAGCCGCTCCATCTCGGCGCCCATCACGGCGCCGGATCGCCGGCTCACCTGGAGGGCGGTGCTGACGTCATCGGCCCCTCTGGGCCTGCCGCCGCCGCCGGCCCGCGCCGAGCGCTCCATCAGCCCCGAGAGCAACGACAGCATCTCAGAGGAGCTCAACCACTTCAAGCCCATCGTCTGCTCGCCGTGCACGCCGCCCAAGCGGCTGCCCGACGGCCGCCTGCTGGAGCCGACGGTCATCAAGGCGACGCCGCGCAACCTGAGCCGCAGCCTGCAGAAGGCCACCAGCTACGAGGCGAGCCCGGCCGTCCTGCAGAAGTGGCGGCAGATCGAGCTGGACCGGCAGGGGCTGAAGGTCAGCTCCAGGGCCACGCTCACAAGCCCGGCCCCCGAGGCCGAAGGGGGCGGAGCCTCCAAGGCGCCGCAGCACCGCGGCGCCTTGGCGCTGGCCAACAGGAGGCGGCTGCTGTTCGAGCCGCCGGACCTGGACGGCTTCCAGAAACAGTCGGTGAAGATCCGCGTCCCGGCCCTCCGCTACGGCGCCGCCCTCAGAGGCTGTCCGGACTTGGAGTCAGCCGGCGCCGCACCGGAACACGGCGGCGGCCCGGCGCCGTTCGGACGGAAACACTCGTTCTCTCCATGCAACAACTCCGGGTTCCGACCCGGAAAACTTGTGCCAAAGGACTCATTGAGTCCCAGGAAGGAGTGGGAGACCCTCTGCAACCAGTCTACCTCAAGGAGGGGCAAGAAGAGGAACCAGAAGACCAAACACCTGGACCCGGCTCTGGACCCGGTTCTGGACCCGGCTCTGGACCCGGCGCCAAAGAGGAGCCGGGCCGGCGGCCAGCAGGAGGCGCCGTGTCCCGTCCAGCAGGAGCGGCAGGACCGAGCGCTCGCCCTCAGACTGCAGAGACAGTTCGACCTGGAGGTCCACAGGACCAGCCCCGACCGCTACTTCCTGCGCTCCTGGAGGTCCACCCAGTACCGCCGGAGGCGGGGCTTGAGGACGGCCCGGCCAATCAGCAAGAAGCTGTGATGAGTCGGGCTCCGGCCGCTCACATATGCAAAGAGACCAAAGGAAAGTTTTTCCAGGCGGAACGTTTCTTCCAAACACCAGCAGAGAACCAAAACCTGGACAGAACCACAGCAGGTTCTGGTTCTTTATTCCGGTTCCGATCATCAACACACTGTTTTTATTCAATCAAACTGCAACAATTGACTCCTGATAATCAGCTGATCGGTTCTGGAGGAGCAGCTGCGTCACGTGTCCCAACTCTGTATTCCCCTCAACCAATCAGAACGCTGCTGAAAGAGCTTCCTGTTTGGGCTCATAGCCTCGCTCCAAACTCGGTTCCGGTTCTGTGATGAACGCGGTGGAGCCCGGGCCTCACGGACCTGCTGGAGAATCGGTGCTTCTCTAACACTCAATGAAACTCATGATTAACTGCAACGGATTAAAAAACGAGCTGCCATAAATTAGCTGCATCCTGGCCAGGAAGCTCCTCTGTACATCATGTAAAACAGCAGAAGAAGAAACTGCAGGAATGAAATAAACCTCCTGAAACAGGAATCTGTGGGTTTTTTTTAATGAGTCAGCAAAATTTCTAAATGTTTTTTTAAAATCTAGTTAACTGCAATTTTAAATTTCCTTTGTTTTTTTGTTTTTTTTCTGTTTTTATTTTTTTGCAATTTCAGTGTTTTTTTTCCTAACATAACAAAAAATACTGTTCATTTCTGGAAGCATTTGTAGAATTTAAAAATGTGAAATATTTTTTTAGAGGCTTTTTTTACATTTAAGATAAAACTTTACTGTCAATTTGTCACCTTTCTCCCAACATTCAAATTCAAAAATACTTAACTTTTATTATAAATTACAAAGAAACCGGAAATGTCATCAGCACCAATCAGTTATTTGGAATTAATACTTATAAGCAACATTTAAACTGCCAGGAGTTTAGTAATGAAGCGGGTAAACGTAACGAATGGATTTCTGGTTTGATTCATTGGTTGTCCAACTTACGTGATGACGCAGCTACGCAGACGCACTAACGGGACTTAACTGTTGAGCCAATCAGGTTGATCCAGCTCACGACTTCCTTATTTGGAAGGGTAAAGATGGCGGCTCGGAACGGGAAGAGCGGGCTGTTGGAGAAAGTAAGGTTTTAAAGTTGTAACGTTTTTTTTGTTTTATTCTGATTTTGGGTGAGAAGTGATGGCTTTATTCTCTGCTATAGTTCAAACAGCCGAATCTCGACGCTACGGTTTTACTCAGAACAACAGTTTTAATGTTGGGTTTCCGGTGAGATGAAGCTAAAATCACATTTTAAATAATTTAAATGAAATTAAACTATTTGCAGATTTATGAAGTGACAGCTAAATGTAGAAAATCTTCCAGTTCTCTTTCTGTGTCGAGGATCAATCAAGTTACACTGAAATTCTTTGTGCGCAGCTGTTAGGAATCTCTACACCAGACTTTATTCAAAAAAGCACTAATTTAATTTTATTTTGAAACGGGGGGCCTAATATACAAAGAGACAATAATCATCACCAAAGGTATAATCAGTGGAATTGATCGGTTTCAACGTTTAAGAAATCAGGCCGATGCAGCGAGGTTGCGTCAGTTTTTCATTAAGTTATATGGAATCCCAAAAGGATCAAATTTATCTGGCGTTTCATTAAAAATATGACAGCCTCTGCAGCAGATGAGTCAAAATACTAATTGAGATGCTATTTATTGACTAAAGAGTAAAAGAGTACATTTCAAAAACCATAATTTGAAAGGTAAATAAAATATCTTTCTAAAATAGATCTTAATAAGATCATGTTTCTCTTTTATTTGGATTCAGCCTCTGGTAGCTGGGGGAAACTTCACAAAACAAAATAACATGACTTCAGTGTTTTGGATTCCACAATAAAAGATCCAACAAAGCCTCTTTGTGCTTTTTAGCCTTTTCAGAGTAAATCAGTCACTTAATTGATTTGTAACAGTTTGGTTTTATTAATCCAAAGCCTGTAGATTATCTGTCAACACTCAAAATAAACAGTGTTCATTTTGAACACTGCTCTTGGACAAAATAAACAAAACGACTAAAATGAATGATAAATTCTCTGGTTAAATCAGAGAATTGACCTGAGGCGAGTGAACATATAAAGTAAGACGTTTGATTGGCAGAATAATGTTTCAGTGCTGAGATCAGAGAATGACGCGTCATTAAACTCAGAGTTTCTGCTTTGAACTAATTTCATAACGAACAAGATCTGATGATGATGAGTTGAGGAAACAGGAAATGAGACAAGCAGGCTGCTGGTTTCTGAAACGCCTCACAGACGCAGGAAGCGAACTCACCGGGGTTTAAGCCAGAGCCCTGATGGACGCCCTGATGGACGGCGGGTTGGACGTTTCACTGCATGCGACCCGCAGTGAGCAACAGCTGATGAGCGGCGGTGCATCTGCATCCTGACTGGACCGTCAGAATCCCGTCTGCGTCCTGATTGGATGGATGGGATCCTGACTGGGTCGTTTGTCGTTTCAGTGGCGGATCGATGAGAAGCCGGTGAAGATCGATAAGTGGGATGGAGCCGCGGTGAAGAACTCTCTGGACGATGCAGCGAAAAAGGTCTGTTGTCATGGCAGCCAGCAGCTTTTTTTTGCTGCAGCTAATGAATGTTTGTTTGTATAGAAACACCATTTTCTCACCATTGCTCCTTTTGTTTGTGCGTTGACTGCGGCGCCCCCTGCAGGTGCTGCTGGAGAAGTACGGCTACGTGGAGAACTTCCAGCTGGTGGACGGACGTCTGCTGATCTGCACCGTCTCCTGTCTGTTTGCCATGCTGGCGCTGGTCTGGGACTACCTGTACCCGTTCCCCGAGTCCAAACCCGTCCTGGCCTGCTGCGTCATCTCATATCCTTCGCCTGCTCCGGTCCGGGTTTTACCACAAACTTTAAAACATGGTGCTAAACGGTGATCGTTCCCTAACTCACCTTCATCACGTACTTCATCATGATGGGCATCCTGACTCTCTACACCTCCTACAAGGAGAAGAACATCTTCCTGGTGGCCATGCAGAAAGACCCGGCCGGGATGGATCCGGACCACATCTGGCAGCTGTCGTCTTCCCTCAAACGGTCCGAGTGCAGCAGCATCACAGCACGTTGTGCTGCAAACTACACAACACTGCACAACACGCTGCATGAAATGGAAAACTAGCAAACAGACACAACCCGCTCTTTAGACCAGAACCTGCTGGTTCATTCCCACCGGCCCTGCTTGGTCCGCTTTAGTCCAACTCCAGTTTATTTGTCTACAAAGTCTAGTTCGGTTGGTGACGTGTGAATGCTACGCTAACTCTGGTCTTCCACACCTCGGGGTTGTTTCGGTTGAAGTGAACTCTGTTTCGGTTTGAATATGTGAACGGCAAGCGGACCAGAGCCCACTGCAAAAACAGGAAGTGGACTACAGTGCAGGGCATTCTGGGTGAATTCCACCAAAACAGACGTGTTAGCCTAGCATTAGCAGCAGAAATGGCTCCTGGGCTTCAGCCAAAGACTAAAGAGAAATCCTCCAACACTAAACTCTGACGACTCCATCTTGTTTCATCTGGTGAAGCAGGAAGTTGTTCTCAGCATCTTCAGAGGTTTCAGTGTTGTATCCTTCAGTGGTTCTTGGTGCAGCGCCCCCACAGGCCAGGAGGGGAACAGGCTGGTTTGACTCAGCCACAGCATTTGGAGATGGAGCAGATGTTCTGGTTCCAGTAGAACCGGGCTGACCGGACCATCAGGTGGCAAAAGAAGCTTGTTTTCTTCCACCAACTGAGAAAACAGGAACTAAGTAGAAAACGGATGTGAAGTGTTTTTTTCTTCAGACTCGGTTTGACTCCTTTTCCCCTTACTCTCTTCCAGGTTCGATGACCAGTACTCGCTCCGCGTCTCCTTCACTGACGGGAAGTCCAGGAACTTGCGTGAGGCCGAGTTCACCAAGTCCGTGTCGACGTTCTTCGACGAGTCGGGGACTCTGGTGATGGACCAGTTCGAGGCCTCCGTCTCCAAGCTGCATGACACGCTGGCCACGGAGAAGAAGACGAAATGAGGAGGATCGGCGCGATCTGGGCCGACGCTGACGCTGCGCTGGCTTCAGTTTGGTCTCCAAATCAGATTCGGTTTGATCCTCAGCTCAAACCGAATCTGAAGCCGACCTGCAGGTTCAGGCAGAATCTGAAGCCTGGAGTCAAACTGAAACCAACAACCAGGAGGAAGGAAGACTGAAGCAGAGGAGGAGTTCACCTTCCTCCTCGCAGCCTGAACTTCCTGTTCCGGTTCTTCAGACTGGAGCAGCTCATCTGTAGTTTCCTGTTAGAGTAAATAAAATCAGCGTCATCCTCCACAACAGTTTAACTTTAGTTTAAGATGTGTTTCTGTAAAGTGACTCGTTTAATCTCCTGGTCAGAAGGCCCAGTCACACTGAGGCATGCAGCGGTGGGCGGGGCTACACACCTGAGCAGGTGGAGAGAACATTTTCGTCTCTGAACTGAACGTCGACCAAACCTTTATTTTATTCTACATGTTTTATGTTTTGTTGTTTTTCAGTTGGGCTTTGCAGCTTTGTAAGGAAAATAAACGTGATGTTTAAAGGCTTTGAGTTTTGATTCTTTTTCTGCCTGTGAACCTCTGGGGGGCGCTACAGGCTCAGAAGTTTAAAGTAATCAAAGGTCAACCAGATTTCATATGCATCGTTTTGGGGTAGATGTAAATCACAACAGGTAAAAAGATTAACTTTATTGAAAGAAACATTTATTTTTCTCACCAAAGAAGTCAGCATGTTGATCAGACCGCTGCTGATTCTGACTGAAATGTGAGAAACGTCTCCAGCTGCAGCTAAGAGCTGTGAGAATAAAATAGGATAAAAACACATTGAACTGATGAGCAGGAAGAAACTTAACAGCAATAATTTGAGTTATTTATGGTGAAATTTCAGCCTGCAGCTTTAAGCTGCACAAAATAAACATCGTGTTTAATTCAGGTTCACTTTCAACATCATAATTGCAGTAAGTCATTCATCTCTAAAAGTCAATGTTTCAAATTAAACATTTAGCTTGTTAAACGTTTAGATTGAAGACAAATAGGTGATAAAATATTTAACGACAACCTGAATATTTAGAAAGCAAGATAGATATTTAGTTTGAAGTATTTATATTGCTAACTATTTAGTTAGCAAATGACATTTAGCTTAGAAGCTAAATGTTTAGCTTTCTTAATATTTAGTTCAGAAACTAAATGTTTTCTAAACTGAACATTTAGTTTATCTCGCTAACTAAACATTTGGTTTCAATTTAAATATTTAGCTTACTAAATATTTAAATTGTTAATTACATATTCAATTGTTTATAGATTTTGTTTACAGACCAAATAGCTCACTAACTAAATATTAGATGGATCGATTTTATTATTTTATCTGATGCGTGTGTGTTAGCCCCCGATGCTAATGCTGCTCTTGCACATCAAAAGCCACCATTTGCATCAGCATTGAAATTAAATTAGCTTCCACCTCTTTCAAGACAGATATTGATAAAAATCCTGATCAATAATCAGTGTTCTGTATTTTCACATGGGCCTGTCTGAGTGGGTGTGGCCTCCAGCTTTAGGGCGGGGCTATAGCTCAGGGGGCGGAGACTTTTCCCAGCGCCGGGCTGAGTTTCCTCAGAGCGAGAGCTTCACAGAGCTGCAGTCTGTCTGCCATGGCCTGTCTGATGGCCGCCTGGTCCGTGCACAATCCCACCGTGACCAACTCCATCATCATGGTGAGTGCAACACACACACACACACACACACACACACACACACACACACACACACACACACACACACACACACTCACTCACACACACACACACACACACACACACACACACACACACACACACACACACACACACACACACAGCATGTGAAAACAGAACCTGACTTCAGTTCTCTGAGTTTCTGTCTCATATTGATGGACTTTAGTTGCTCAGTTTCTCAAACAGGTGGAAACAAATATGAGACAGAATCTGATTTTGCTTTTTCTTATTATAATTATTTTAGCAATGCAATAATAATTTGTAATAATCAGAATATAGAGCAGTCAGAGTTTGAGTTGTTGCTTCAGTGGTGGACAGACTGAGCGCGCTCAGTGGCTCTCATGAACAGGGAGACCCACTAGAGGACAGGTGTCCACTGTCCACCGCCTGAACACTTCCACACAAACACAAATTAAGCCTTTAACCTGAACTGAAACATCAGCAGTTGTTTCTGAGTCGTTACATTATATCAACTCCCAATCTCTGATTTATCTGTTTCTCTGAATATTCCTGGCGTCTTCCTCATAGTGTGCATTATAAAGCTGACCACTAGAGGCAGTGTTAAAGAGTTGCGTTTAAAGCTCCATTAAGTGCTGAGGTGTTAGTTTGTATAATTTGTCTTTTTTTAGTCTTTATCTTTGCAGAACTTCGCCATAGGGCGCCCCCTAGGGCCGTCTTCCAGCAACAGCAGGGATTGATCATAAAGATAAGAAGCTAACGTTAATTTTTGTCTTGAAGAAAATCTTTTCCTCTATGCGCTGTGATTGTTTCCAGGTGTATGTGTGATGTTTAGGTTCTCAGGTGCGGCGTGTTGTGCTGATTCAGGGCAGCAATCAGCTCAGTCTGTCCAGCAGTAACCTCCGGGACAGATTAGAGCCTCGAAGCGTCCCACATAAACAGGAGCCTGCTAATCTGAGCGCTCACTGCTCTTCTCCAGCTGACGCTCCGACACGTCCTCATGAAGTCTGCTCCGACCTCACTTTACGTCTTCCCTCCACAACTGGAAGAATTATTTTTTAAAAAGTTGAAAGAAATACTCTGAATTTTTTTTTTTTAATGGCGGAACTGAACAAATTGAGCCAGAAGGAAACGTCTTCTCGCCTGCAGAACACCAACGGGCCCCCCGACCTGATGCTGGACCCCCGGACGGTGTGCGTCTGTTTGGAAGAGGGGATCAACAAGCATCCGGGGGGAACCCAGCAGACCCCGCTGCTGCAGAAACACCAGAAGAAGCAGGACGGACCCCTGAAGAAGGTGGACAACATCCTGACGGAGGCCCAGAGGTTCTCCTCATTGCCACGGAGACCAGCCGTCAACATAGAGTTCAAAGACGTCTCCTACTCAATCAGAGAGGGACCCTGGTGGAGGAAAAAAGGTAAGTCATGCTTTTACTGTCATGATTTACTGACATCGTCACGTCTCTCTGAGGACGGTAACCGTCTGGTTTGGTTCTGGTCACGTTGGGAGCGACTCCATCGGCGGTCCATTCCTCGCTGGCACGCCGATGATGTCACGCCGATGATGTCACTTTGCACGCATACGGTTGGGCGGCCAGTTTCTCTCGGTAGACTTGCTCATTGCCTCGTCCAGTTGACGCCGTCAGCAACCTTCTGCCGATAAAAGGTTTGGACCTCAAAGTTTGACCATGGATTTAACGTCAACTGCTACGTCTCCTGATTGGGTCAGATGTTCTTAATGGAGTCTGCTGCCAATCAAACCAGCTTGACCCGGCTGGTACCACCTCTGAGTGGTTCCAAAAACAGGGAGGAACTGCAAAGCTTCTGCAATGTAGATGAATCTGGCTCGGCCCGATTGACCATGAAGAGACTTTAGAGACTCAGTAGAACCGCCCCAGTGGTCCGAAGTCAGAAGAGCTGGTGGAGTTGCTTGGACAGGTAGTTTACACCACCGTAGTGGAACCTCAGCAGCCTGGACTGAGATTGCCTTAATAAGCTCAGTGGTACCGGACAACGTTCCCCTGATCCAGAAGGACCAGCTGCCGCGAAATCAGAGTTTAAACTGTTTGACCAAACAGCAGGGGGGCTTCAGGTAGCCAGCAGAGGGGGCTTCAGGTAGCCAGCAGGGGGGCTTCAGGTAGCCAGCAGGGGGACTTCAGGTAGCCAGCAGGACGGCTTCAGGTAGCCAGCAGGAGGGCTTCAGGTAGCCAGCAGGAGGGCTTCAGGTAGCCAGCGGAGTGGAGGGACATCAGGATCCAACAGGTTCTGGATAATCTTTGTTCAGACACTTTGAATGCAAAATGACGGTAACGATTGAACAGAGCGGAAAGAAAGACCACCAGTCCAGCTACTGGTGAAGGTGGTGTTCCTTCACTGGTCTGCACTGGTCCATTGGACTGGGAGGGATATCTCTAAAACTCTGGCAGGTGTTCAGAAGAAATCCTTACCAGTTGTCCAAATATGATTAATAACAGCCACGTTTCTACTCCAAACCAAGAACCAAGATCTTTAAGCTGTGCCACTCGACCAGAACCGACCGACCCAAATCACCAGCTTGTCCTGACGACGGGGTTTGGTCCCTGGCAGGGACTCTGTCTGCAACTGACTCTGGGTCAAAGGTCAAACTCATTCAGTGACTCCTGAACCAACACCAGGATGAAGAGATCATGGTCACTTCTTCTGGCCTGCAGGGGGAAGGTTCATTCATGATGACCTCATGGTTTGACCTCATGGTTTGACCTCATGGTTTAACCCCCACCTGACACGGCAGGTTACGGTTGGACGCGGCGCCGTTTGCATTTCAGCTTATTCAGACATTCATAAATGTTGCAAACTAAATACTTAATTCACAAGCTACACATTTAGCTTTCAAATTAAGTCATTCATTAGTAAGTTTGAAAACTAAATATTTAGTTAGTGTCGCAGTCAAAGTTACAAACCCGTTATAAAATCTTTCCTTCTTGGTGAGGCTGTGTGTTTTTTCAAACTGTGTTTCCATTTAGCCAATTTATTTTGGTAATTTTATTTATATGCTGAATGAAAACAGAGTTTAGAGTCTTTATGAACTGATTCAGTCACTGAACTGATTCAGATTTATTCATGAGCCGATGCTCAGTGAGCCCAACATGGAGCGGAGGATGATCCGTGTCCGGCCTGGTCGGCCAGCTGGAGTTCCCTCCATCAGAGGAGAGAACGGCCATGTTGCTCAGGTCAACATGGCCGTCACCTCGCTTGGTTAAACCTGTGGGACCGGAAACACGAGGTTGGACCGACCTGGAGCTTCTTACTGACCTGACAGTCCGCAGCGTCCAGCTCCTCGCCACGTTTCTTGCCAGATCAGACTGCATCATGGGAGCCTGCAGACGCAGCGAAAGGAATCAGATCAAACAGATCGTTCAGTCCGTGTTGGCCTCACTTCCAATCTCAATAATCAATAAATCAATTAATCACGTCATAGATTAAATCATGATCGCCGCCTCGTTTGGATCGGCTGAACGGTTCGTTACAGAACAGGCGACTTGCTGTAGTTCAGAGTCCAAAAGCAACCGGGTCGATATTCAGTCTTCTGTGTTTCGGCCGGTTTGTAGTTTTCCAGATTTGTGGTGCATAGAAGCTGGAAGCTGCTTCTATGTGTGACAGTTGATCTCAGTTACAGAATTTATACAGAAAAACCTTAAAGCCATTACTGGGGTTTTATGAACAGACCAACACAAAGCTTCCTGAGTTTGGTTCTGGTTCTGCTGGAGGGCTCTTCCTGTGGAAAGGAAGTTGTTCTTTCCACTGTCGCCCTGTGCTTGTTTAGAAGAGGAACGCTGTAGATCAGACAGCAGGTCAATAACTTGACAGCACTCGAAGCAGGAACAAACGGGGATCAGTCTGTGTGATTGGATTGAATTATTTTGATCAGATTACCTGGACCGGTCGCCACACAGAACCGACTTACTGGAATCTGCTCCACCTGCAGATCCACAGCAGCCGTGATCTGATCATGATCAGTGATCGTTCTGAAGTCAATTCATTTTACTGGTATAAAATTAATCTGATTGGATATTAGATCTGTGGTCCAACAACAACCAGTGGCGCCAATTGGGCGCTGTGCTTGAAGAGGCGCCAAAACGAAGGTGGGAAAGTTATTCCTAATCTACATTTTCAGGGAATAATCAGAGATCAGAGGATTTCTGATCTGTTCCAGAGTCACACTGAAGCTGAGCTCAGAAAACACGGAGAACCAGCGGGAGACGACGATGCCACCAGCAGCGGTTTGTTATTGTCCCGGTCCCACTCTGTTGGTGTGTTCCTGCTAGATTAACAGGCTGTAATCTGTTAATCTCACTCAGCATCTCCTGCTGGAAATAGCTGCAGGTCAGATTAAGATGCTCTGCCACCCACAGCTGAGAGGAATTTCTCTGAGATGAAGGAAAACAACAATCTGATAATTCTGCAGAGAACCAGAAACCGATACATTGATCCACCTGTCAGATTATAATCTGAGTGGGCTTTTGTAAGTCTTCTGATTATTAACACACTCACCAACAGAAGAAGACTCTTTGTGAGCAGCGTTGACTGTAAAACGCAGAATGTGAACAGAAATGTTGGGATTGTGTTTCAGCCTTTCAGAGCAGAACAATGCAGCGCAGAGCCTCCCGATCTGAGCAGCGATACGCCGCTTCACCCGCCTGCACGGCTTTCAGCCGCATTTCAAACGCTTTCGCCGACCCACAATGATCACAGAACTGAAGACAGCCCAGATTTTTACAGGAATTACATCACTGCAGTTTGTTTATTTGGGCAGAATGATGTTTTTCAGCCACAAATGCAACTTTATCGCACAATCAAGTAACTACATTACCTGAAAAGTCTGTATATATCAAATCACTTAAGAGAAATTTTACTGACTGATTTAATGCCTTGAAATTGGGCCTCTGTCTCTTTAAAAGCTCCTGCTATTTCTGAAGCTCCGCCTCCAGGAAGTCCTCCCAACATGGCTGCTCTATTAACCCTAACAACATTTTTATCAGCAACGCGAAGCTCAGAAGTTCCACCAAGTGTTTTCTAATAATGTGCTAATGTTTGCTAATTGCTGCTGACTAGTCTGTAGGAGCTGACTGGTCTGGCTGTTCTTGTCTGGCCTCCGACTTCTTGGTCTTGTAGTAGCTTTGCTTCTTTCTCTTGTCGGGTGTTTGTAGTTCAGAGTCCAATTGGACCAGCTGAATCACCTGGATGACCCCTGGATGACCCCTGGATGACCCCGGTTCTGCTCAGCAATGATGTTTGAACTGAACAGTTTTCTGTTTCATACATTCAGTTGAGTAGTGGAGGACCCGTCGACCTGTTATCACGGCAACCGACCCCTGCTGTGAAGCAGAGCAGCTTTGCTCTCTGGTGTAGAAGCAGGAATCTGAGTGAAGCATCTTTAGAGGACAAATCTGAGAAAGGCGGATTGTTCCTCAGCCTGACAGAAACGAGTTTTCTGGTTTTTCTGATCTGCATTCAGCAGCAGGAAACTCGTCTCCCTACGAATCTTCGGCTGCTGCCGGTTTTGCTCTGTGGCTCTGGAATAAAGGTCGGCACAGATCCGATTTCTGTGGAAGCAGCGGTTGAACTCTTTGTTTCTGCGGCGGGTGAACCCTCCTGGTTTCAGTGGGAACATTCCTCACCTGCTCAACTGTGAATGAAGCTGAAACAGGATGTTCCTCATCAGGACGTCCCAAACGCTTCACGGCTTCTCTCTCATCTGCTCACATCTTCATCAGACTGACTCAGATCTGTTGTTTTTTCTAGAGTTTAGAACCTGAAGAGACCTGGACCGGGTCGGTTCTGCCCCAAACGGCGCACAGATAAAATAGTAAAATAAAAATCCATCGCTGCCCAATAAATTAGGACAAATCGTTCAGCCAAGAGATTTGAATTCAATCGAGAGTATCAGACTAAAGCCTTTCCTCTGCCTACATGCCCCAGAATGCCTTGCGGTTCTGGATAGACGTTTGGTGAAATTATTCTATGAGACGTATTTCTATTGATCACGGCTCTGTAATGTTGTGTTTTATGGGTTTTGTACCAGTTGAGCAGGGTGTGCAGGTTCTGGTGCTGATGCAGAGGTTACTGTCGGCCAGATTTAATCCCGTTCTCAGATTAAACATGATAATCCCATTGAGGAGTGTTTAGACTCCATCAGCAGATAAACTGCAGAGGTTACTGAAGATCGTTGTTCTACTCGGGATGGATTGATTAATTGATTAACTGATTGACTGGGTTCTGAAACGAAGTTTTCTGTTTATTTTTGCGCGTTTTAACCTTTAACCCCACTAGTTGTCTGGTTCAGATCTTCTCCTCTCCGTCTCATAAGCCAATCAGAGCTCGGCAGTGGAGTGAAACCGGCGAGCCGGTCAGAGGGGAAGCTCTGTGAAACCGGAGCCCGGCCCGCAGGACAAAGAGCCGCTCTGGGTGCTGCTGGGAACCGGCAGACTCATTGTTCCGCCTCGTTTCAGGTTACAAAACTCTGCTCAAAGCCATCTCTGGGAAATTCACCAGCGGGGACCTGGTGGCCATCATGGGGCCCTCCGGAGCCGGGAAGTCCACGCTCATGAATATCCTGGCGGGATACAGGTGAGCCCTGTGGCGGTCGCGTTTTCCCGAAGCGTTTCGGACCAACGTGACCCAGACTCACCGAGTCCTTCCAACAGGGAGACGGGGATGAAGGGAGAGATCCTGATCAACGGCCAACCCAGAGACCTGCGCTCTTTCCGGAAGGTTTCCTGCTACATCATGCAGGACGACATGCTGCTGCCGCACCTCACCGTGCTGGAGGCCATGATGGTAGGAGCAGCTTCCCCAGTCACAAAAAACAAATCACTGAATAAAACGGGTCAGAAAATCCCCAACGCTGAGACTGCAGGAGATTTAGCAAACTGTGGCAACGGCAACCTGGCAGGACTGAAGCCCCGTACGTATGGGATGCCTTTGTTGAGCATTTATCCTGTCATGAGGGAACAAACTTCATTTCTTTAAGTCATATTTTAATTTCTAAATGTCAGTTTCACAAGTTAAATGTTTAGTTTACAATCTAAACATTTATCTTCAAATGTTTAGCCTCAAACTAAATACTTAGCATATATAAAGCAATATACATAAATATTTTGTTAGCTTACTAATTAAATATTTAGCTTGTCAACTAAATATGCAGTTTGGAGCTAAATATTTATTTTGAAACTGTTACATGAGGAAGAAGTGAGGATGGGATTTTCTAAAATCATAATATATATTTTATTCCGACTCAAAATAATCCAAATTATTGCTGTATTTATTATTTCTTTCACTGTTTTCTATTTGGAACATGCAGAATCATTTAGTTAAGTTTTAAAGAAAGTTCAGAAAAACATTTTTATGATTTATTTACGGTTCATTAACATTTTTACTAAATTTGTTGACTAATGGTGAAAGAGCTGAAACCAGGCAGTTGATCTGAAATCCAGCCAAACAAGAGAACATTTCCGGTCTCGGTGAGGAAGCCGGTTCCGTCCCGGTTCCAGTTCAGGTCTGGAGGTGAAATCTGTGTGTTTCTGCAGGTTTCTGCCAACCTGAAGCTGCAGGAGAAGGAGGAGGCTCGGAGGGAGATGGTGGGTTTGGAACAGCTTCAAACAGCTTCACTGCTCCTCAGAGTCTGAGCGGCGGGTCTGCTTCTGTTTTGGGCTCCATCAGGTCCATGAGATCCTGACAGCTCTGGGTCTGCTGGACTGTGCTAGAACCAGAACCTCCCACCTGTCCGGAGGCCAGAGGAAGAGGCTGGCCATCGCTCTGGAGCTCGTCAACAATCCTCCGGTGATGTTCTTCGACGAGCCCACCAGGTGATCTGGCGCTTCCTCTTTATGTTGAATTTTTTATGGTTGGTTAAATTATTAGTGAGCGTCCATCTTTTGAGCAGAAGCTTGAATCACGATGGACTTCAGGTCGTCTGAGCTTTGCTCCCATCTGTTTCGTTCCAGCGGTTTGGACAGTTCGTCTTGTTTCCAAGTCGTCTCTCTTCTCAAAGCTCTGGCTCGAGGAGGACGGACCGTCATCTGCACCATCCACCAACCCAGCGCCAAACTCTTTGAGCTGTTTGACAAGGCAAGACGAGGAGGACAAACTCAATGCACCGTTTAGATGCAGACACTGAGACCCAACACTCTCCTAAGTCCAGCTTTAAGAACCAACATCAGCCTAAAACACCCAAAGCCATCAAATGACCAAAAACCTCTCAGAGTTTGGTGCACATAAATAAAACACCTAAATATTGTTAATGAACTGATCTGCTCTCTGATCTGTGTGTCTGTCTGTTGCAGCTCTACGTTCTGAGTCAGGGCCAGTGCATCTATAGGGGGAAGGTGTCCAGTCTGGTTCCGTACCTGCAGGAGCTCGGACTGAACTGTCCGACCTACCACAACCCGGCCGACTTCAGTGAGAACACAACATAGTCACAGCATGAATCTATTTCCAAGACAGCAGAAAGTGAATCAGTTTGGACCTGAAGAGAAGGAATCAGAACAGTTCTGGGCTACTGTCCGATGCTTTGTTTACCTTGGAGGCCAGGTGTTGTTCACCTCAGATAGACCTTTTGGCAGGTATTGGAAAACAAACCTTGATGTTCTTCGAAGCTTAAGAATTGTGTCCTTGAATATGGAGGTGCCTGCGTGGAAGACATCTTGCCTATTACTGGTGCTGAGGTCTGGTAGCAAAACAAGGACAGAAACTCTGGTTGCAGAGATCCAGCATGGTTTTCTGAAGGTAGAGCCGTGGATGTTGTCTTGGTTGACTTGTTTTGCATAGAGGTCAGGCTTTGGCCTGGCAGGTTGGGATGGTCTTGCTGTCTTTATCTCTGGTGGGATCTCCATTCTCAACCCTTCAGTTCAGATGTTTCTGCTAAACATCTGAACAGTGAGCAGCTGGTTTTGGACATGTCATGGACATGAGCAGCTGGTTTTGGACATGTCCTACAGGTCAGAGGCTTTGGGGAAGGATAGGCTGAAAAATCCACGTTTGATCATCTCTGATTAGAAAATTCACCTGATTTTAAACCTAAATAACTCCAAAGATAGTCATTGGCTAACCAGAGCTACTCCATGTAGCCAGTGCTGGCTACCTTTTTTCATCACCACCAACAACAGAGACCATTTTTTGTTTACTGCTTGAAATGACCTTTTCCACATAATTCAAACATTAACTAACTTGTCTTCTCTGCAGTCATGGAGGTGGCGTCCGGGGAGTACGGGGACCAGATGGTGAGGCTGGTGAAGGCAGTGCAGGACAGAAAGTCTGAGGAAGAGCATCAGACGGAGCTGAACGGAGACGCCAACCTGCATCCGCTCCTCTGGCAGGAGGTATGAACCGTAGGAGAGGAATAATCAGGCGGTAGAATAAGATCCGATTCTCTCAGCTGAAAGTTTCTGCTCCTGACAGGAGAGTTCTCCGTCGGAGGGTTGCCACAGCTTCTCAGCCAGCTGCAAGACTCAGTTCTGCATCCTGTTCAGGCGGACGTTCCTCAGCATCCTCCGCGACTCGGTGAGGAAACTTCCCACCGACTCAGATTTCACCAGGGTCTAACTTTCACTTAAATTAGCATTTAGGGAAGGAGAACAACCAGATTAGCTGGATCCACAGCAGAGGTTCCTCCTTATAAAACAAAAACCTGAGTTTTTATTTTTCCTTCAACAGAAATTAATAGTTTAAAGGAGCAGAATTACGTAACATCAACTTTTCTTTTTGTTTTCCATCATGTTAAGTTTTTCCCTCAGCAAAGATAAACCTGGAGTGTTGCCTCAATTCTTCCATTCATGTTTGAGAAAACCTTTTATCCCCTCTCAGCTCCTTCAGACTAGCCACCAGCAATTAGCAAACGGCTGATGGAACTGTAGAGCTCGTTACAGGAGCTATTGTTCAATGAAATGCTGGGAAAACGTTGGCAAAGGGTTAACAGAGGAGCCATGTTGGCAGGCGGAGCTTCAGAAAGAGCAGAAGCTTCTTAAAGAAACAGAGACCCAAGTTCAGGCGATAAATCAGGAAGTAAATTTTTTAAAGTCATTTGCAATATAAATAATAATTTGATATCTATAAAACAGTTTTAAACAACCAATTATTATAGTGGAAATGTTATTGCTGCCTGTTTGATCTTTTAATGTTTGACAATCCAGGATAAATGTTCCAACATCAGTGGAAATTTATTTTTATACATCCATAAATTCTGCCGTTTTAACGCGTTCAAAAGCATCTGGACTCAACAGCAGCTGCTTCACATTTCATTTCATGTTATGGATATTTTCAGTACTATGCCTGGTGTCTGATTGGCTGAGCAGGTGCTGACCCACCTCAGGATCTCCTCTCACATCGGGATCGGAGTTCTGATCGGTCTCCTGTACCTGGGCATCGGCAACGAAGCCAAGAAGGTCCTGAGCAACTCGGGCTTCCTCTTCTTCTCCATGCTGTTCCTCATGTTCGCCGCTCTCATGCCCACAGTGCTCACCTGTGAGTTGCCGGGTCCAAACTGCAGAAGAAACAGAGAAACCTGGTTCCTGCAGCAGATTCTTATCCTCCATGTTTCTGTCTTCTCATGCTCAGTTCCTCTGGAGTTGGGCGTTTTCCTGAGGGAACACCTGAACTACTGGTACAGTCTGAAGGCCTACTACCTGGCGAAGACCATGGCCGACCTTCCCTTCCAGGTAACTCAGGTGTTTCACAACCTGACCTGAAAAAACAACAGAAATGTTTTATCTTCCAATCCCATTGGTTTTGCAATAATACAAGTCAGTATTTCTACACATCTGGTGTCAGTCACCTGAATAAAGGGGTGGTCTTCCTGGCAGGTGGTCTTCCCGGTGGTCTACTGCAGCATCGTTTACTGGATGACGGCTCAGCCACCGGACGCCGCCCGGTTCTTCCTCTTCCTGTCTCTGGGGGTCCTTACATCGTTGGTGGCTCAGAGTCTGGGTCTGCTGATCGGCGCCGCCTCCACCTCCCTGCAGGTCGCTTCTCCGCCCTCCTCTCTGCGCCGTTTGGTGCGTTTCCATGGAGACCATGCTCAGGTGTGCTCGTTTACTGCAGGTGGCGACGTTTGTGGGGCCCGTCACGGCGATCCCGGTCCTGTTGTTCTCCGGGTTCTTCGTCAGCTTTGACACCATCCCCTGGTACCTGCAGTGGATGTCCTACATCTCCTACGTCAGGTGGGGGCGCTGTTGACAGGAAGACAAAAATAACTTTCTGTCAATATTTCATCAAAGGTTGAGGGATTGGAGGCGGCGATTTCTGATCATTGATAATCACTGGAACGAACGTCATGTGGCTTTGATTCGCCTCGTTTTTTCCTCGCCATATTTTAAGTAAAAGTTCAGATTTAACCCGTTATGTCGTCAACTTGACAGCTGAAACCAAAGCTAATCGTCGTCAGTGCTGCTGTGTTTCAGGTACGGCTTTGAAGGTGCCATCTTGTCCATCTACGGTTTGGACCGACCGGACCTTCACTGCGACGAAGACGACACGTGTCACTTCCAGAAGTCCGAGGCCATCCTGAAGGAGCTGGACATGCTGGACGCCAAACTCTATCTGGACTTCATCGTCCTCGCCATCTTCTTCTTCTCTCTGCGGGTCATCGCCTACTTCGTCCTGCGCTACAAGATCAGCTCCGAGAGATAGACCGGAACCGGAAACAGGAGGGGACCGGACCCGACCTGTTGGCCTGCGTTTGGACTCCGCTGAGGAGACGCCGGTTCGGTTTGGGTCCTGCAGGGACCGGAGCAGGCCTCCCGGTTTCTGAAGGTGATACTGTGCCACAGCCTGGACTCTTCAGAATAAAAGCCTCTCTGAACTGAGACTGAGTTCCTCTGAGATGTTAGTGAATTATGGGTAAGTCTGTAATCAGAGAGGTGTGGACTCACGCTGACTGTCTCAGAAATAAACGTGTCTCGCGTCCCGAGTCTTCAGTCTTTCTTCTCCGTGAAGTTTTGCTCTGCTGAGTGTGGAGTTTGCTGCACGTCAGCATCTTTTCACTGTTTGGGTTGGAATTTGTCTTCAACGTGTCTAGATCAGGTCAGGAGGACCGAGTCTCAGTCATTGGTGTCTGAAATCACCAGGCTGGACAAACTCAGGGATCACAATCTGTTTCTTTTCAGTTAAAAATCAAACATCATTTCAGGGTAGATTCTAATGCTTTACCTGCTCAGCAACAAATGACCATTTAATTTAATTAAAAACGCCTGAAAAAGGGACTCAGACTTGTTTTAAATTATTCCCAGCAACAAAAATGAGAAGTGTCTTCCAAAGCCATTAACTGGATTAAACCCATTCTAAATACTGGATGTGATTTATTCTGCTGAACATTTTGGCCTGCTTACTGACATTAATGTAAAAACACAACTAAAAGGAGAAAAACACTTGATTTGTACCTACATTTTATTAAGAGTTTGATTTTGTTATTAAAAATCTCAAAGACTAAAATGTCTCCATCTGCTTCAGCTCCATTTAAGTCTTTCCCAAACGGAGTCAAGGGGCCACATAAATCTACCAAAACGGCTGCAAACGGCCCCCAATTTACTAAAAATTTTAGTAAATTGATATTTACTAGAATCAAGATAAGCTGCACTATGTACCTTTGACCAGCAGGTGGAGATGTTTGCCTTCAGAAGATAAAACTGACATGATGGGTGATTTTCCTCCCCCTGGTGGCTGAACGCCGTCAGCGCATGTCTCTGTATGTTAACCAAAGGGACCATCAGTTACTGTTTTTCCCTCCTATCCCATCGTTTGTGCTCCATACTTTAGTTTTTACATTTTCTTCCTTAGAACAAGTTCTAAATGACCTTCCTGTAAATAAACAATTATATATACAGTAATTTGATTAAAACTGGAAATGTACATATCAAATAAATACATTTTCTTCTCAAAACAGTTTAACGGCCTAATTGTATTATTCTATATATAAATAAAATGTTTGAATCTACTTCAGTCAATCATATACATCATATTTTTTAGAACAAAGAATCTAAATAAATGTCTGATGTTCTGCAGCACATGGCCATAAATCCCATTTCATTATTTGGGGGACCATAAACAGGAACATTTAAGAGCAAGTTTGAGGGGGTTGGCAAAATTACAGTCAAATGTAATGTAAAATGTGGTTTAAATTTTTTTTTATTATGTTCAAGCTGCACCACCAAAAATAACTAGCAAGTAGCAATGCTTACTAGTTAAAAGTGTTTTTCTCAGTAAACAACCTGTTGAGACCCATAGAAGTCAAACTAAGATTCAAATGTTTAGACATGAGTTTGGTTCAACGTCACAGATCTGATCTCTGCTACACCTTTACAAAGATTTAAGAATCTGACTAAAAAGTTTTAGTAAGTATTTATTATTCTTCAAATAAACTCTGAAAGAATCACAAGAACACAAAAACTTGTCTTTCTGCAGAAGGTGTGTCAGACCTGATGCGTCAGACGAGCTAACGCCAACGGGGGGCTTGCAACCCTTCAATGTTTATTCACTTCTAAGCATAGGCAAGTCATTAAAATGATAATTCAACAGCAAAAACAAGGACAGGAAATGCATTCCATATGTGGTAGCTCTTTAAGAAAGCTGTCTTTGACATTTACACAGGATGTCACCCATCTGTGGACAGCTGTGAAACTACATTGTCTTTAACAGGAAATCACATTTTGCAAAAGTAAATAAACAGCAGATTCATCTGTAAATGAATGGTAAAACGTATCAATTCCCTATCAATAAGTAGCTACACTTAATACAATTCCTCATGAACATTGGTTTATTACAGTTGTTCTCAATACCAGACGTGTTATTTAAATTAGAACTTCAGTTTTCCTAAACTGTTATTTTGGGAACTTCTGGGGGTTCATGTCCTTGGATAGCTGAGAATCTATAAATATGTAGAAATTTAATATTTGGTGTCATAACTTAAACTTAAGGGTCAGAACCAGAGTTTTCTAGAAGATATTAAATTTGTATTTTGTGATTTTAAATGTTGAAGATGATGAGATTCTTTTGTTTTCCTGTTGTCAGCTGCTGTTCCTCCTCCGAACTCGGCTAATGCTAATGCTCGGCTAATGCTAATGCTCAGCCGCTTCCTCCAGTTTCAAACTCTTCTATTAAAGTAAAAGTTAAAGAGGTACATGTAACTGAAATACTGAAAGGAGCAAAGTCTTTGAAAGCCACGTAGCAACTGAATATTTGGAAACAGTTTTGCTAGTTTTGATTTCCGAGGCACAAGATGGAAGTTTAACATGATTCAGCCAAAATAACGAAAAACTAACCGCAGTCTGATTTTTATTGTTAATGTGTTTCTTCCTATTGAGCAATGAAAGTAAATAAAATGTCTTTTGCTTTAAGTATTTACTTACTGGAGGGTTTGTGATTCTCGCTGCAGAGCCACAGCTAACAGCTAGCTCCTCATTCAGCGGCGCTTCTTCTTTTACTTGGAATTTGTTGGCGGTTGGCAAATAACCGTTAGGTGATCATTACCGCCACCAGCCGGTAAGGAGTGTGAGCTGCATGACAAAAAAACTATATCCGATTATACAACTTTCTCTGTTTCAAAAAATCAAATGTAGCTTGATCCTTTTGCAGTAAATCAACAATATCAAATTAAATTTTTATATTACTGAGCTTCCTATTTAGATAATTCCGCAACTCAAAATAATATGTTCCACTGTCTCATCTTTTGAAAAATATATGATTCAGCATCGAAAACAGAAAGTTGTTTGGAGAAGTTGCATCATTCCAGCAGGAAGTCGTGATCAGCATGTCGTTTCCCAGAGGAAGAGTCAAACGGTTCCAGTAATTCCCTCTGAAGCAGACAGAGCGGTTTAAACACCTGCAGCCCATGTCCGTCCGTCCTCTGGGTTCAGGACATTAAGACGTCCCTGCAGATTCACAGGGAAAAACAACAAACTTTGTTTACGTCGCAGTGATAATTAGATTTACAATTTTCAGCCAAACTAAAAAAAAAACAAAGTGAAGGTTTTCTTTTGATTGTTCCTGTTACTGCTAGATCAAATAGTTCCTGCAGAACTTTCTGTTTTTATTATAAATTAGTTTTATCTACTTTTGACATTTTGTCTAATTCAGCTTTACTCAGTTTTTACAGTGAACTTGATAGCGTTTATTAGTTAAATGTTTTTAAATGTTTTTATTAGTTATAGTCACAGTTTAGTTTTTCCATCATTAGGTGCAGAATTCAAAAAGGACAAAATATTCTTGAGATTACATTTACATCGATTGGGTAATGAACACTCAAAAAGAGAAATAATCTTCGAAACTAATTAATTATCGCTAACAAACAAATTCTGGTGATTTCTCTTTTGCTGTTGCTGTTTTGTCAAAAAGTTTACGTAAAAATATGCAACAAAGGATATTAAATCTAGGATTTCAGCATGTTTTAGTTTTATAAACTCACAAAATAGGACCAGTTAGTTATATTTTTCCCCAGTAGTCAAATTTTTGTTTATGTTTTTCATAATTTTGCAAATTCACGCAAAATCAACATTTTCACACATTTTTTTCATGCTAATAATTAGAAGACATAATTGGAAGTTTATTTCAAATTTTCTACAAAAATGGTTAAAAAACTGTTTAATACCAACTCCCACCAAGAGGTGGCAGTACTTCTTACTTCTGCTGCTTCAGTTTTTCTTGATGTTCGTTATTGATGTGGCGATATAAAAAAGAAAGTTATTTAAAGTTTAGAAAAAGTATCTCAAAATTCTGTGCAAATATTTAAAACTATTTAAAGAGTATCACTGATTTTGTTTGCAAAAAAAAAAAGTTCTTTCAACTTACTTTTTTTTTTACCCACACGGAAAAAAGGCTGGAAACTTTATCTTCAGCTAAAATATGCTTTAAAAATAAAATGTAGTTAAGTTTTTACATGTAAATAATTATTAGAGAACAGATTAAATATTTTTATTTTCGTCAATATAAAATAAAATTGTCTGCAATATTTTGCTAAGAAGGTGGAAATTACTTTGATCTGTGTGAAAACACTGACTGACTTAAATGTTTTTATTTAATCTGTTTTTCAATCATCATTATAATTTACTAAAATGTTATTTTATTTATTTCTGGTTTTTAATGAACGTATTTATGAGCCGCTGACAGGAAGTGGAATGAAACCTCATTTCAGCTGCTGTGAAATCTTCATGACTTCATGACAGAAACAAGAGAAAAACACAAAACCGGGTCAATAAAATAGATATAAACTCAGAGTTTATTGCAACTGACAGGCGGTAAAAGCAGCTTTAGTTTATGAAACACTTGTTCAAAGAATCCATCTGCAAAAAACACAAAATATTACCAAGCATTTTAGTTTCCAGAACAAAAGTCTTAGTTCACCTGAAATAAGAGAAAAATAACTTTAAAATAACTTTTAAGCCACATATAGGAGCTTGTTTTAAAACCGTAATTCCTTAAAGTTGACATTTAAAACAGTATTAAATCCACTGTGAGATTATTTCATTTTATGGGAAAATGTCACTTGATGTAAGTGAAATAATCTAACAGTGAAATAAATCATCTTAAAATATTAACATTAATGAATTATTGACGTAAAAGAAGTTACTTGTAAGTTAGTTTTCTCTTATTCCTACTTGGTCTCAGCTAACAGATTTATTAAAGGACAGATTTTACAGATGCTTTATGATTCTTTTTATTTGTTGTTTCTGCTGTTTTGTTTATTTATTAGAATAGTTTAAAATATTTTTTATTTTCTGTTCATTGAAATTTAAAGTTAATTATCTTTGGGAATTCAATTTGCATCTTATTACTTGTAAATGGTTCTAAAGCAACAGTATTGTGATTTATTGTAATAATTTCTGGGTTATTACAATAAATCAGATTTAGCTGATCTCAGCTATGAAGACATTTGGACACCAGAAACCTTTGGTGAGGTTTTGTGTTTTTGTGCGGCAGGAGGCTCAGCTGGTCCCCAGAACCAGCCGTTTGCTGAAGCTGCGGATCTTTGACAGGTTGAGTCCGTGCACCAGAGGGTTGAAGAGTGGCTGGCAGGTCAGGAAGTACAGCGATAAAACAACCTGCAGCGCCTCAGGAACCGCGCTCACGTCGAACCTGCTCTGAAACAGGTCGAAGAAACATCCAAAGGAGAAGTTAATGAGCGAGGCCAGGTGAGGCGCGCAGGTGCTGAGCGCTTTCTGTCGGGTCTGCTTGGAACCAGAGAAACACACTTTCAGGATCTCGGCGTATGAATAAAGGATTAGGATGATAATCCCCAGGATGATGGTGAACATGTAGACTATTCCTCCAACATTGCTGGCTGTGGTGTCTGCGCAGGCCAGCTTAACGATGGAGTAGTTGTGACAGTAGATTTTATGGATCACGTTTCCGCAGAGCTGCAGAGAGATGGTCATTAATATTCCTGCTACAGATTCAAGGAGAGGGAAGAGCCAGGTGAGCGCGACCAGCCTGGCGGTCCGGGACGGCGTCATCAGGGCGTGGTACTGCAGGGGGCGGCAGATGGCCAGGTATCTGTCATACGACATGATGGCCAGGTTGCAGAACTCGATGTGAGCGTAGGTGTAAACACAGTAGATCTGCAGGAAGCAGAGCGGAGCAGAAATGGTGTGAACATCAGAGAGGATCTGGACCAGCAGGAAGGGAAACAAACCCAAACTGCCCAACAGTTCGTTCACAAACAGGCTGCAGAGGAGCATGTACATGGGTTCATGCAAGCTCCGGTTCACACAGATCACTGTGATCAGCAGGAGATTAGAGCCAATAATCAGGACATACAGAAACAGAACAACAGAGAAATACAAATAGTTCAGGACATCAGAGTGAAAGTAGGCAGTTAGTGTGAAAAACAAAACCTGTGTGGAGTTAATCATCATCCTGCTTCAAAAATAAATCATACAGAAAACATGATCAGTGTTTCAGATTTCAGTCCTGCAGTAAGAGTCAAATCTTCCATGGAGGAGGAGCTGCAGAACAGAACCAGGCTGGAGATCCCATCCGCTCCGTCTCTACAGCGCCACACAGACTGGAGCTCTACTTATAGCTGCAGATGTTTAGAGAAACCGCCCATCTGAAACCAGACCAGATAATCACCGGCTCACCTGACTGCAGCCCAACATCTGCTGCAACATCTGCGTCTCAAATGTTCCCAAAACTCACATAAAGCCACAAAATCTTTGCTAAAAGGAGATTTTGTTTGGTTGTGGGAACCACTGTGTTTCTAAGTCAAGTTTATTTGTTTGGCACAATTCAGATAAAAACCAAATACAGTTACCAATTACAAAACGAGCTCTGTAGTCCACTTCCTGCTTTTGGACCGGTATCCGGTCCGCCTGCCGTTCACTTCGACTGAACCCAGAGCGACACCTCACCGACCGGACCAGAGTTTATAGGCAAACGGGCTGGAGTTGGATGAAACTGGACTCTGGTTGGGTTATGTGACAGACCTTGGATTACTCTGAATCCTCCAAGCCTCTTGTTGCCTTCAGATTAGCTGAACATCAGAGAGTAGAGAGCACCAGGCGTTCTCTTCTCTGAGTTTACGTTGAACATAAAGCTACACAAATTGAAATTCTGAAAATAAATTCGCCTGATGGATGATGCCAATTTTTTGTTGCATTTCTTGATGAATTGTTTTTGTGCTAAGATGAGGTGGTTTTCCAGCTGTATCCAAATTGATGTAGTTTGCAAAACTGCAATGGAAAAACTTTTTTTGCAACAGCTACTAGTGGAGAAAATGTTGGGAATCTTTTGGGGTTTTTCAGATAATGTCCAGTTCACAGCATCACAGTTCATACATTGTTGTGTCATGAATCTTATGTAAAACAGGCGCCTACAATTTACAAAACGACACGTCCTCACCACTCCCAGGTAGGCAGGTCATGTCGATCCAAGTCATGGATAAAATGCCGACGTCTCCTCTGATTGGCTGATAGGTGATGAACACCAGCAGCTGCTTTATCAATATAACATCCTGTCAGATCTCGCTCCCACGATTCCTAATGACTTATCGCAAGAACAATATGACTTTAATTTAATTTTTATTTGTGAAATTGTGATTTTAAACTTTGCAGAACATTAATAAAGTTTTTAAACATTTCAAAGGGAAAAGCAGTTAGTGTGGGCCTGGTTGGTCTGTAAAGGTTTGGAGCGGGAGGCGTCGGATGATACCACCCCGCTCAGACATCCTCCGACATGTGTGAAGGGTGGCAACCATGGCAACTGGAAACAGAAGCGTCTGATGATGATGTCATCCTGATGATGATGTAGGTCACTGAAAGGTTAAAGTGTCACGCCCAGGCACTGATGGACACAGGAACTGAACAGAGAATACAAAACCAGGTGTTTATTGGAAGAAAAGCTAGTTCTTAAGTCAGGCAGGCCAGGGTCAGAACCAGGGAATCCAAATCGGGATCAGGCGTCTCAGGTCACAAGGTCAGACGAACAGGGGGTTGAAGCCAGGAGGTCCTTATCCAGCGGGGAGAGTCAGGGATCAGGGACAGGAGAGGAATCGCTGAGGGTTTAACAACAATCTGACGCTGTGCAGGGGATGTTCCGTCCCTATATGGCGGCAGCTGGGGATCAGGCGGATGGCGATCAGGCGTGAGTGGTCACTGCTAAGCAGAAGCTGTGACATAAAGAGCAGCAGAGGAAGGCTTAGTGCTCAGTTCGGTGGCAATCGCTGTCGGTGAAATAATGTCATGAATTTTATTTGAGATGTTTATGTTCATTCTTCTGCCAAACTCTGATGAATATCAATGATGTTTTGTGGGTAACATTTCTGAGAATGAGGATTTAATCTGTGACTCACTGTACATATATTCTATATTATATAAATCATAAGGAAAATCATGCTGAATTCAACACAGGTTTCATATTTCACTCTTGCTGCTTACTTTGACACCAAACAGTTTAAATATTTACTTTTCATGTTTGTTCTGTGTCTGTATGCTCTGGTCATTGGCTGTAATCTGCTGCTGATCGTGTTGATCTGTGTGAACCGGAGCTTGCATGAACCCATGTACATGTTCCTCTGCAGCCTGTTTGTGAACGAACTGTATGGTAGTTTGGGTTTGTTTCCCTTCCTGCTGGTTCAGATCCTCTCTGATGTTCACATCATTTCTGCTCCGCTCTGCTTCATGCAAATCTTTTGTCTTTATACATATGCAGGCGTAGAGTTTTTTAATCTAGCCGTGATGTCTTATGACCGATACCTGGCCATCTGTCACCCTCTGAACTATCATTCTTTGATGACCCTGAAGAAAGTTGCAGTTTTTATTACAGCAGCCTGGATAGCTGCCTTCCTGATAGTTTCTTGTACAACATCTTTGAGCTTCTCTCTGCAGCTCTGTGGAAACGTCATTAACAAAATCTACTGTGACAACTACTCTATAGTGAAACTGGCCTGCTCTGATATCACAGTCAATAACATTTATGGCCTTATTAGCACTGCTCTCTGTGTTTTTGGTCCAGTAGGGATAATTCTCTACACCTACATGAGGATCCTGAAGGTTTGTTTTTCTGGACCCAAACAGACCCGGCAGAAAGCGGTCAGCACCTGCACGCCTCACCTGGCCTCTCTCATTAACTTCTCCTTTGCTATTTGCTTTGAGGTGTTGCAGAGCAGGTTTAACATGAGCGGAGTCCCTAATGTTATCAGAGTATTGTTGTCATTATACTATGTAACATGTCAGCCATTGTTCAACCCTGTGATGTACGGGCTGAAACTATCTAAAATACGCAGCATGTGGAAACGTTTGTTTTGGAAAAAACTGAAATAAAAATGTATGAAGAAGTTTATATTCAGCTGACACTCTTCAGGGTGTCAGCTGATGCAGGGGCAAAGCACAATCCATGTTTGGCGGTCTTAGTCCTCTTGACAGTGGTCGCAGTTTCAATTCCCAGCCTGGCGACATTTACCGCATGTCTTCCCTGTTTCCTGTCAGACTACTTTCAAATAAAAACTACCAGATCTGACAAAATACCCATTTTAAATGAAGAATAACTATCTACCACCAGATCACACCAGATAACCTGGCTCTGCTAATCAGATCCTTTTCTGGACATTTTCTGGTCTGCTATGCATTAGAAATAGAAACAAACGTGGAGAAACAGCATTCAGCTGGTTTCCTCAACTGTTGACTGCATGGCGTTTTTTGTGATTGTATTTTGTGATTTTAACATGTAAAGTACTTTGAACTGCCTTTTTGCTAAAATTGCTATACAAATAAACTTGATGGATTGATCTTTAGTTATTGATTGATAGGTAATGACTCTCTCTGGCATTGATTCCACGTTTCTAATAGACACATGATTGGATGACGATGATAAAGAACTGGTTCTAATAGAATTAGGACCAGCAAAGCACATTTTCGTCAGTAAGAGCAGAAAGAACAAAAAGTTTCTCCAATTTTTCAAGATTTACTTAACATTATATTTTCCCTATATTTTTCATTAATATTTTCCCTTAAACATTCAATGAGTTACAAAAGTCATTAAATGTTATCACACTTTCAAAAGCTTTAACAACAAAGTCATTATTTTCTAATACCTGAAATAAACAAGTAGGATCAATAATAAAGATTTAATTGCACTGTAAATGATTTAATAACAGCCATTAATAATTCCTCTTACATCAAGTAAAGTGGAACAAGCAGCACTGACTATTAAGATGTCATTAACTGTTATTACTGTGTCAAATCCACAGTAACAGAGTCATTAATATTAACCCTTATCTCAAGTAAACTGAACAAGTAGAAGCAGTCACAAAGATGACATTAAGCGTATTTCAGTCTCGTTAATATTTATCATTACCTCAAGAACAGTGTAAGAAGTAGCAGTCACCATCGTTACCACTACCAATACACAACATTTCAAGATTAATGGCCATTTGTACGTCTCAGTATGTTATATGTTTTTGTGTACTTTTTACTTTTGCTTTCTTGATACACTTTGCTTTGCAATTTTCTTCATACACTTTACAATATCAATAAATATAAATGTACTTGTTTGTGAGATCCAGCTCACAAAATTTAACAATGAGACTACAAAGAAACAAAGAGTCAGAAATTACATTTCTTTGATTTTATGGTGAAAAAACAAGAAAAGAGAAACAAAATGCATAAAAATTGTTTCAGGAGATTATGTGCAATGTTTATCAGCAAAGAAAAAAAAATCTTTTCAATAAAGGAAAACTTCACATAGTATGCATAGTTTTTTAGAACAACCCCTACAAGACTGCCAAAATATCTACAAAATGTGATTATTAAATGTATTTAAGGCTTATTAAATGTTATCAAACGTTTCTTAAATGTTAGAACTGAAATAATTGCACATAGTATTGAGCTCAGTCACAGCTTTATAAAATTTAATATTTTAAATGTTTTTTCCTACTTTCTTACTGATCATCTTCTATGAGATTCAAAGAAATGAGTCACAAAAAGCCCTGAATCAGTGTGACTCATAGGATACTATGTGAAATCTTATGGAGACAAAAATATTTTTTTCATAAACATGGACCATAAATTGTCCAACACAGCCTGACTTTCTCTGCTGGTCTGCAGGTGTGAGATTTGTGTGTATCCTCCGCTCAAGCCTAAGTTAACAAATCTTAAACTTTTTGCATTAAAAGTTGCCATACCCCATTTTCTACCTGCTCCATCATTCAGGGAAACTTGGAATAGAGCCGCTGCTCCTCCACACCAACAACTGGATGTGGTTTGAGCTCATGATAAGATCCAGTGGTGTAAAAAGTCTAAATCAACTAAATCTTTCTCAGAACCAGCTTTTTACACATGGTGCGTATTTTGGACATATTCAGGCCATATAGAACCGGGTTAAAAACCGGCTGGCTGGTGAGATAATACAATGGAAATATTGTTCTTAGCAAGTCAGGAACAGTGTCCATGTTGAATCTGCTCTGCAATATTTCAAAGGAAACACCGAAGGAGAAGTTGATTATAGAAGCCAGGTGGGGGGTGCAGGTACTGACGGCTTTCTGCCGGGTCTGTTTGGACCCAGTAAAACACACCTGAAGGATCCTCATGTAGGTGTAGAGGATCACAGAAACAGGAACACAGACTGTGAGGAAAGTCATGATAAGTTCATAGATGTTGTTGGCTGTGGGGTCGCTGCAGGCCAGCTTGATGATGGAGTGGTTGCTACAGTAAACCTTATTGATGACGTTCCCACAGAGCTGCAGAGAGGAGCTCAGGAATACAGTGAAACCAACACAGATAAGAGGAGGCAACCATATGATGGATATAAGAAATGCTACCCTCCTTGAAGTCATCAGGGAGTTATACTGCAGAGGACAGCAAATCGCAACATATCTGTCATAAGACATAACGGCCAAGTTAGTAAACTCTACACTTGCATAACTATAAAGAAAGAAAATCTGCAGGAGACAAAAAGGAGCAGAAATTATATGAACATCGGAGAGGATCTGAGCCAGCAGGAAGGGAAACAAACCGAAACTGCTGTACAGTTCATTCACAAACAGGCTGCAGAGGAACAGGAACATGGGTTCATGTAAGCTCCGGTTCACACAGATCACTGTGATCAGCAGGACATTAGAGCCAATAATCAGGACATACAGAAAAAGGACAATGGTGAAGAAAAAGTAGCTCAGCATGTTTGTGTCTAAAAATGCACTCAGAGTAAAATAAAAGACATGAGTGGAATTAATTTTCATTCTTAATGTTGTTTGTAATGCAAACATGAAGACAACTGAGTTGACAAACTGATCACAGAAAAATGCTACATGCCGACAAGATTAATTAGAGGAGGAACTAAATCACAAATATCCATGTGTCATTACTAATTTAAAACAACAAAGGGTTGTATGATGGAAACATGTACAGCCAGCAGGAAGTCAAGAATGGCATTACGACTCAGAACTGAGGTCAGATCTGCTTCCCTTAAAGAGTCAGAGAAGAGAAACACCTACAGCAACACAACCAATAATCAATCAACTCACCGAACAATGTTTCCACTTCAATAACTGGCTCTGATTGACTTAAAGGCATCAGTTCATGTGTGTTTTCTGTGAAACTTTAATACAAACAAGCCTTCACTTCTGTTGTGATTATTTTCATTAAAAACAATTTAATACAATTTAATATTAATACATAACATCAGACCAATAAAATTGTTTTCATATATAAATGTGGCCTAAATAAAATATCTAATATTTACAGTCTCATTGGTCAGACTTATTGAACATAAATATACTTATTTTAAATTTATTTTTAAAAAACCTACATAATATCTAAAACGTGTATGTGTATGTGTGTGTGTGTGTGCTTGTGTGTGTGTGTGTGTGTGTGTGCGTGTGTGTGTGTAGGTGTGTGTGTGTATGTGTGCTTGTGTGTGTGTGTGTGTGTGTGTGTGCGTGTGTGTGTGTGTGTGTCCGCATGTGTGTGTGTGTGTGTGGTGTGCGCGTGTGTGTGTGTAGGTGTGTGTGTGTATGTGTGCGTGTGTGTGTGTGTAGGTGTGTGTGTGTGTGTGTGTGTGTGTGTGTGTGTGTGTGTGTGTGTGTGTGTGTGTGTGTGTGTGTGTGTGTGTGCGCGCGTGCACAAATCCTTGTTTTTGTTGCAGAGTAAGAGCCATACTACATTATTGGGACCGACTGCTCCTTATGGGGCCCAAAGCCCGGACCATGTAACTTTTACATTCAACCAAACCCCAGAAAAACTAAGAATAAGCATTTGGATTGTCACTTTTCACCACATACTTCTTTCCTGAGCTCCAACCTAAAGCATGTTCCCTGGTTAAATGGCTTCTCTTCTTAATGCTCAAAAGCAGAACCACCTGGTCCTGATTCCTCATCATTATGTGCATCAGTGGTGTGAGGTTGGCTTCCAGACATTAAAAACAAAACAGAAATACAGTCAAAAATCAAACCTCAAATTCATGAACTACCTGAGACTAAGACACTTAATCTTGCTCTGGTAAACCTAAGAGAACCTTCAGCAAAAGGGATTTTATTTAATGACAGAATATTGATATGTTCCCAACAGAACAACAGAAACATTGTTGGCTGACAATGATGAATGAATGAATCACCTATACAAATTAAATCAGTGTATTTGACTGTATTTTGTGTTTTTATGACGTGAAGCACTTTGAACTGCGTTGTTGCTAAAATGTGCAATACAAATAAACTTGCTTGATTGATGCAATGATTGTTTTGTCTACAAACTGAAGTTGAGGTCTTTTCATGAAACTCGCCTTGATGTTAAAACTAATTAGACAGAGAAACCATCCTTTGGCAGCGATGTCAGCCTGGGGATGAAGGAGGAACCGGAGGATAAAAGCAGAAGCAGAGGAAGCTCAGTTCAGAGGAACTCAGTGGGTTGTCCACTCAGTGACCCGAGCTGCCATCCCTGAATCTGCTTGTGTTTCTTCAGCTGAAGTCTGATTTAATTTCCATTTATTACAGGCTGTGATGATAATTTCTCACTGTTTCACCTAAACACTCTGTGACTTTCCTTTCAGCTCCAACAAATGCAGATGATGTTAAATTCAACTCTTGCTCCATATTTGATTCTGGGGGCTTACTTTGATGCCAAGCAGTTGAAGTACTTACTGTTCATGATTGTCTTGTGTATGTATATTTTAATAATTGGGTCTAATGTTCTGCTCAGTGGGGTTATCGGGTTCAACAGGAGCTTACATGAACCTATGTATGTCTTTCTGTGTGTGCTGTGTGCCAATCAGCTGTTCGGTAGTACCAGCCTCTTCCCGTTCCTGTTGCTTCAGATCCTCTCTGATGTTCACACTGTTTCTGTCCCATTCTGTTTTCTACAGGTTTACTGTATTCACACCTATCTGAGCATAGAGTTTTTTAACCTGACTATCATGTCTTATGACAGATATCTGGCCATCTGTCATCCTCTGCAGTATCACTCCCTGATGACCGTGAGGAAAGTCGTAGCTCTCATTGTTGCTGAATGGGTAACCAGCTTTCTCGGCGTCAGCATTTTCACCTCCATGAGTTTCTCTTTGCACCGCTGTAGAAACGTAATCGATAAAGTCTTCTGCAATAATTACTCCATTGTTCAATTGACTTGCTCAGACACAACAAGCAATAATATTTATGGACTTGTGAGCACTGTTGTTGGAACGGTTTGTCCAGTGATTTTTATTTTGTACACATACATGAAGATCCTTAAAGTGTGCTACTACGGATCCAAACAAACCCAGCAGAAAGCTGTCAGTACCTGCACACCCCACCTGGCCTCCATCATCAACTTCTTCTTTGGTGTTTGTTTTGACATTTTACAAAGCAGGTTTAATACAAACTATATTCCAAATATTGTAAAAATATTTTTGTCTCTGTACTTTCTGATGTGTCAGCCGCTGTTTAACCCTGTGATGTACGGACTGAACCTGTCCAAAATACAACAAGCCTGGAAGAAACTTTTTTCTGTCCGAAGGAGGTAAAAAGTTCAGACTACATAATTTACACATTAAGCAGTGCATATTAAGCCCAACAAAATGAACCTTCATAGAGGCAAATGAACAAAGACATCTGGAATTCACACAGCCAGGGACGCTCTTTACTTCCTGTAGTTTGTTCATGTTGGATGAAAAAAATCTGTCTGAAATAAACAGGAAATTTTGCAACACAAAAATTTCTTTCTTTTATCCTCTCGTTCATTTATTCACTGTGAAAATGTATCAGTTGCTTTTTCTTATTTATTTTTTAGCTCCTTTTCTACAGTTTGAGAACAAAATTCTGCATATGGTGAAAAAGCCTTTAACAAAGATTTACCTTCAAAGTTTTTAAATAGCAAAAATCAACATTTGAACTACGGTTTGTTATTGTCACTGTTAGTTATTATTAGTGCATCTCCTATTAATAATTTATTCTAATCTTGTTGAAGTTTATTTAAACAAATTCTGTAACTAATTTTATGTTGGACATTCACCTATAGGTGGCGTTGTGGTAAAAAATAAATAAATAAAAGAGCATTTTAGCTCTTTTTTAAATCAGGAAAAATCCTGGTTTTCTCTCAAACCAGGAATCCTACTGACTTGAACAAAGTTCCTCAGAAAGATTCTCCAACAGATGATCTGATTTAAAATATTCTCACAGTCGTTTTCATCCTGACAGAACCAGAGTCGCTGGGCTTTTGGACACAATGATCATTCACATTTTCTCCAACCACAAACTTTTTTACTGGACTAAAGCTGCAAGCTTCTGCAAAACTAACTGCACTCATTATGACCAAATGCAACAGTTTAGTTTCATCAGACAGAGGACAGCTTTTTAATACCACAGGGAGTTTGACTTTTAGGTGACTTTAAGAGTGACAAACTCTTCCTTTCAGTCCTTGTTAGTTTTATTTAACCAGAAAAGATAAATTATGAAAACTAATAGCAACAACTGTGACCTGGGAAAAAGGCAGAACCTCGTGGCAGAGAGGAAAACGGTTGATAAAAGACAAAATAAAAAAATAAGAATTAAAGTTTCAACACCTAACCTTAATAAAACATGGCTTTATTAAGATTAGGTTCTGAAATTGTTTAAATTATTATTATGTTGTGAGAACATAAATAATCTGTGCTCCAGTGCTCCCAGTACCAACTGCAGGAAAACGCCACTATGTCAGAACAGCCAATCAGAGCCAGGGGGAGGGTCTTAGCTCTGCTCTCCTCTACAGCTGCAAACACAGCCTGATACAAATGCTAATGCTAGTTAGCATGGCTGCCGATGGCAAATAAACGGTTTTCCTGAAACATGAAGTTGTTTCTCTCATAAACACGATCAGCAGCGAGGTTAATTGACAGCCCTGCTGTTGTCACCTTCGCTATAATTAATTCAGTGACTTAATTTTGGTGATTTTGTCAAAGTCCTGGAGGTTGAAATGTTATAACTCCAGTCAGGATTCTGATGCTGACATATTAATGTTGCTTTCTAATCAAACTAAAATTTCACTTTAAACCTAAATAAAGCAGCAGACAGTTTTACTGCAGTTTTTCTTGGGAAAAAAAAGGTTTAGTTTGTGTGTTTATAAATAATTTTGTCATTTTTCACAGACAATTTGATATTAAATTGATTCATTTGTTTTGAATAAATTCTGCACCTAAAGTCAAAAACACCTGCAGGTTTTATGTTCATTATTTCTGAGGAGAGACACAGAAACTATTTATTTACCATACAGGACTGTACATTTATTTCAAAAGGTCAAAGGTTAACCTCAGTATTTCTTTGTATGATTCTTTTTATTGTATAAATAAAAAATACAAATAACTTGTGGAGTCAAAGAAGTGAATTTTATTAAGTATTGATTCTTCCATAAAACCAAAATAAAAACCTTCTTCTTCATGGTGAACATTTCCTCACAGAGCTCAGAACCAGCTTTTTACACATGCTGCGTATTTTGGACATATTCAGGCCGTACAGAACCGGGTTAAAAACCGGCTGACACGTCAGAAAATACAGAGATAAAAATATTCTGAGGGAACCGGGAACAGTGTCCATGTTGAATCTGCTCTGCAATATTTCAAAGGAAACACCGAAGGAGAAGTTGATTATAGAAGCCAGGTGGGGGGTGCAGGTACTGACGGCTTTCTGCCGGGTCTGTTTGGACCCAGAGAAACACACCTGAAGGATCCTCATGTAGGTGTAGAGGATCACAGAAACAGGAACACAGACTGTGAGGAAAGTCATGATAAGTTCATAGATGTTGTTGGCTGTGGGGTCGCTGCAGGCCAGCTTGATGATGGAGTGGTTGCTACAGTAAACCTTATTGATGACGTTCCCACAGAGCTGCAGAGAGGAGCTCAGGAAGGTCGTTCCCCCGACCGCTAAACAGGGAGGCAGCCATATGATGAACACCAGAAAAACTACCCTCTGTGAAGTCATGAAGGAGTTATACTGCAGAGGACAGCAGATCGCTGCGTATCTGTCATAAGACATGACGGCCAAGTTCGTAAACTCTACACTTGCATAAGTATAAATTATGAAAATCTGTACAAAGCAGAGAGGAGCAGCAATGATGTGAACATCATAGAGGATCTGGACCAGCAGGAAGAGAAACAAACCCAAACTGCCCAACAGTTCATTCACAAACAGGCTGCAGAGGAACAGGAACATGGGTTCATGCAAGCTCCGGTTCACACTGATCAATACGATCAGCAGGACATTAGAGCCAATAATCAGGACATACAGAAACAGGATGACAAAGAAACAGAAATATTTCAGCGAACCAGAGTCCACATAGGCAGTCAGAGTGAAAAACGCAACCTGAGAGGAGTTTAATTTCATCCTAATTTTAGTTTGTAAAACAACCATAGAAGTGAGTAATTGGAGAAACTAATCAGAAAAACTAACTCATGTTTATAAAAACGAACAGAGTGAAACAAATGAAAATTTCCACCACATAAAGAAGAAATCCAGAGTTTAACGGTGGAAACGCGTCACAGCTGAAGCCAGCAGCCGGTGGATCAGAGTCACGGCAAACTGAGCTCCGATCAGCTTCAGCTTCACTTAAAGAGTCAGAGCGACGCCCAGCATCACGCCACAACATCAGCACAACATCCACTGCCTGACTGCCCCAGCTCAGGGGAAAGTTTGGTGGAAGGATGATTATACATAGGTTTTTTTTTTTTTTTTTTACAAAACCAAATAAAACTGAAGTTTTTATCTTTGAACCTAAAGAGGAATGATCTAGAATCAGCTTCAGTCATTCCACCACGAACCTAGAAATCAGACTGACCTTTGACCTGAACATTCAGAGCCACATAAAAACGGCTACAGTCAGCCTTCTGTCACCTGGAGAACATTTGTAATGTGTCATCAAGATCTACAGAGACTCATCCTTGCGTTTATCTTTAGTCTCATTGATCACTACAATAGTGACTTCTTAGGTTAAAAAAATCAGTTAAGTTTTTCCAGAAAACTTTTGACTTTTCACACTCAGACATTCCCATGTTTTGCTTTTGGGGTTGGGGGAGTTCAATCTTTTTCTATCAATGGCCCAAACGCACTATTGTTCAAATGTCTCTTCAGGTTCTAATATTGTTTGCAAAAGTCTGGTAATTTGGATATTTCCTCTTTATAATTTTTATGCTGTTTTATGTAAATTTCTTATGTTTTTGGTCTGTTTTTTTTTTGTTATTCATTGCTACAAAGTAAGAAAAATAAATGACAAAAAGTTTTACTGTTAAACTTGTACCTTTTAAAATGTCATATTTAGCATCTAAGTAATAAATGAAAACAAAAACTTCTTTAATGTGAGTAATAACCTGAGGTTGAAAACAGCTAAAAGAATCAAGCTGGAGGCTCTCAGGCATGAAAAGCTGCTGCAGGAGCCGAGTTTTCCCCACATAACAAACGTTTACACGAGTCTCGGATGGCGGCCATTTTCAGGCCGTACAGCGCCGGGTTGAAGAGCGGCTGGCAGGTCAGGAAGTAAAGCGACAAAACGATGGCCAGCACCGGAGGCACCCCGCTGAGGTCAAACCTGCTCTGCAGGATCTGGAAACAGCAGCCGAAAGAAAAGTTCAGGATGGAGGCCAGGTGGGGCGTGCAGGTGCTGACGGCTTTCTGCCGTGTCTGTTTGGTAGCACGGAAACACACCTCCAGAATCTTTCCGTAGGTAAAGAGGATTAAAACGAGTGGAGCGACGATGGAGACGACCGTCAGAACCAGACCGTAAATGTTGTTAACGCTGGTATTAGAGCAGCTCAGCTTAACGATGGAGAAATTTCCACAGAAAACCTTATCAATGACGTTCCCACAGAGCCGCAGCGGGGCGCTGAGCGACACCAGAACCACAGTGGCCAGAACAGGCAACGCCCAGGTCAGAGCAATGAGCAACGCAACCTTCCTATCCGTCATGGTGGAGTTGTACTGCAGAGGAAAACAGATGGCCACATAGCGGTCATAAGACATGACGGCCAAGTTCAAAATTTCAACTGCTGCATAACTGTAAACACAGAAGATCTGCAGGAAGCAGAGAGGAACAGAAACATAGTGAACATCAGAGAGGATCTGGACCAGCAGGAAGGGGAACAAACCCAAACTGCCCAACAGTTCGTTCACAAACAGGCTGCAGAGGAACAGGAACATGGGTTCATGCAAGCTCCGGTTCACACTGATCACCACGATCAGCAGGACGTTGGAGCCAACAATCAGGACATAGAAACACATCACCATCATAAAGTACAGGTATTTCAAACTCCCAATGTCAAAGTAGGCAGTCAGAGTGAAATATAGGACCTGTGAAGAGTTAGTCATGATGCTGCAGCTTGGAGCAGAGAGGAGCCGAGTTTCACCATGAAGCTTTATATCCTCTGAAGTCAGGAGAGACAGAGAGAGAGAGAATCCTTCCAGAACAAACGCACGAGCGAAGCATGACAGTCCGGTTCACCGAGTTCGATTTGGGACCAAACGGCAACATTTCTTCCATTTTCAGGGTTTAAAGGTTTACTGTGATACTGATGGGTCAAAACTTCACCTACTTGCAGGGTTTACAGGCCGTCTGTCACCGTTTATCATTCCCACTGGAAACACAAAGACTATTTAGCAATGTTTTGGTTCTAGTCAGAACTCCAGCAGCAGCTTTCCGGTCCGGCACTCCTCTGGTCCTGGAAATGTTCTGGTTCAAGGCCCACTTTGGAACCGGCTTTTTTGATAAGCCTATCACGATAAGGAAGCATCCTTATTTAAGAGTTTGATTATTTCCATTCTGATGAATATTTTTATGAGAAATTTTTAATGTTTTGTTTTTGGTTTTATTTTGGATATTTCAGTGTGAAGTGTTCATTCAGTAAAATGAGTGACGCTTCCAGGCCTACATGTATGGAGGAGTCCCGGGATTGAGCCCTGGGGAACCCCACGTCCGCTCAGAGGAGAAATTACCGATTGACACGAAGGAACTCTGTTCTTCTGGAACCAGTTTGGTCAGATCATTTGTTCCAGATCTGGTTTCCGTCTCTGCTTGGTTTTTGGTCGTTCTGGTGTTTGTCGGTGTTTATCCTCCTGGTCCCTGTTGCCATTAAATGTTTTGTCCTTCATTTGTAATCAGTTATTGACCCGTAAAGGTTGGATTATTGCTTGGTTTTGACCAATCAAATCCAAACAGAATTTCTTTGACTTTTTAAACTGGAGGCAGAAAATCATCCATGACGACAAAATGTTTATTTTCTTTCTCCAGTTTATCCAGTTGGAATCCCATCAGATTTTCTAGAATTTGGTATTTTATATTCATATTGCAGAAAGAAGCAGAGGCATCATCCACATGAAGGATTCCTGACAGCCTGTCAGCTTTCTGAAGTTTCCTGAAGTCTGAAACAAACAGGCGGTAGTAACCACAGCAGCAGCAGAGGCGTCCTGTGCTGCGTGCTAATTGTCCTGTTTGTGTCCAAACGTCCACACAGACTGCGTCCTCTGGGCTCGGGTTGTTTCAGAGCCGCTCCACTGGGGCTCATTAAAGAGGCAGGACACAATAAACATGGTGCAATCACACCAGTGACTTCTGTGACCCTGTTTGTCTCCTGAGTTTAAAGCATAAAGTTTGGATTAAATCTAACTTTTCTTTGATGCTTAGGCTCAATTTGTGGTTAAACTGTTTGATCTACTTTAACCAACTCCAGTCTGTTTGTATAGAAAGTCCGGTTTGTTTGGGGAGGTGTGAATGCAAGCGAACCAAAGTGAACTTTGGTCCACTTGCAAACGTAGTTCTGTTCAGCTGAAGTGAACTCTGGTGTAGTTTGATATGTGAACACCAAGTGGATCACAGACCGCTCCAAAAGCAGGAAGTGGACTACAGCACAGGGCATTCTGAGTAAAAGCAACCCAAAGTAAACATATTAGCCTAGCGCTAGCAGCAGAAATGGCTCCTGGTCTTCAGCCACAGAATAAACAGAAATCCTCTCAGTGCTAAAATCTGACGCCTCCATCTTGTTTCATCTGGTGAAGAAGGAAGTTGTTCTCAGTATCTTCAGAGGTTTTAGTGTCGTTTCGTTCAGTGGTTGTTGGTGCAGCGCCCCCACAGGCCAGGAGGGGAACATGCTGGTTGACTCAGAGCAGAGAAAGAGAACCATAGCAGCTGGACATGAAACAACTTTTTAAATAAATGAAACAGAGTCTAAGAGACTATCATGAGGGAAAACATCCTGACCTGCACTTCTTCAAAGAAATGTCCTGGTTTTAGTTTCACCAGGTTAAAATTCTGTAAAATAAAATTTCATATTAAGAAACTTTTTTAATTGCAGATTAACTGAAAAAACTCATCTCCAGATCAGCCCTTCACTGTGATGTTGCCAAGTTGATCAGAAAAAGCTGTGCTTTTGTTGTTAGTTTTAGAGTCCAACAAGGGAATGCTGTTACTACTCTTCAATCAATAAAATTATGTAACTCTGTGAAAAAGAAATTTATTTATATTTTTCTCTATTTTTATTTTGTACATAAAATAAGGCGAAGTGAAGCTAATAAAAATGTGCCATTGTTTTATCAAATTAATCATGAAAATAATTTACAAACAGAGAATCTTTGAGATAAGTGGAAATTAAATCACATTGAGAAACCTTCCCTTCTCTTTAAAGTTAATAATAATGTAGGCCTAATAAGTTTATATTTCCTAATAATTTTGAAACAAATGTTTATGAACATGTGTATCATTGTGTTTGAATGTAAACGTTTGAACTAAACTAAAATAATAAAAGGTATGTTAAATATGTTTTACTGTGACTCATTTATTCCACAGCGGAGGGAACACGGCGCCCTCTGGTGGCTGCTTCAGGCTACTGCTGCATGATGACGTCATCGGTCCGCCATCACGAATCAAACTGAAGCAGCAGAACCAACCAGAACCTTATTTAAACAGAACATGGAGCTGGAAAATATAAATTAAATGTCCATGAAATACATAAAGTAGCTTTATAAAATCAAAGTGTTAAAAAATAAATGAGCTTCCCATTAAAATAATTTTTTAATGTTTATTTTAATTTATGGGGACACTTTAAGTATTAATTCTTTATTTATATCATTAAATTTTTAATGAAATATATGTATGTTATCTGGTTTATCAGAATTTCTTAATAAATGAAAAAACAACCAGGATTGTCCAATTTATATCTTTATTACTTACATTAAAAACTATTTCAAATGATCATCTGTTCTTGTATTAAAAATTGTTCCCAAAAATAAAAAAGATCAAAGCAACTACTAAGATTAAAACATATATGTAAGGAAAAATCAGGAAGCTTGACATTGGAAAAAACTCTTTTTCCATCTTCAGAATAACAAAGTATGGTGAATAAAACTCAAACATGGCGTCTGATCAGAACATTTTATTCAACAAAACCCAAAAGATTCAGTCAAACAATGCAGTTAAAGACGGCTTCTGATTGGCTGCAAGACATTCACATTTTTATTCACTTTCATATTCCGATAAATTCCCTTTCAGAGTCCAGAACCGACAACAGCAAAAGTTCTGGTTCTACAGGAACAACATTAGGAATGATTAACCAGTTTAACTGGTGTAAATGGAAAACTAACTACCAGCAGGCCACAGGATTTATTACATAAAAGAAAAATTTACTATTTTATTAAGGTTTAACCAGTGAACAGGGCAGAAAATTCTTATCAGATGTATTATTTTTAAATCATTTTTAACATTTCCTCACAAAGAAAAAACAGGCAATGCAAAAAAAGGACAAAACTAAAACAGAAATAAACTTAAAACTTCTGTCAATGGCAAGAACACAAAGTTTAAACCAATATATGATTAAAAAGCAAATAGTCTTTTTGGTCATCAATTGTTTTGCGTGTTTTGACCAGGTCTTTACTATTCTTAACTTGAGGTGAGGGACCAAATAAAATCCTTCTGAAGGGCCACAGACGGCCCCCGGGCCACACTTTGGACACCCTGAGATCCAGATGTTCATCCCGGTTCCGCTGCTCTCCCACTCAGCGCTGTATTTTCTTTAGGCTTTGATTTTCTCATCCAACGCTACAAAAATCAAAACCTAAAAAAACCACAGAGCCGCAGCTCAGCGCCGCCTGCTGGCCGGAGGAATTCCCCAGAAATGCCACAAACGAGCCTGGACCCAAACCCACTCCTCTTCACGCCGTCGGTCAGAGTTCATCATCATGACGACCAGGCGGCGGCCGCCAGACGAGGTGGACCTGATGAGGTGAAGCTGATGAGGTAAAGCTGATGAGGTGAAGTTGATGAGGTGAAGCTGATGAGGTGAAGCTGATGAGGTGAAGCCGATGAGGTGAAGCCGATGAGGTGAAGCTGATGAGGTGAAGCCGACGAGGTGAAGCCGATGAGGTGAAGCTGACGAGGTGAAGCTGACGAGGTGAAGCTGACGAGGTGAAGCTGACGAGGTGAAGTTGATGAGGTGAAGCTGATGAGGTGAAGTTGATGAGGTGAAGCTGATGAGGTGAAGCTGATGAGGTGAAGTTGATGAGGTGAAGCTGATGAGGTGAAGCTGATGAGGTGAAGTTGATGAGGTGAAGCTGACGAGGTGAAGCTGATGAGGTGAAGCTGATGAGGTGAAGTTGACGAGGTGAAGCTGATGAGGTGAAGCTGATGAGGTGAAGCTGATGAGGTGAAGCTGATGAGGTGAAGTTGATGAGGTGAAGTTGACGAGGTGAAGCTGATGAGGTGAAGCTGATGAGGTGAAGCTGATGAGGTGAAGCTGATGAGGTGAAGCTGACGAGGTGAAGCTGACGAGGTGAAGCTGACGAGGTGAAGCTGATGAGGTGAAGCTGATGAGGTGAAGCTGATGAGGTGAAGTTGATGAGGTGAAGCTGATGAGGTGAAGCTGATGAGGTGAAGCTGATGAGGTGAAGTTGATGAGGTGAAGCTGATGAGGTGAAGCTGATGAGGTGAAGCTGACGAGGTGAAGCTGATGAGGTGAAGCTGATGAGGTGAAGCTGACGAGGTGAAGCTGACGAGGTGAAGCTGATGAGGTGAAGCTGATGAGGTGAAGCTGATGAGGTGAAGTTGATGAGGTGAAGTTGATGAGGTGAAGCTGATGCGACGCCTCAGCCTCCTTCGGTTTTCCTCTCAGCAGGAAACAGGAAGTGAAATCCTTCCAGCTTTGATCCTCCACTTGTTCTCATTTCATCAAGAGGAACAACAACAGAACCAGAAACGTTTAAACCCGAAACACTGAGGGACCAAACGGACGCCTCGCCGCAGACAGAGATGACGTCACTTTCTCTCCTCTGCCGCCCTGCTGTTGCCCAGCAACAGGCTCCCTGCGCGGCGGCGGCTGTAAAGCTGCGTCAGCGTCTGATTCCTGAGCAGGCGTCCATCGCCAGCCGGTTTTGGACCATCGCAGCAGCAGAACTGAGTGTTCGGGTCCGGTTTTCACCAGAACCGGTTCTGGAGGCTTCCCGGAGCGCAGTACCGCCCCCTGGAGGCTGCAGATGGAGAGTTTCCTGATCTGATCAAGTCTCTAGTAAAATCTGAGTTTGATATTTTCAAACAGACCCTGAATGTAGCAGCAGACGGACGGTTCCAGGTTTTCAATGGGGGGTTCGGATCCGGTCCTGGGGGCCCCGGACTCCTGCAGGGTTTAGCTGCAGCCCTGCTCCAGCACAGCTGTTATTTAAGCATCTTGTTCATGTTTCTTACTTTGATGTTTCGCTTTTCTGATCATCTGTCTTATAATAGTTCCATGTTTCAGGCACCAAATCGACTAGAAGTTTCCAGATGTTGTTTCCTGTCAGTTCTGATGTCAAAATCTATTCATACAATGGATCCAGTTCACCGAGCAAAATGTACACAGAAAACACAAATTATAAGAGATAAAGCTATAAAATGTGTAGCTAATAAAAACACATAAATTACAGATTTAGTTAAAACAAAACTTCAAGCATATTTAGCAGTAGGTACTTTTGTTCTTGTTATTTAGATTTATTTTTGCATTCATTGACACGTTTATTGCTGCTGCAGGACGACATGTTTTCAAAATCTGTTTCTGGCAGATTTGAACTGGATCTTCATGTTTCAATCAGATCATTAAAAAAACTATAAAAACTGCATGAAACCAGTTTACCTCTACAAACTGCCCACATTATTGAAAACATCCATCTTTTCACATTCTCCTGCTCCATTGATCATGTCTGATCTAAATATCACCTTCATGGACCAAATTCAATTTGTAGAATTTCAACTTTGTGATTCATCCCATAAAATACATTGTTGGTTTCATCCAAGTTCCCTACAACCTTCTGAATAAAGTACCCCAAATCCCATCATACAGAAACATGTCAATACGATCTTGTTTAATAATTATTTTTAAATAAAAAAATATGGGAAGTTATGAATCACAATATTCTCCATTGTCAGTTACGTTCACTTTCAGGGATTCAGTGTTTCTTATTTTGTATTTATTTAATATTTAAAACCCAAAACACATTGATGTAAACCAGATGCATTGTGTTTGCGCATTAAAGCAAACATGCCAATTTAATATCTTTATTAGTAAAGATAATAAATATATTTATTTATAAAGATATTTATTAATGTACATATTATATTAATAAATATTTTATATTTATTAATAAATATTTTTATATTTATTAATATGAATAATAAATATACTTATTTATTGCAGCTGTCTTTATTAATAAAGATATTAATAAATAAAATTGTGGTCATTTAAATACCAAAAGCATTATCAAATTGATATAATCTGGTTCACAGATTGATTCAATTATATTTTATTGTTTTTTGGTACGTTTGGCTTTCCATATACAGGTAAGGCAGCAATTTGACTTGAGAACCGGTTTGGTTTAATATATTTGCACATGTGAATCAAATGAGCCTCACAGAATCTGATAGCACCGCAAAACTGCACATTTATTCCCTGCGGACGTTTCCTCGGTCGGTACCGGGGGCTGAAGCGGCTGTTTGGGCTCGCGGTCAGAACCGAGCCGCTGTTCGGTTCGGGTTGACCGGGAGTCGCCGCCCAGTCACGTAGCTGACGCTCCTTTTAAACACAACGCGAACCACAATGCAGCGCCTTAAAATTCACAAAATAAAGGAAAAGGTTTGAGTTAGCGCTTCTCCCAGAATGCCGAACCAGACGGAGGGTTCTACAGACTGAAACTGGACCGTGTTCTAAGTCACAGCAGTCAGACCCGGTGTGATGAACGACGCTGCACTAAAATCTGGCGTTTTTAAACCGAGTCCGGGCTAGCCGTTAGCGGCTAGCTGCTAACGTTACCGCAGCTGTCTGGCGGTCAGTCCGCCACTGCAGCGCAGACAGACGCACCAACGGACAGTCCGCGTCCGCGTCCCTCCGCCTCCTCACCTCCTCCGGCGGAAGCGGCGACGATCCCCGGCCCCGTCCTACATTCCCCGCCGGGCCCGTCATCGCTGTGTCGGGCGGATTGACCCTGAAACTCGGACTCTGCGTCTCCGCCGTTTCGGGGGTAAGATGTCGGCGGCAGAAGCGGCACGTCAGCTGATGGAGACCGGCAGCGTCCCATTCAGAGCACCGCCCTGCGGCGCTCCACGGTACGGAGAGCAAATAGGGCCAAAATTACCTGCAAATATTATGTAAGCCAGGAATATTTCAAAAGATCATTTAAATGAATAATAAAGGATTAATATGTAATGTGTGTGTTTATGCTAGAGGATGTTTTTAGTAACAAAAGGAGTCACATAAAATCAGACCTTGTATTGATATTTTTTCCCCATGTGCAAAATGTTGAGTTAAAACACACACACACACACACACACACACACACACACACACACACACACACACACACACATCATTGGGGTGTTTTCATGAAACACAGCCATACACAGATTTCTATGAAAGCTATGTGAACTTTATTCCAAATCTAATTCATCATTTAAGGTTTTACTATCTGGTTGTGTACATATAACACAGTGAACACATTTTATACAACTGCTTTCACTAAACAGATCACAGTCTTTGTTCTTCACAAAAGCCAAATGTCTAAGAGCCTTCAGTCTGTGATTTGGTACCATATTTAACCTTTATGTGAATCATTTTCACTGACCCGTTTCACCGGTTTGGGAATGTAGAGGAAAAGCTACAGCTCTGCTTCTCTGTTCTGCAGTCAGACAAACATGGACGTTTTTAGTCATGAGGAGACGAGAACAAGGACTCGAATAATCCAGCGATGGTTTCTGCAGTAAATGTTCATAAATAAATAAATAATCAATAGAAACAATAATCAGCTCAGTAACAGGCAGCGTGACGGCTTTCGATTTACAAACAGGAACGTCAGGAATAATTTACAACCATCAGAGACTCAGAACCTCCTTGAGAGAGAAAAGCAGCACATGCTTTGATTTGGTTAGTTCAGAGAGTCCAGGTCCGGTCCAGGTCCAGATCCGAGTCAGGTTCAGGTCTGAGTCAGGTTCAGGTCCAGATCTGAGTCAGGTTCAGGTCCAGATCTGAGTCAGGTTCAGGTCCAGGTCCGGTCCAGGTAAAATTGGTTTTGTTCTCGGTCGGGTTCAGGACGGTTCTGTCCAGTTTCAGGTTTCATCAGAACCTGGTCTCGTTCTGGTCAGAACCAGGCCTTCGTCAGGTCCAGGTCTTCACAGTGACTGAATTGTTTGTTTCAGCTTCAGTTGAAAAGGTCTCCAGGTCACCTGCCAGGATATGACATCATCGTCACCGGGTCACATGACGTCTACAAAGAGGTCGCTGGGGTTTCCCATGGCCAGGCGGAAGGACTGTCGAGAGATTTCCGGTTGGATCGATGAAAAGTCGCGGCGCTGACCTCGAGATGGCGTCGGGATGTCCTTATCACCATGGGAACCGGAGAAGGAGGTGGGCGGTCCCTGAGCGCTGCCATCACTCAGAATGTCGGCCATCTTGTGCAGAGCGTTCTCTTCTTGGTTGGCTGATTCCTGCTGCGTTCCTCCTTTTCCCTCCGGATCGTCGCTGAAGTCCGACTGGCTACTGCGACTCCCTGCAGGACCAATGAACACATGATGTCATCGTTTCCCATCACGCCCTGATCCCGTCACACCGTGACCCCGTCACACATCGTGACCCCGTCTCACACCGTGACCCCGTCACACACCGTGACCCCGTCACACCGTGACCCCACCGTCACGCCGTGATTCCAATTCACTAACATCTTAAAGGCATCACCTGAATCCGCTTTGACTCCATTAATGTCGTCGCTTGGTTTCAATATTCAGGGACGGATGGACAGATAGCAACAGATCAGACACACGACTAGCAGCAGAGAAACTCGTCCAAAAACATCTTTAAGACCGGCTCACAAAAACAACATTCGCTATTTGCACAATTTTAAGATTTTAGTACAATTACCATGAATACATTTATCCAATTCTAAAGCACTTTGTAAACGTCCAGCTGAATAAAGTTTGACATCTCTGCGGGAATTTTGGTTATTCAAGTAATTAGCTTCAAGCTGTTATTTTGAAATCTGTTTACGCAGCAGTTCATTTCCTGTCTTCACGTTCTCATCATTGATTCTAGAGTACAACAAATGATGAAGCAGGTGTGTGACATGATGCCACATAGTGACACAAACCTCATGAAAACAAGAAACGTCCTGTACCTTCGCTGCGATGACTCCTGCCCCCTGCTGCCCCGCAGGCCGGCAGCTGGTGCAGCGGGTGGGGCGAGCTGTAGGGGTGAGGGACGGGGTACTGGTAGGGGAAGGCTGGGGGGTCGCAGTCAGTTCCTCCGACTTCTCGGGAGGATCCGTCTTCGTGGTCGAGCAGAGACATGGCAGCCAGATCTGGAAGGAGCAGAATCAGCTAAATTTATGCTGTTAGAAACTCTGGTTTTTATTTCCTTATCATCAGACTGCAGTAGAGTCCAGACGTTTTGATTTAAAATGTAGAATTTTCTAACAATAAACCTCTGAAAAGTGACATTACATAAAACGTGTCGCCATCTTGTGTTCGTTGACGGTACTGCAGGTGAATGTTCAGGACTGAACCAAAGCAGATAGTTTTAACATACATGCTCACAAAGACTACAACTTTAGAACAACTGAAACAACTTCTCTTTCTATCAACACATTTAATTGAAGGTTTTTGTTTTATTTTTAAAGAGGACCTCAGTTGAGGACTAAACACCACAGCCTGCAGGTGATCTCAGCACACTGAATATTTAAAGGTCTTATTTCAAAGAGTCATAACTCTGGTTATTACTCTAGTAGTGTGGACAGATCTGTGGCCCCAGCTCCTACCTCCACACAGGTCTCCGAACACGTAGTAGCACTGCTCCGAGAAGGTGACCTTGTTGACGGTGTGTCGGATGAATCCGGCTTTCAGCAGGTTTCCGGCGTATTTACGAGCTTCGCGCCGGTCGGTAAAACCTTCTATGTTACGGTGGAGCCAGTCCACCACGTCCGAACCTGGACAGATAGAAAACAGGCTGCAGGTAAAGATATCCGTCTCCTTCCTCAGCTCTGCCTGGAACCGTTACCCAGAACTACAACAGCTCCAGTGGGAACCAAAATAATAATAAAATAATTTTCAGCTGCGTTTCATTCTCTTTGCTCTGAGTCAAACCAACCAAACCGTTTGAGGAACTTATTCCCCTCCTCACCTATGGGGGCGCTGCACCACGAACCACTGAAGGAAACAACACAAAACCCGCTGAAAAGACACTGAGCGCAACTTCCTGCTTGACCAGATGGAAACAAAAATGAAGTGGCATCACATCACGAGCCATTTCTCCTGCTACCGCTAGGCTAGCAAGTTTGGTTGTGTTTACCCAGAATGCCCTGAGCTTTAGTCCACTTTATGCTTTTGGAGCGGTCTGCTTGCCATTCACATCTGTTTTCTAATTCACTTCATTTTCATCTGGACCATCTAGAAACCAAAACTTAGGTTTGTAGATGGACCAGATGGTACACTGATGAACCAGTGAAATCCAGACCAGTGAATTCTTGGTCCACATAAGAATTCGATTCACATCTTCGCAAATGAACAAGAGTTGATAAAAGTGGATTAAATGGAGTGAATGAGACATTCCTCAGACTCAGATGCAGAGCATCTTCTCACCAATGAAAGCGTTGGGGATGGTGATCTTCAGCCACATCCTGTCTCGAACCTCCAGCCCTGACTCCGGATTGGCCATCGCCTTGACCACCACCGTCATGTCACTGTGGATGTTGAGATGGTTTTCTTCATGCACGCCTGGAGAACCGCAGGAAGTTAAACTAAGATGGGCGGCTCAACGACAGAGAGAGGTGCAGAGTGGAGACGTACTGTAGTGAGGGGGGAGTTTCCCGGTCATGGCGGCCGTGTGGGACACCCAGGCTGCCGGGTCGATGGGCCGGACCGGTTCACCTGCACGGTTTGACAGGACAGACCGTTTGATGAGTTGGGTTACAGTCCACAGTATCGAACCAAACCAACACATCCTGCCTGACTCACTTCTGGGCAGCGTGAAGCAACTCCGGGGGTTTGGATCCCAACACTTTGCCACTGTTAATGTCACCGAACTAAAAGGAAGGAGAGAAACAGTTCAGCTGGTTGAGTCCGGGACAAACAGACCGTAGTGGTCAGTGGTTTCAGTCGGGCCTCACCCCGGCTGGTGGACGATCTCTCTCAGAACCCGGACTGCGTCGTCATTACTCATGTTCTCAAAGTTGATGTCATTCACCTGAGTAAACGGAACCAGCAGAGAATCAAAGGACTCTGAGGTCCAAAGAGCTTCAGAGACTCTTGGCTTCATTACCAAGGCTCGACGGTCCAAACCAGGACCTGGTGCCGGTCCTACCTGCAGCAGCATGTCTCCGGGCTCGATGCGTCCGTCTGCTGCAACCGCTCCTCCCTTCATGATGGAGCCGATGTAAATCCCTCCGTCTCCTCTGTCGTTACTCTGGCCGACGATGCTGATGCCCAGGAAGTTGTATCTCTCTGAGAAATAGGCAGAGCAGAGAGACGCGCTGGCATCGAACTCAGAGAGGACACGTCTCACAAACGTCTTCGGGTCTTTGACTGATGAAACAGCCAAAGACAACCCAACTACACAGCAACCAGGCAGAACCAGAACTCTGACCTGGGTTTTTAAACGATCTCATCGGATCACAGTCCGGTGTGAATCAGTATCTATCGACCCAGTTGGGTCTGGGTCTTGTTGGGTTCAGCAGACCTAGAGAGAACCAATCAAACTGTTACCCAACCGCCATGTTTGAGCAGAACCTGATCCGTTCTACTGCCAAAGCTGCTGAGGTTCAGTTTTACTCTACTGGATCCGATTCTAACCGTTAGGAACCTGGTTCAGATTCTACTGTACTAAAATATGGATCCGGACAGTATTTAGTCTGTTTAGAACCTTTCTGGATCTGATCATTGAAGGACTGGTCCAACAGAACCGGTGGGGCAGTACTGGGAAGGGAAGGTTTAGGTTCTGGACTCTGATGTGATCCATCTACCTACGAACCTGATCGAGAACCCAACTGGACCTGATCTGTGTTGGTCAGACAGCTGACCTGTTCGAGACTGGAGTGGACCAGATCCAGTCCAACAGAACCTCTGGACCAATTTTGGACTGTATTTTAGATTCAAACAGAACATGAGGAGAAAATTTCAACTTCAGTAAACCTCATTTAAGTTTCTTTTTTTTAAAATCTGGTTTGAAATGAAAAACTTCTGGAGCCGTTTTGAATTGGACTGAATGTGATTCAGGCTGTTTGGTTCTGGGTCAGCATCAAGGGAAACTGTAGGACTCCTTTTTACTTTAAACCTAATGTAGGATGTTTGGACCAAGCTGAGACTCAAAGGGAACCTCTGGAACAGCTCTGGACTAAGATGGACCAAACTATGGATGTTTTGGACCTGATCAGACCCAAAGAACCAGTGGGGCAGCTGTAGATGATGATGCACCCAAACTAGACATTGACAACCTTTTTCTGGGTCATACTGATGAGATTCAGGCTGACAGAATCTGTTCTGGACTCTGTCGGACCCGACAGACCTAACCAAGGTTCTAGGTGTCCTAGTCCAATCCGTAGCTGAGCCATTCTGTACTCACCCATGTTGAGGGTTACTGTGATGATGTTGAGCGACATGGTGGAGTCAGTGACGCTGCTGAAAGACGCCGACTGACGGACAGACAGATAGAGGCAGGCGGAGAGAGGGACAGGAGGACAGAGAGACAGGACAGGAAGACGAGGGACATGTCAGTGACAGAAAGTCCAGACGGAAACAGCCGCCCTGCATCAGGCGTCATAAAGACACACACAGATAACCTGGACTCACAGCGCGTGTGTCTGTGTGTGTGTGTGTGTGTGTGTGTGTGTGTGTGTGTGTCTCTGTGTGTGTGTGTGGGTGAGGGTGTGTGTGCGCGTGTGTGTCTTTGTGTGTGTGTGTGTGTGTGTGTTTGTGTCTCTGTGTGTGTGTGTGTGTGTGTGTGTGTGTGTGTGTGTGTGGTTACCTTTTCCATCCGTGGAGTTTTTGGTTTTCGGTGGCGGCGCCGCTGACGCCTGATGAGTCTTGGAGAGGAGCTGCTCTGGCCTGTTGATTGGCTGAACCTGGTGTGACATCACAGAGAGAATCTGATTGGTCAAAAAAAGCACAAATCTGAAACTGGAACAAAGACTTTAAAGAAATATAAAGTCAGAAAATCCTAATTAAAACATGGATTTGAAGCACACAATAAAATTAATCAAAGATGAATAAAAGTAAAAGTTTTTTAAAAGGACAAACAAACAAATTTATAAACACAGTGGAGCTTCAATTATTCACTGGTTTTTCTATCCATGGAAAATTTGCTCATTTTTCTCCCCAGTAGTTACAGATTTAACAAAAAGTTGTTATAAAGTCATCAAAATACATTTGCAACTTGGAAATATCACCTCAATATATAAAATTATGAAAGGTTTTAACTATTAAACTGGAATAGCATGAAAAAAATTAATATACCAATAATTGTCTAGAAGAATTTAGGTTTTAAAAAACTAATTTATCATTTGGAAAACATTACAAACTTACTTACCTGTCAGAAATGAATCACTTTTAATAAAAAATCAACATATTTCAGCAAAGACAGGAAAATCTGTCTTTACAAATAATCAAATAAAAGAATGCAAAACTGCAAACCTGTATAAAAATTACAAAAAGATTTAAAATGTTTGTGTAAATCTGGCAGCAGGTGGAGAAACCAGAGTCTGAATGAGGAAATCAATCAGGAACACATTATTTCTGCTCTCAAATCAGCTGGGATGGTTTTATCTGCAGCACAATACAAAAGGCAGCGCTGGTCACATGACACACAGCAGCCAATCAGAGCCCAGGGCGTGAACAGGTTTACTGGGGCAGAAAAAATGACCTGCAGGCAGGTGAATGTGTGTCAGAGACACCGGCCAATCACAGCGAGAGCTGCTGCTGAGGTCACTGGGTCACATGACACAGCATTTAAAGGAGCAATACGCGTTTTTACAGTCACAGAACTAGAACCAGAGGAAGAGTTCCGGTTCTCCCAGGAGTTCTGGCTTCTACAGGTTAAGGAGCCTGATGCTGCTGCAGCAAATGCACCGCGATGCATTCAGGGACACGCCCATAAATGGAAACGCTCCAGACTGACGAACAGCAGTTTGCTGCTGTGGAAAAGTATGAACTTCTTTTTATCAAACTTTGTTTCAGATCATCAGTAAACAAAATAATTTATTGATGATTAAAAAAAAAAAACATCCAAAAAGTGTCAAAGTAAACAAAACACAGCGTTTGAAGTGGCCTACTCAAACCCTGGGTCTAAAGATGATTTAGAAAGTCACTTAAAAAAACTCCTTAGCATTTTTCTGAAACATTTAAATGATGAAAACAACAAAAGAACCTTTGAAATCTGCCGGGGTGCAAATACTTTTTTCCAGCTCAGTTTGAAACCAATTAAAATGCTTCATCCGCAGGAAGCAGGAAACCCAGGCAGCCTTCACACAGGGAAATGGACCCAAACCAGGCTGATTCACAGCAGCCTGAACCCGCATGACACATTTTATCTGACGCTGAGGTCAGACACGCATCGTAACTCTGCAACAAATCCAGAGGATGAATCTGGACATAAACAGTGGCTACAAATTATAATAATGAAGTGATGAAAGCATCTGGATTAGGATTAAGGCCATAGAAAAAATAAATAAATAAGAGGGTTTTTTTAAACTTTAGTCTTCTCCGGATAAAAGCCAGAATGTGGAGATTAATGTTGAAACTTTCAGAAAAACGATTTGCATAGAAAAGTCAAGATGTTGTGATCTAAGTCAGAATTCTCATAAAAAACTCAAAATTGAGAAAAAAAGACCTTCTAAGAAAAAAGTAAAACATTTTTTCACATTTTTGGCACTAACCCTCTTTCATACACCCACTGCACAGTCTATGACATATTACAAAAACTGTAATTTCCACTTTGAACTGCCTGAAACGTGCTGCACAGATAAACTTGTTTGGTTTTCTATGAGCGCCGCCCATTTCAACGCCACCCTGGGTAACCGCCCCAGTTCTACGTTCTGCTGGTCAGCAGGTGGACTCAGAACCGGACCAGAACTGTTTGGGTCTGACCTTCCTCCAGAGTCCTCCTCAGACGAGCAGAAGCTGGTCGTCTCTAACTCGCTGCTCTGCTGATTGGACGAGCTGTCGCCGCCGGCTGGCCCCGCCCCCTTCTGGTCGGCCGCCTGGTGGGCGTGTCCGTTCAGGTGGCCTCCTGTATGGAGACGGCAGCCAATCAGAGACAGCAGGAAGGATTCGGTTTGATTCAGTTGAAGATCTTACCATCTCTCCGCCGCAGCTTCTCTGAAGACGGAGCTGGCGATTTGACCTCTGACCCCTGCAGGTCATCGTGGCAGACGGCTGCAGCGCTGAAGCGGACAAATGCATCACATCTTGTCAGCGTGCGGTCGCATCAGCGCGACCGGAGCTTTATCTGTGTAGGAACTCACTGGAAGGACGGCGGTCTGGAGTCGCCGATGCCGCTGGTCCTCTCGATGGGGGGCGGAGCCAAGCTGGAGGGCGTGGCCACAGAGGGAGTGTCCGACCCCCTGAAGTCCGGAGGACAGGCGTCTGAAGACACCACCTGCAGAGAAGAAGACAGGAGCTAAGAGACACCGGGACAGTCCAGGTGTCTGATCAGGTCCAAATGAGACAGTCATAAAAAAATAAGGACAGATTCAGACTTAGATATTAAATAAAGTGTAATTATAATGTATAACTTTCTGAATTTTGTTCAATTTAGACATTTAGTGTGGCCATCCTGACTGCTGAAGTGACATGGAGCCATTTCTGGTCTGGTAAAAGGTTTAAAGGTCTCAGTAGAATCTGGAATGAACCGTTTCAACGTTCAGATGTGTGCGGACAAACCTCCACCATGTCCAGGTCTGGTTAAAACCACGCAGCACGATGCAAAACCGGCTGGTTAGGAGCTGGACACACTGATGCTAATCTGCTAACAACAGAGCTAATTTAGTGATTAGCACTTTAGCTAACTCTGAATATGCTTAGCACACTTAGCTTCCCCTAAATGGCTGTTTTGTAAACTTTCAGTTGATTAAAGGTTAAAGTCTGTGTTGAACTTTTGGTTATTTTCATGCTCTTATTTTGAAATCTGTTTATGCAGCAGGTCCATTTCCTCTCCTAGCATTCTCTGCCTGTGGTGCTGCAGGTGTTAGTGGATGTAATGTCTATGATTAGCTTAGCGCCCTCTGCTGGTGAGGTTCAGAGAGCTGGATGTTTTCATGACTGATCTGAGAGGTTCTGACCCAACAGACGACCCGTCCATTGACACAAGGCAGCCGAGCGTCATCATCACTGATCTCTTCTTTCACCACCCTGAAACACACCATCATCATCATCATCATCATCATCATCATCATCATCATCATCATCATCACTGTGAGCATGACGTCATAACCAGAGGTGTAGCAGGATGTGAACATATCTGCCATCTTGTCTGATTAAGTTGTAAAATAGCTGGACTGCTAACTGCTTTAGCAATTTGATCAAAAATATTCCCACCAGCAGCCAGTGTCGTCCGCTTTAATTCAAGTCCGGTTAATTTGTGCAGAAGGTCTGGTTCGCTTGTGGAGGTGTGAATGCAGAACCGAACCACAGGAGTGAACTCTGGCCTGGACTCTGGTTCGGTTTGAAAGAATGCATTCTGGGTAAAACCAGCCAAAGGAAACGCGTAGCGGGAGAAATCTCAATTTTTGTTTCCATTTTGTGAAGAAGGAAGTTACACTCAGTGTCTTCAGAAGTTACATTTCCTGCAGAGGTTCTTGTTACAGCACCCCCAGAGGCCAGGAGGGGAACAGGTTGCTCAAAGGGTTTGGTTGGTTTGGCTCAGTTTGGGTCGAACCATCAGACTGTCAGGTGGGAAAACAGATATTTGTCCCTTTTTATCTGTTTTGTAATATAAATTTGATTTTTGAAAGTAATAACTCTCATCTCATTCTTGTTCATGTTTTTAAATTGCTACACCTCGAGTCATAAGATCAGCATCGTCATCATCCTCATCCTCATCTTCATCTCATCCTCTCATCAGGAATATTAAAGCTTTTGTTTTCATCACTGTTACATCATCACAGCTGTATGACGAGGATTATATAAACAATCAGCTCATAAACAAACAAAGCCTCCCTACTGATTCATTCATGTCTTTCTCTTGTTAGCCTGATTATTGATCACTGATCATGTGACTGAATCCCCCCCTCCCCCCACCGGAACACGTGATGCTCAATAAACCCATCTGGATCTGTGTCATCTTCCTGATGGAGGCTCCAGTCACGTGACTCACCCGAAGTCATCATCCACGGACTTGAAGAAGAATTTGGCGTGAGGTTTGTTCAGCACCTGCTTGAAGTCGGCCAGGGTGACGCGCTGCGCGGGCACGCCGATCCGGATCAGGTAGGGGGTCTCCTGGTCCTCCAGGTGGTAGATGACCCGGGTCTCCTCCGCCATGCTGGCCCCCAGGAGCCCCGCACGCGCCTCGACGGGGATGCTGAGACACACCTGCGCGCGCCGCGTGAAGCGCCGGAGGTCTGGCCACGTGACGCCTCACCTGCGCGCCCCCGCCCCCACCTCCAGGAGCTGAACTGGTCCGGGGCCGGTTCCGGTCCAGATATGTCGGTCCAGATGCAGAGGGGCTCCGATGATGCTTTACTCCTGATAGTCAACACCGCACGCGTTAAAACACGCAACTTCCGGGGATAGACTTCAAAATAAAAGTCGCACAGGTGAAGCAAAGCCTAAAGAAGTTAAATGAAATGATTTAGTTTAAATTGTTCTGTTGGAATTAGGAACATTTTTGTTTTTATTGATTAATAATGAATTTCTTGCTGTTTCTATTTAATGTCTGGAGTCTGAGGTTCATCTGATGTTTGAGAACCAGAAAGGTTTAAGGGAAAGAAGAAGAAATTTGCACCAAAACCCTGAAAATGGTAAAAATTCTGAGTGAAAAAGGTTTCAAAAGTCAAACATTTTCAGCGTTTAGAAATTATCAGAAAAAAAAAAACGCTCAAATTTTGAGGTCAGTCAAAATTTGACATTGGAAAGTTTTGAAAGTTGAAATATTTTAACTTTTGAAATCCAGGAATGTTTTTTGTGGAACTGATTTTCTTTTTCTGTCCTTGTCTCTAACAGCACTGATGCATCTTCAGTTCTGTAGTATAAAGTTATAAATATTACCTCCATTTATGGCACAAAAGCAGAAAATAATAATTGTTACAAAATGTTCAATGTGAAACATTGAAAACTAGTTAAAAGGTTTTCAGTTTCTTCACAGGAAATGAGTTTAATAAAAGTTAATAAAAGGGAAATAAAAACAGAAAACCTCCTGCAGCAGTGGAACATGGTTCAAGGCTTTTATTGTGAAAGCAAAGGCACCATCTTCCTGCGTGTTAAATAATAAAATCTCCAGACATCAAAGATCCCGTTAAACATGTCAGACATTCCATTTCCGGTCTGACTTCAAAATAAAAGCAGTAAATTAAAGGATCCCTTCAAAATAAATACATATTTTTTCTGAAAGTTAAAAATATCTTTAAAAAAAAACCTAAGATGATTTTTTTATTTTATTTTGATAAAGGAAAACAGAATAAATAGAATAATTAACCGTCTGCAGAGTGGAGCTGGTCGATAATCAATACAGATTATTGGTCATGTGATCGGGTTTCATTTCATTTGAATTAGAGAGGGCGTTGCGTTCAGGGTCTGCAGGTTCCTGAGGTTCTGGCTGGACCGGGTCCAGTTAGCGGGTTTGTTCACAGTGAGGCGATAAGGCCGCTCCGGTGTTCGGGTCCGGTTCTGGTTCTGGATCAAAATCCAGTCCAGCTTCATCAAACCAAGGAGAAATCTGTCGCATCGTTCCATGAAGTTGTAGAATGTTCTGCTGTTTGCAGACATGATGAAGGAAACTGTTCTGGTTCTGACCCGTCGGGCCCGGACGGCCGTCATGCCGACACATTAACGTCCCTGAGCGCCATGGCGGCCGTTGTCCCGGCGGCGGAGGCGGCTGCCGTGGCAGCGGGGCTTTGCAGCGAGCCTGAGGGGGCGGAGCCAGTCAGGATGGGCGGAACCGGGCCGCTGTGATTGGCTGGAGCCGAGCTGCTGGGGAACAGGATCAGCTGCAGCGTCCGTCGCAGGTTGGGATGCAGGCGGCGCTGCGTCTGGTAGAAGATCTCCACGGCAACGCACTTCATCACCCCGGAAACCAGGTCCTCATAGAGCGGCACGGTGTACATCCGGGAAGTCTGCAGGGAGCAACAGCAAACACTGAGGCTGCTAGCAGCGCAGCTAACTGCTGCTTTAATGAGGCTGAAATGAGCTTAGCTACGATTTGTCCAGAAAATACATTTAGTGGAAGCTAAGAGCATTTAGCACTGTTGCTAACTGTGAAAGCGATTGCCCCGTTAGCTTCCAATAAGTTCATTTTACCAGGTAAAATTCAAGTAGAAATTAGTGCCGCGATCATTAGCAAAGCTAATTTTTAGCTCATTAAATTGTTTGAAATAAATGTTTTATTGATTTCCTGAGTCAGTCACATGGTGATTTGTGATTCCACCTCTAGTTATTAGTTATTGGCTGAAATTAGCATTATGTTCTACCAAACACCAAGATGGATTAGCACTTTAGCATTAGTGGAACTAATGTTTATGATTAGTGCTTTAGGGTTAGGGCTGCTAACTGTTAGCCAGCAGGGCTCAGCGTGTTTCTGATGCCATGTGGCTTCATGAATCAGTTCTTTACATGTTAATAAGATATTCAGGTAACTAGAACTCTGGGTCCTGAGTCGCTGCAGCGAAGCGTCGGTTGTTGTTCTTACGTGTTTGTGCAGGAAGGCTCGGACCCGCGGCAGGTCGGGGTAGAAGGTGTTCCTCACCACCATCTGCAGCCAGCGGATCTGGACCTCGGCGTTCAGCCCGTCGAACAGCGCCGAGTAGCAGGCGGACAGACTCGCCATCACGTCTGAAACACACAGCGGCCCGTCAGCGACGCGCCCGGCAGCAGGTGGCGCCGCCGCCGACGTTTAGAGACGCACCCTGCGGCAGCGGTGAGTGGTCCAGCATCCGGTCCAGGAACAGAACCACCTGGAAGGTGCTCCAGGCCAACAGGTCAAAGGTCGCGAGTGCCTGCTGGTCGGGCGGGTCGCCGCCTCTCCACAGGTCGCACAGCTCCTGCACCGGCCCGATCAGAGCGCCCCCTGCTGACAGGTCAGGCTCAAACGGCGGCGGGCCGCAACCGCTCAGCCAGCGGTCGAACTCCAGGCCTGAGAACAGGAAGTGATGTCACTGAGCAGGAAGCGAAAGGCAGCAACGTGAAACCGATCAGGCGTACCTTCCCTCTGGGAGACGGCGGCGTCCTGCAGCTCCGGGAAATACCGCAGGAAGTAGGCGATGAGGTCCTGAGTCACAACGCTCTGAAACTTAAACTCTGAGATGTAGTCCTGCGCGCACACGCACACACACACACACACACACACGCACACGCACACACACACGCGCACACACGCACGCACACACACGCACACACACACGCACACACACACACGTTAATCTTTCTGTCGTTGGAGTCTGAGAGCAAATAGAAAATCGAGATCTAAGGTTCTGAATGTTGAAGTTCACAGACGATCTGAAAATAACAAAGTAGGGGTTCAGTAGTGGCCTAGTCAAAGCCCAGACCTGTTCACAGCTGATCCCCACCAACCTGACAGAGCCCAACAGTTTAGCAGCATCCAGACAGAAACAACAGTACAGAAATAAGGGCCTTAAAGCTGCAGAACGTAACGTTTATCATTTCTTTGAACTCATTTCTTCACTTGTCTCCGTTTCATGACAGATAATCAAACTCCTCTGCCTTCTCCCAGTGCTGACTAGAAACAACCAATCAGGGCCAGGAGGCGGTTCTTAGCGCTGTCCATCACACCACCTTTGCTCTCTGCTATGCTGCAGCTAGCATACCCTGTTGTGAAGCCTAAGGCTAGCTAGCGTAGCCACTGATGACACCAGATAAACGGTTTTTCTGTGAAGATACGTCGCTTCTCCATGACCTGCACATTTAGCAGCGAGTACATGAGGATGATTGACAGCAATAAGCCCCGCCTCCTGGCTCTGATTGTTTTTCAGCTGTTCCTGTGTTGGGAACAGCCTCCAAATGCATCACTGACCTTGAGGAAGCTGTCAAAGCGCCGGACGTCGCCGCTGAGCTCAGACAGGTACGACACGAAGCAGAAGCCTTTCTCATAGGTGAAGAGGTTCATCAGCGTGCTGGGGTTCACACCTGCAGGGGCAGCAAGGACCCTCACCTGTACAGCTGCACTCCAGGGCCGTGTGTGTGTGTGTGTGTGTGTGTGTGTGTGTGTGTGTGTGTGTGTGTGTGTGTGTGTGGTGTGTGTGTGTGTGTGGGTGTGTGTGTGTGTGTGTGTGTGTGTGTGTGTGTGTGTGTACCTGGCTCAAACTTGACCTGCAGCTTGCTCACAGGGCTGTTGTCTCCAAGGAGACGCAGCTGTCTGTGCAGGGCGTCCAGTCGCACCACCGTCTCTAGGCAGGTGAAGGCCTCACCTGGAGACAAAGCTCAGAGTTAAACCCTGACCCCTGATAATCACTGGTGACCCCTGGTGACCTCTAATTTCACTTCTGATATCTGAGGTGTGATATCAGAAACAGAAAACAGGGTTAAATGCTCATTAGAATTTAAAGTTTATTAATCTTTGAGAATTAACTATTGCATTATTAAAATTTTATTGTTTTAAAAAGGTTTCAAAACAATAATATTATTTATTGCAATAACTTCTGGGGCAATTTATCATCCAGTAAAACGTGATTCATCAGATTTATCTCAGATAATTGCAGGTCTATTTGATAACTTAAATACACCAATAGTTTGGTCAAACATGTAAAAACAACTTTAATCTGTTCAGTCAGCAGTAAAAATGAATCATAAACCGAAACAGAAGCTTCAGGAAGTGCAATCAGGATTTCTGCCTGCACCGTGGAAGGAAGCGTAGAGCTGGAGTGAGTAGATGTGGTGGGCGTGGCCTCACCGTACGCCTCCGTGGTGATGCGGCGCTGCGCGTACGTGGCCAGGCCTTCGCTCAGCCACATCTCCTCCCAGGTGGCGTTGGTGACGGCGTTCCCGAACCAGCCGTGCGCGATCTCGTGGATGACGTCGATCAGCAGGAACTCGCTGCTCTCCAGGATGGAGGCGATGATGAAGGTGAGGCACGGGTTCTCCATGGCAACGATGGGGAAGGCCGGCGGCAGGAAGACGATGTCACACCTGCAGAGTTCGGCAGCAACTAGTTACATTTACCCGAGTGACCTTTTGGAAAAATGTACTTTTAGGAGAGTTTTTACTTTTTGATTTCCTCAAGTGATTTTATTATGAAGTATTTCTATTTTCACTTAAGTAAAATGAAAATCAAACATGTTTTAACCAAACAGACACAAACCTGCAGTTTCTGTTCAAGTTTAATTAGTTTTTATTTAAAAAAAAAACTGATTTGGATTTTTTTTTTTTTTTGCCTGATTTAGTTATTTTTTTGTCATTTGGTCCTTAAAGTAACAACTTTTCTGCTTAACTTTTATATTTTGGTCCGTCTGATGATGTAATTTTTGAATATTATTCGATCAGGTAATCAGTACTTCAGTAGATATTTTTTATTTTAACACTTTTCACTTTTACTTGAGTGAAAATATGTTGAAGAATTTCTAATTTTAATTGAGTTTCATGTTTGGATTCTCTCCTCCTCTGAGCCTGGCGCCCCCTGCTGTTGGGTTTCAGACTCACCTGCCCCACAGGTAGGGGCCAAACAGGTCCTCTGCCACGCCCAGCCAGCGCTCCACACTGCCCCCTAGCTTCTTCACGGCGCAGGACAGCAGGCAAGGCTCCGCCCACACACGACTCCTGCAGTCAGGACAGAGAAACAAAACTTTTTACCTCTGACTTCCTGTTGGAGGAGAAAAAAACACCGGCTAAGGATGATTAGCATTGACTTTAGCTCAAAGGTTGTTGTTATAACCATAAATATTAAATGCTCTCCTACTAGTTGTCCACAGTAAGACGACCAGATAACGTCAGGAAAGTTAGAATTAAGAAACACGACAGAAATGGAGGCAGTTCAGCTTCACTTTCAATCTTAACGTGATTTTATGGTGAATTTAGATGAAATTAAAGTTTTGATTTTATGTTCAAAATGTACTTAGGAGAAGCTAAGTGTGCTAAATGTTTTCTTGTTAGCATAAATGCTAAGATAAAGATTAGTGTTGCTAAATGTGGACATGCACTCACCAACTGATTACTGAGGGAAATCAACACTTTCCAATATTTATGTTTTACACAACAATCAATATTTCAAATATTGATTTTCTTGAGGACAAAAACATCAAAATTACAAGAAATTTAAATTTGTAATATTGACCAAAGCAGGATAAAAAATATTGAACTTGTTCTCTATTTATTTTTTAAGCACTTGAAAATGAGGAATATCTGATTATCCAAATTTGATCAAAACATTTTTTTGGTTTATTTGTTGCAGATTTTTTTTCCCAGAAAAAACTGACAAAAATAACTGAGTTGAGAATAAATGTAAACATTTGGAAAATTTTCCATTGTTTTTCTCGTGTTCGGTCTCCATAACGACCCATCAGAACCAGGATGCCCAGGTGACCTCTGACCTGGGCCCGATGTCCACGTGCTGCAGCTCTCCGGCCACCAGCGCCACCAGGTAGGACGGGACCGGGAACTCCATGGAGAACTGGAAGATCCGGTCCAGTTCGGAGTAAGAGCTCCGGGACGCGCTCATCAGAACCGTCACGCCGTCCGGAACCTGAGCAGGAAGTTTTATGATCAACACGTCTTCCCCAGCCGACCCGACCCAACGGAACCGAACAGAACTCACCTGGATGGAGGCGGAGTAGGTGCTCTTCACCGCCGGCGTGTCGAAACACGGGAAGAAGGAGCGATTACACACCGAGTGTCCCTGAGTGAAGACCAGAGGACGGGACTGACCGCAGGTCAGCTCCGAGTCCAGCCACCAGATCTGAGGTCACACAGAGGTCACACAGAGGTCAGAGGTCATCAGGAGAAGACCGGGTCTTCAGCTGGAACACGGGTCCAAACATCCAGAAACTCTGACCGAGTTTTCTGCCTCAATGACCGGCTGAGACAAAGACCAGGAACCAGTCTGAACAAGGTACAGATCCAAATCCAAAACCAGCATGAAACCAGTTTAAAACTAATTTAAAACTAAATGTGAACCCAGTCTGAACCCAGTGCTGCAGTTGGACCCGAACCAGTCAGAGGAAGTGGTGCGTGTTCTCACCGCCGGGCCGTCCGTGGTCGTGTAGCGGACGGTCACCTGGATCAGCTGTTCGGGTCGCAGCGCTCCGGCCGGCAGGCTGATGACCAGCGAGGATCCGTAGTCGGTGAACGGGTCGACCCGGTAGGTGAGGGACGCCGGCTCCTCTGGGCCCCCAGGAACCTTACAGTCTATGGAGTGGATCAACAGGGACGGGTGGGAGTCCAGGACGAGGGCGCTGACCCCCAGCTGGACCGGAACCAGGTCCAGAACCAGCCAGCCGCTCATCTCCTTTGCGGCAAAGTTCAGCCGCAGGTCCAGGTGGAAGTGCCGCAGCCGGAAGCTCCTGAAGTTGGAGGCTGACGCCACGTCCACCAGGGGGCAGCGCGCGGCGCCGGGCCTCGGACCGGCCGAGGGCGGCTTGGGTTCGCCGGCGCAGCGGCCGCCGGTCACCGGCAGCGCCTTCCGGCAGCAGCACAGCGAGGGCGACGTCTGCGCCAGTTCTGCCATGTTCTGGTGGACAGCAGAACCGAACCGGGCCACAAACGGCCTAATCCAAGGTTAAACCCAGGTTAAACCTGGGATTGTCCCAATTGAGACCAGAACCAAACCCGGTTTAGACCTGGACTGAAACCGGTTTACACCGGTACCAAACCCATATTACACTGGGATGAACCCGGTTCACACCAGAACCAAACCTGGTTCTGTTCCAGCTTCCTAAATCCTGGACTAAACCCAACTATGTTTGACTTATCCTGATTTGGAGACTGAAAAAGTCTCCTTTCAGTTAGGATACAGCTTTTGAAAGTTCAGCTTGTCCTGAACTGTTTTTTTCAGTTCAGGACAAGCTTGACCTTCGACCCAGGAAGTGCATCTACTGGGTCCCAGTCCAGACCGAACCAGTCAATGGAACAGAACCTCGAACTGGAACCCAGCCTGGCAAACCGGTCCGGTTGTAGCCTGGTTTCCGGGACCCAGTCAGCCTGCCGAACCGACGACCGGTCCAATTCACCTGCAGCAGAACTTTTCCCACTGGAACTCTGATCCAAACAGTCCGGCCCAGTTCTCCGGTCCGACAGAGGCCCGACGTTCTGCAGAACGGAGCCGAACCGAACTGGGTTAAAGGGTTCCGTCCCCTTGACCCGGTTCCCCGCAGAGCGAACCTCGAGTTCCGGACCGTTAAGTAAAATCCATCTGGACGGAACCGGACCAGCACCGGCTCCTCCGCTCCCGGTCCGGCTCACAAAGGCGGGAAGGTTCGGGTGGACCGGGTCCAGAGGACAGAGTGTCCCCAGAGAACAAAGACCGACAGAGACCGGAGGACCGCGGAGGACAAACAGGAAGTACCAGAAAGTTTGTTCTGGCCGCCAGAGGGCGCTGTGGGGCGGAGGCCGCAAAAACACCCCGCAGAAACTTCCATCACTGTATGGAGCTACAAAGGAGCGAAAATCATCTGGAAATAAAACATTACACAAAACGTTTGACACAAAAATGTTTTTGAAACAAAAAAAGTTTTAAACTGAAAAATAAGATTTGTAATTTTATAAAGTTTTGAAATAGAAAAGAAAAAGTTTTGGAATTATATTTCAGTTTTTTAATTAAATTCTGCTAAAATATTTGCACAGGAAAGTAGGAAGTTTTTAATTTTGTTTCGTTTTTCACTCATTGTTGGAATTTAAAAAACATAATTTTAACAGATTTATGAGCAGATTGAAGCCTCTGACCGGGTTTCGCGTTTGGCCTTGTTGGCCACCGTAGCGGCAGGTTTTACCCAGAATGAAGACGCGGGTCGGGAGGAGTGTGTTAAAATGCTTTACTGGTTTTGTTCCTCATGCTCTTATAAAAATACACACACCAACACGGAGACACTTTGACAAAGGCTGATCTATCACAAGAAGATTCAGAATGAAAACATCACATCGCTCTGCGGTGATCCGAGGCGGTGACGTGCCGTGACGTCACTGGAGCAGCAGCAGGTCCTCGCTCCGCTTCTCATTTACAGTGACTGTACAAGCGGAGGCTGTGTGCGTGCTGCCCCCTGCAGGCACACAGCAGAAACCGCATCATCATGGCAGATTCCTGTGCAGTTACCGTGTTTTTCCTGCAGGGGGCAGCAATGCCTCCCTTTGAAAGGCCAAATGTCTTTAAAGGCAAAGAGGTTCTGCACCTCAGACGTTTCAATGATTAATGAAAGCTCTCTTTACATTCCACATTAGAGCGCATCAGGCAGATTATAACGGATCTGACACGGAGAACAAAGACGATTACGTCACCATTCGCTACAGCTGGAGACGCAGAAGCGTCTCTGCTGATCTCCTCCAACAGTAAAACTAAGGCGATGAACATCTTCACATCAGCAGATGATTCATAGCAGGGGTCTGCAACCGTCAGTCCAGCTAAAGAAATAAAACTCTGCAAATGTTACAGCAGTGGAAACAGAACAAAAAATTTTAAAATAAATGGCTACTGAATGAATATTGGGGCCTTTCTTCAGGAAGCAACATTTCATTTTTTTATTTTTATGTTTTAAAACAAAAAGCCCCATAAAAAACAGGGTTGATTAATTTTATTCCAGGGATGTTGGCGTTAATATCAGCACCATGCCATAAACATTTTGATGCAATAATGAGAATAAAGTGCAACGTTTCAACTTTATTCTTTTAATGTTATAAATTTATTGTCAAAATATTGACTTTATTCTCATTCGATTGTCTTTTAAAGGTTTTTTCTCAGTTTTATTTATTTTTGCTCGGCTTCAGTTTTCTGAACTTAGTTTCCAATGTAAAGGTGAGAAAAATCAATATTCCTGATACTTGTGTGAATTTATTCCATGTAAAAAATAAAATAAAATAAACTGATCAAATCTAAATAAAAAAAAATTGTTGCTGCATTTTTTTAGCCACTTTTGTCTCCAGAGCCACAGGTTGCAACCCCCTGACCTGTACAGACAGGAAACCACAGGCCATGACCTTTGACCCTGCCCACCTTCGTATGCCGCCAGTCACACGGTGCCACCTCATCAGAGCGTCAAAACATCATAAATAAATAAATAAAACGAAAACCGAGAAGCACCGAGGTTTCTGAGAGCAGCTTCCACATCCTCATCCTCATCTTCCTCCTCATCCTCGGACGGACACTTTGCTCTCTGCGGCCGCCAGCATCGAACACAGCCGAGAGTTCTCATTGGCCAGCAGCCGGGCCGGCTCATCAAACTCCGCCACCTGAGCCAATCAGAGACAAGCAGGCGTGTCAGGGCGGGGTCTCCAGAGCAGCAGGTGTTCTGCGTTCTGATTGGCTCCTACCTGTCCCCGGGTCAGCACCATGATGCGGTCGGAGGACAGGACGGTGTGGAGTCGGTGGGCGATGGTCAGCGTGGTGCAGTCCTGAAACGAGCTGCGGATCGTCTCCTGGATCAGGAAATCCGTCTCCGCGTCCATGGCGGCCGTGGCCTCGTCCAGAACCAACACCTGGACCAGAACCGGCCAATCAGAGGGCGGCACACAGGCAGGAAGTGGGACAATGGACCTGACTCACCTTGCACTGCCTCAGCAGAGCTCTGGCCACACAAAGCAGCTGCCTCTCCCCCACCGAGAAGTTCTCTCCGTTCTCCACCACCTCCGACTCCAACCTCTGAGGAAGCTGAGACACCTGAGGGATGGATGGACAGGAGGACAGACAGGAGGACGGACAGACAGGAGGGACAGATTAATCTTCAGTTTCATTTCTAACTGGTTTCGTCATTTTGAGTAACAGAATTGATTTCATTTTCACTCTGGATCCAGATTCCCCTCCAAATTTAACTCGGCGTTCCCCCAGGTTCTGTTCTCGGCCATTTAAAGTTTTGTGAATCAGATTTTTTTGTCCTTAAAGGGGCAGTATTAAATATCTTCCAGGCTCATTGTGCTATTTCACAGCAAAATCAATTAACTGTGTCAGTTATAACAATTAAATATGACTTTTACTGAAATTTTACTTCCTGATTTAACAGTTTGATTAAAGGTTTTGTCCAACAGTGAACCACGAGCAGCAGGAAGGTTTGCTATCTTTCTTCTTTCAGAAACAGAAACTTTTGTCCGGTCCGGTCCGGTCCGGTGAGGATCCACTCACCGACTCCTTCATGTGACTCCTCTCCAGAGCGTCCCAGATCTTCTCCTCGCTGTACTGGCTGAACGGATCCAGGTTGGACCTGCAGCAACAGAAGTTCTGGTCCGATCTGAGCAGCACAAGTTTTTCACACCTTCACTTTCCCACACAGTCTGACCTGTTGAAGGTTTTACTGTGGATCCGACTGATGTGCATTTTGCTTTAGGAAAACCTTCATACTGACATGAATCATGATGCTGATCCAGTACGTCAATGTACCGGATCAGCCCGGTACACATAGGCGTCCCGGACTGATCCAAACCCTCAGCCAGGATAACAGAAGAGCGACTGACAGAGACACCTGAGACAAACAGGAAGCTCTACCTGACCGTCCCGCTGAACAGAACCGGGTCCTGCGGGATGATGGACAGCTTGCTGCGCAGGTCGGCCAGTCCGATGTCGCTGATGTCGATGCCGTCGATCAGGATGGAGCCTCCGGAGCGCTCCACCAGCCGGAACAAGGCGACGCCCAGAGACGACTTCCCTGCAGGACCAGACCCTTGGTCTCAAACATGACCTCTGACCTCTGGGGTGCAGTTTCTCTGTCTCACCGTCCCAAATACCCCGCCTACCTGAGCCAGTTCTGCCGATGATGCCGACCTTCTCCTTTGGTCTAATGGAGCATGAGATCTTGTTCAGAACCAGAGGGAGGTTCTCCTGGTACCTCATCTCCACATCCCGGAACACCAGCTCCCCCTGCTGGGGCCAGTCAGGCGGAGGAGCCCGACCTTTGACCCGGGCTGGAGCCTCCTGAGACAGAGACTGAATCAAACAGAAATCAGTCTAACATCTGGGTTCATCAGAGTGCTCCCAGTTAGTGAGGAAACAGCCCCCAGTACCTGGATGTAGTGATGGATTCTCTCCACGGAGGTGAAGCGAGCTTCTGTCTCTGAGGCGAGTCGCACGGTGAACTGGAACAGACCTGTTAACTGGCAGAGACACAGGTTCTGCTTCAGGATCCGAAACAAGCCCAACAGTCCAGCAGACACATCCAGAACCCAACGACCCCAAAGAAAACGTCTCCTGGAGCCGAACCACAGATAAACGAGTTCAACAAGAGAAGAAGAACTCAATGAACCCTGAACACCATCATCTGGACCAACTGCTGAGGAGCAGAACGTCCACTCAGACGTTACGAAGCACTATATGGGGAGAAATTATCTTTCTTTTAGTGAACAAAGACGCTCCGCCATGTTGCTACTACTCTCTCTTATCACGTTATCTGGTGTTGACGGCACACAGTTGGTTCCCCAAACTGGTGAAAAACGGCTGTCGACTCTCAAAGTACTGAAGTCCGAAGCACCTGAACAAACATGCTAATAGAAGATCCTGGCTGATGGACTGAGCAGAACCTGTTTTCTAGAGTCCTGGATGTTTCAGGTGAGTCAAGCAACGTCCTGATTCAGATGGTTCAAGGGTCAAGGAGCTTTGAAGGAACTGATACTTGTTCCTTCACAGAGATTTTTCATACAGTTAACACAGAGCTTACTGAAGATGATGCTGTTTGGTCGGAACATGTTTGCAGGACAGAACTTGAAGGTTTTGGTTACCTGGACAGCGTAGGAGATAGCAAGCCCGGCATAGGCGGGAGGGATCTGTCCGTGCATCAGGACCATCATCAAGGCCGTCATGCTGATCAGAGACACGCTGATGATGTCCAGACGAACCGCCAGCCAGCGCATGGCGCAGCTGAACAGGTAGAAGGGAGACTGGTTCTGGTCTAGTAAAAACTGGTACCTAAATAAACCAGAACACAGTGATCAGATCTTGACCTCACGAGGCCTGGATGTCCGGACGGTGGTTCTGGTTCTGACCCTGACCTGCGGAGGAAGTCCTGGCCCCGGTCGTAGGCCTGCAGAGTCGTCAAGCCCTGGATGCTGGACGTGATGTGGGACATAAAAGGGGACATCGTCACATTGTCCAAACGTTTCAGCTCCCGGATGAAGACCTTAGAGACACTGTGGAGAGCAGCAAAGCCCAAGACCAGCGGTCCAATTGCCACTAGGAACCATGGGAAAACATAGCTGATGACACCCAGACAGAAGAAGACCAGGATCACGTTCTGGATAAACATTTCCGCCTGGAAGGGCAGCCGGGTGTCAACTGGATCGAGACAGAGACAAAACCGAGTCAAGCAAAGGCCAGAACCCCAGAAAGAGCTCCAGTCCTGCTAACCTACTGTACCTTCATCCATGTCCTTGGAGAAGCGATTGAGGATCCGTCCTGTAGGAGTCATGTCGAAGAACTTCATGGGGCAGCGCAGGATTTTGTGGAAAAGTTGGTCATGCAGTTTAGAGGAAGCTCTCAAAGTTCCCTAC